TCCTGAATCTGGATTACTAAATAATACTTGTAGAAACCCTGAATCTGGAGTCCTGAATAATACTTGTAGAAATTCCTGAATCTGGAGTACCCCCGAGAAGTCTAGATTGTAAAACATTTCATGGATTTTCATAGTTTCATTTTCATTCATTTTGAAAATGATTCGTGAATTTGAATATCTCTTTAAAATTTTTCTTTCAAATCAAATTAAAATCTGATTTTGCTTGTCTGTATGTTCCTGTAGAACCGTTGACAAGGTTCTGATTGTGTATCTATTCCACGTCGAGAGAGATCTATTGCAGCATCAAGTAGAACCTCTAGTTCTCCACCAGGCAGAACAGGGATAACCCATCTTAATATTATTATTTATTTATATTTTAGATTTACATGGGTGTAAGTACCATGTATTTTTCCCCCTCTCTCTTTTTTTAAAATCATTTTTCCCACAGATGTATGATTAGGAATTTTGTGGTTTTCATCGCAGACTTTGAGACAAAAAATGAATGTCTGGTTAGTGGTTTAACAAAAATAGGGGGGGGGGTTGTAAGAGGGGATAATTCTAGGATGTGAATAATAGTGCCTTTTTTTTCTAAATTGTACTTGTTATAATTTAGACTTGCATAAAAGGGAAATTGAATTTTTGGCATTTTGTTACCTTTCTTAATGTAATGGGTCACAAAAATAATGAATCATATTTTTCATAATTTTCATTTTTTTTTGCTAAATTAAAGAGAGTAAAGGAGTTTATGAATGAAGTAAGACTTTTTTGATAAAAAATATCAAGAAGGCGAAACTCTTACCAGTTAATGTCTAAATTCCCCTCTCCAATAAAAATTTAGAAAATCAGGAGGGTGTGTGTTAATTCTTCAGAATATAAAACCCTGTTTTGTTCCTTCCCAACGGTCCGACCATTCATAATTTCCTTTTACTTTCTCAAAATTTCACAATTGCTAAATATTCAAACCTTGGGTTTGAGATGAGTTCATCTAGCTTAGTAAGCTTAGCGACAGGAAAAGCAGCGAGAGCTTCTTCATCCGTTAGAACAGGAGGGGCGGGCACAGCAGGAATCTGAGGGGCGGGTTGCTGTGGAGGGCCGGGGAGGGATTCAGTCTCAGGCTCAGAGGGAGCTGGTTCGGAGGGAAGGATGGGGACATCTCTTGTGTCCCCCTCGTCGGTATCCGCGACAGCCATGCTCTGCTACCTGGGACAAGATTTAATGAATAGAAGAAATAGTTGAACTATGTCGACTTTGTTCAACCACTTCAGTTCCGATAGAACCGTTGTCCCCTCTAGTGTTTTGACCAATTCATTCCAGCAAATGTTAGACCCCGAAAGCAATGTTTTACAATGTTTACTATGCATTTTTATTTGATAAAAATAACATTAAAAATTTTAAACACGGGCAATTTAAAATTCAATGAATTAACATCGATTAACATTTAGAACGTTAATATTTGGTCTCAAACGACTTGGCTTCAGCGAATGAATGTCATACTATATTTTAAATTAAGAACAATTAGCTCTTAATAAATCAAATATTTTTATAGCCGAGTCAATTTACAATTATGAACTAGTTAACGAGAAGGTCGGAACTAAACAATTGATATTTCCAGTGGCGCAACTAGGGGGGGGGCCGAACCGAGTTTCGCCCCCCCTCAGCATTCTCAGCACCCCCCTCGCCCCCCCCTCGACCCTGACACTTCAGAAATTTTTCTTGGGCGCTTCGCGCATTAAATCCAATCGAATTTCTAACTATTTTCTCGTTTTTGACTTCAAAAAAGTCAGTCATTCTTAATTTATCATCTCAATAAACCCTGAAATAACAAGAAATACAATAAGGATTATGTGTATATCGGACTATTAAGACTTTTGCAATATATAAGAGGAAAACAGGGATAAGCCCCTTACTGGCAAACAAGAACAGAGACACTTCGATCAAAAGACAATGTTTGATTATGGTCAAAGAAAACAAAGTGGGTCTGTCCTAGAGAGCGATTTTTGGACAACCCCCCCCCCCGGGCCCAACCCCTTCCTATCAATTTTGTACATGACCACTATTTCAAGAATTTTCAATTAAATTAGTATTTATTTAGGGTTAGGTTAAGACACTTTCTGGGCCGAGCGCTGCGGCCACGGGTTAGGTTACATTTAAGATCCATGTACAAAATTGATAGGAGAGGGGCCGGGGGTCCAAAAATCGCTCTCTAGGAAATTGCCAACAAAGTCTAATACTGTCAGGAACTACTAACTCCGTAGGACTGCACAGACCTACGATTAAGGCACTAGTAGATAAATTACAAAAAAATGCTGTAGACTGTAATATGGGCCTTGTTTTATATAGCGAAAATGACTAAGTAAGGGATTTACAGACACCAAGAAATACACGAAAAAAGCACTAGAAAAACAGACATTTTTCGGCGCTTCGCGCACATGTTAAATTAATTTACTCATGTCGTTTATTTTGAAGCTGTTGACAGTATAATTTTTAACACAAGAACAAGCCAGGGATATTGAGAAGTTGGTATTATTAAGCACAATGACAGACCTAACCCTACAGCTACCCGAGGCTACCCTCAGCCCCACAATTATATTTCGCCCCCCCCCCCACCCAAAAAAGCCTAGCTGCGCCACTGGATACTTCATTGAAATACAGTTTATGTATCCTAAATAATTTGTATAATTGTCGGGATAAATTGTTACCTTTCAGTAACCTGATGCAGGTTAATATATCGGACTGTTATATCCTTAAAATATTTATCTGAAAGAGGTAAAATCTTTTTTAAGATAATTTTAATAAACTCAAGATGAGTTGTCAACTTTATAACGATATTGATATAATGGTGAAATTAATAACATTTTAAGTCAAAAGCAGATATGTTTTCATGTCAACCGTCCTCGGTATGAATATAAACAATCGCTTGACATAAAACCATTGAAAACCTGCATAGATCCGACAAAGCCGACGACGGACATGTTGAATTTCTAATTAAATAAAAAGAGTCGAAGGATTGAAAACACAGTGCGGTAATGCAGCAGCTGATTAAACTGGACACAGAGAAACTCGAATACAAAGACGACATAAAAACAATAAAACTCACAAACCCAGAAATGGCCGTTTAATTCCATAAACATGACGATTTAGCAAATCTGAAACAATTTTCTTAAGAATTTTCCGTTGGAAAATCAAAAGTCATAATTCTTTTTAAGGCTATCAGATTTATTAATTGGATAGTTTTGTAATTTATGAAATTTAATTTATGAACACCCCCAAATGGGTGCTTTATCATTAAAACTATGGGTTTTCTAAACTATCGACTTTCTGTTACCAATGTTTAGATGAAACTTTAACCCATTATTAGTGGACTCAATACTTCATTTTCAGTAGGGGGTGAAATGAGACTGATTTTTAAAAATTTTATGTTCTTTCAATGAATGTAATTAGTTTTGTAATTTGTAAAGGTTTTTTGAAAATATCTTTTAAATGGAAATAAAATATTACTTTGAGTGGGATGAGATAATTTTAGTGAACAGGCAGCCCGACCTTTTAGTAGCTTAACTCCAATTCCTCATGAAATGCGATCATTGAATGAGCGAATTGGATCTATAAGATTCGGCTATAAAATGAACTTTACCTTGTTTCTCAGTTTTTGTTGACCAAACAAATTGAAAATTTAGTTTAAGTCAATACAGAGGCCATAAAACCTCAATAGATGTCGAAAATTGTGTTAAAAATGCAAATTAACTTAAAATATCAGAAAACAAAATTTTACTGTGATTTCCAATTGAGGTGGTGGAGATTACCAATTGAGGAGCGCGCTTGCCGAAAAACACATTTGGATGGCGGTGATTACTTGTTGAGGAGGTCCCCCCCCCCACTACGCCCCCTGGATAGCATAGATTGGTTAGTCCTGATGATAAGTAGTGCCGATCATATGACAATCGTTATCAATATTCTTACGCGGTATTTGTGCACGTTATAAAAAAGATTTCTTATAGAGCAAATAAGTATTTTTTAAAGAATTTAAAAACAAATAGCTCAGTTTCATGTCGACAGTAGACACATAATCATATTTTACATCTTTCAAAAAAGGAATAATTCAAGATTTTCCAATAATTTTTAAATATACAAAAGTTTATCATCATATTGTTGAGTTCACAGGTTTTCTCGATTTTTTGTTATAATCTACTACAATTTTTATACCAAACTTTTGATTGTTAGCTTTTCTTAGGCATATATATATATATACTTGGGTATTTTCCTAATATACGATTTTTGTACCCCCCAGGTCAACGAAGATGGGCTCAGGTCACTAGGTTTAGAGAAGTGTAAAAGGGACTTGACTTGGGAGGTAACAATTTTACAATATTTATACTTCAAAGATATTCAAGATATTGGATAGGAGGGAATTGTTGGCTGTCTTGAGGAAGAAAAAATTTGATTTTAAGTTAATCATGACGCTTTTATTCTGATATTTAAAAAAAAGATTATAGTGTAGAATAATAATTTACCCCGAATATGGTTTTGTAGATCTCGAAAATGGGTGCCGACAATGTACATCTTGAGCCTGCGTTAGAAACGATCAAAGCTATCCTAATTCTGGATAACAACGGGTCCAGGATTCTTGCAAAGTACTTCGACACCAGCGTGCTGGCAACCTCCGTCGAACAGAAAAAGTTCGAAAAGAATCTGTTCAACAAAACACACAAGGCAATGTATTTGATTATACATTAGCAAAACTAAAAAAGTTAATTCAAATTTCTTTTCAAGTTTATTACATCAAAATTTTTATTTATTCTGTAAAAAAACTGCATATTTTAATGATATTTGTTTGTAAATTTGTTGGCTATCATCAAATTATGCATTATGCAAATCAAATATAAATCATATTTAGGTGAACGGCGAGATAATCATGTTCGAAGGTATGATCTGTGTCTACAGGACTAACGTAGACCTATTCTTCTACGTGATTGGGTCCGTAGATGAAAATGAACTTGTTCTCATGAACCAGCTGGATTCCGTCTACAATTCAATCTCTCAAATCCTTAGGAAATATATTTTATTTTTTTCCCATGGGTTAAATATTTCTTGAAACTTTCCCCTAACATATAAGGAAAGTTCAACACAATTTGTGGGGCAATAAATGATTTTAGGGAAAAATTATACAACAAGCGGGGGAGGGTGGAGATTTGTCCCGTTCAGGTTCAATTTTTCCCCTTCCCTCTAATATCGGAGGGGAATTCTTCAAATTAAATATCCTAAAAATAACTAGATAAATATACATCAAAACCCATACCTCTGTAGAATAGGAAGACGATATGTTTAGATGTGTATTTGATGTTTTTTTTTATAAAGTTTTAGAAGTAACTTAAAATCAACTTATTAAGTGAATTTATGCTATGTAATGTGTAGTTTTATGTTCTTTGTACCATTTATTTTATGACAGCTTGATCTTATTCCACAGTTTTAGGGGATTCGCTGTATAATCCTTGATATTCATAAAAATGTATAATCAGGAAGAACGTTGACAGACGAAATATGTTGGAAAACCTTGAGATAATCATGCTGGCCCTGGACGAGGCTGTTGACAACGGTATTATCCTCGAGGCTGATCCTGCCTCTGTAGTTTCCAGGGTTGCACTACGAGGTGATGATATTCCTCTTGGGGAGCAGACAGTAGCACAGGTTCTTCAGTCTGCTAAAGAACAACTTGTCTGGTCTCTTCTCAAGTGATTGTTTATCACGTCGATGGCGTCAATAGATTCTATCACTGAAAATCAATTGATCGTCCTTTCTTCGAGATCGTGTAATCGAAATGAATATTTTTAAATGCACTTAAAAAGAGTCTGAAATATCATCATCAAATACATCCCATACTTTTCCATCGGAAACATTAGTTTCTATCGGACACCAATGGGCCATGATTAAAAAGTTTATGTTTTCAATATTTCAAGATATCAAGTTTTTTAAGATTTCAAGATTTTAAGGGGCCTTTGCAAAGATTCTCCGTCAAAGAATGAAGGGGGAGGGGTCAAGTAAATTATTGTTTAAATGGGTCCTTAATACTAATATACAATCATGATGTTTTCCAGATTTTTTTATAAAGTGGACTTGTTTTCCTGTACCAGTGAAAATCAAAGAAAATACTGCATTTATTTTCTATATATTCTATATTAAATTTTACAGAAAATTTTACCAAAATAATAATGTTGTCGACGCTGTATAAGCGTGGTGGTGTTGGACTGTTGAGAAGTTTGAAAACTAATCTAACAGATGTCGTTGCTGTCTCAAAACTGTCGTCTGTTCCAGACCCAGCATTGATCCAGGTTTGACATAGTAATAAGTAATAAAGTATTTTGATTTATTCAAATTCAGATATTTAGAATTTTATTTTTAAAAGTACAGTGAACTAGTAAGAGCTAAATGAAACTAAAAACAATTAGTTTTTATTTATCAGACCGCCCCTTACCCACCATATGTAAGACAAAGTGCATTCTGGCTGTATCGTTAGAAGAATCATTAAAGTTTGATAGCAAATGATATTTGGAGTCCTAAATTATATTTGAAAAACCTGAATCTGGAGTCCTAAATTATATTTGTAAACCTGAATCTGGAGTCCTAAGTAATATTTGTAGAGACCCTGAATCTGGAGTCCTAAATAATACTTTTAGAAACCCTGAATCTTGAGTCCTAAATAATATTGGTAGAAACCCTGAATCTGGAGTCCTAAATAATACTTGTAGAAACCCTGAATCTGGAGTCCTGAATAATACTTGTAGAAACCCTGAATCTGGAGTCCTGAATAATATTTGTAGAAACCCTGAATCTGGAGTCCTGAATAATACTTGCAGAAACCCTGAATCTGGAGTCCTGAATAATACTTGTAGAAATTCCTGAATCTGGAGTCCTGAATAATATTTGTAGAAACCCTGAATCTGGAGTCCTGAATAATACTTGTAGAAATTCCTGAATCTGGAGTACTAAATAATACTTGTAGAAACCCTGAATCTGGAGTCCTGAATAATACTTGTAGAAATTCCTGAATCTGGAGTCCTAAACAATATTTGTAGAAATTCCTGAATCTGGAGTCCTTAATAATATTTGTAGAAACCCTGAATCTGGAGTCCTAAATGATATTTGTAGAAATCCTGAATCTGGAATTCTAAATAATATTTGCAGAAATCCTGATTCTGGAGTCCTAAATAATATTTGCAAAAACCCTGATTCTGGAATTCTAAATAATATTTGCAGAAACCCTGATTCTGGATTCCTAAATAATGTTTGTAGAAACCCTGATTTTTGTTTGTCTGTAGGAAGGAGAACTGAAGCCCCTGTATCTAGATGCACAATCCACAACCCCAACCGATCCAAGGTAAAGCAGCAGGAAACTTTTGAATAATTTATTTACCAGTGATTAGGTTCCATTTGATTTTGATGCGGATCCGGATTAGAATTGGTTTCCATCTTATGCTTATTTTCATGCTAAAACTTGATGAACCCTAGAGAGATAAGGAAATTTTTGATAATGTTTTTTTTTCAACAGTTCAGATTTGGGTTTGAAAGAGAAAATTTTTTTGTTCTCAGTTTTTTGTTGATATTTTGACTATGGATCTGCTTAATTTGCGGATCCCCAATTATAGATTCAACGGATCCGGATCCTAAGCACTGTTATTTACAGAGCTTAACTCCCTGCGACTTTAATAATCTTACCGTTAATTGAATTTAATTAGCTGATTGTTAATAATGATTTCCTATTGGTCTATTTACAGATTCTTGATATTTCAAATAAATTAAATAGAGAGGGGTTTGCGTTAGATTTGTAAAAATTCATTAGTTATCTTTTTTCTCCAGTTTATCTTGTTCGTTCGAATAATTTCTTCATCCCCCCAATTTTTTTTTATAAATTTCCGAAGATTCATTTTCAGATTTTCAGATCTAGTTTTTACAATAATTAGTAACAACAATTTATCACCAGACTTTTGCATTCCGAGACTAATAATGATAATAATTGTAAAAATATATGTATTTTCAGTTTTTTGGTTGAAAATTTTAAACAGAATTTGAAAATTTTAAACAGAATTTTAAATATTTTTAAAACTAGGGTGCTGGATGCCATGCTTCCCTACCTAACATCCTTCTACGGGAACCCGCACAGCAGGACCCACGCCTACGGCTGGGAGTCGGAGAAGGCTGTTGAGGTGGCCAGGAAGCAGGTCAGTGGGTTTTTTTATCTGGAGACTTTCACACTAAAATGAGAGAGAGAGAAGATTGAGAATTTTTGGATGGTTTACTTTTGAAGTGACCTATCTATTAGCTAGTACCATCAGCGATTCACTTACGTTTTTTATGAATACTGATCATGAATTTTTCGTTTATTTTAAGTAAAAAAATTGGCCATTTGCCCACTTATGGTGCGAAATGATCTGGCCGCAAGTTCTAAATAGAAAAACCAAGTCTTAAAGGACACCATTGATAATCCTTAATGGCATTATTTAAATAGAAAGTCACTTGAAATTTAATTGACAAAACGCTTTCTTGCAGAGATATACTATATATTTACAAATTAAGGGGGGAAGAATTTTTCAAGAAAATATACATCCCTGTGTTTACATAATTAAAAAATAATTAAACAAATTTAACCATTAAGATTAGTAATTAACACAAAGACCAGGATCATTTTATTATTAAATAATTACCCTAGCCTACCTTTTTCAGAATAACATACACTTTTTAATTAATAAATTTATTTTGAAAACAAACAACCCTGACTTGATAATTTCAGATAATTACCTAATCTTTTAAAAGAAGCCTAAAAAATGCTCTGAGATTCGGACAAAAACTGGAAAATGTCCCGAAATATCTAGAAATATCTCGAATATCCCAGAAATATCCGGAAATATCTGGAATATCCTAGAAATATCTGGAAATTACTGGACACATCTGGAAACTAAAATGGCTGTTCTGGATAAAAGTGATGACAGTGTTAAAGGCGGCAGCCTGGATGGAGACAATGAAGGGAAAAAGCAAATATTTATAAAATTTCAAACTTCTCAAATATTTTTAGTTTTTGATTTTAAAATTTAAATAAAACAACATTGAGTATTTGATTTGAATTGATAAGAGTCGTTATCAGCGATGATTTAACTTTTTTGATGTGTTGAAACGATAATTACAATATTTTGCTTTTTCTTAAGGAGGATGCAATGCTAAAACTCCCGTTTCCTTACTTCAAGAATTATATGTTAGGGACGGTTACCTATTAACATAGCTTTATTTTATAAAAAATATTTTATTAAATGCCACCCGCCAAAGTATTTTCCTCCGAAAATGCTATAACAGAATACTGTCTAAACCATTCATTAGGTGGAGGTGGAGGTTATATTCAATAATATCATTGAATATATCCATTATATCATTGGGCTACACCCTTAATGTTATCTTTTTAATCTTTACTGGTTATAATTTTTCTGGGAGTAAATGATATGCATTGAATATTTACAAACCAAGACCTAATTTGAAGAATTTGAGCCGTTTTGAAATTGTAACCGTTTTGAAGGCGTGGTATTACCCCTAAATATGATCTGGTTCAGATAGAAGGAGCTGTTCATGAACCAACATTCAAATATAGGAAAATAATGGTGTACTTATGATACTTGGGAGTGGTTTAAGGATGGCAAAGTCTGATTTACAACGATACCATTTCAAATTTGACTGATCAAGTATGAATTAGGAATCCATGTTTTTTGAATTGTTTATTTCCATCTGCAGTTTCTCAGCGAAAGCGACTAGTGCATTTCTTGCTTTTAAGAAACAATGTAGAAATTCACAGTTATTCGAGTCAGGAAAAGGTCGTTATCTTTATGCTTGAAATCCCTTTAAACCTGGTCTCGTAATTGATGAATAGTGAGAATTAGTTGAACTAGATAAAGAAAGAAGAACCACTTCTCTAGCACTACATGAGATTAAGTAGTTCACCTAGCAGTACCTAGTTCAAGTTCTTATCACTATTCAAGAAATTAGAGCTCAGCCCTGGTATCAATTAATTAAGTTTCAACAAAAAAGTTTGCATTATTTTAAGCTATGCATAGAATTTATATTTTCCTTAAGAACTTGTTTTTAAAATTTCTATTTAACACAATTATTTAATATTTAGAGTTACAATTGGAGAGTTTGTGGCAACAGGAAACCAAACCTTTTACTTTTAAAAATAATGATAATTGTAATAACAATTCTGAAATGCTTAAATCTTTATTTAAAAAAGAAAACAAGTTTATCAATTACAAAATGGTAACAATTAGCCCAAAGAATGATACAGAAATGTGATCTGTCTTTTTAGTGCTTTCATAAATACCGTAGATATGAACGATTTCGTTCAGAATTTGACAATTAAAAAAAAATATTTAAATCTAAACAAAATTTTTAATATCCCTGGTACTTAAAGCACAAAATGTAAGACCACATCAAAGAAAAGGGCAGACCTAGAGCTTTGTGATAATTGTTTAATGAAAAAAAATGAAAAAAAAATACAACATTAATCGGAGAAAAATGATAAAATCCATAAAGTCCTTCTGCATATTGAAGTTTCATCTTGTTTAAAACAAAATCTTGGTGAAGGTTGCGGTCAGAGCAAGAAGAAAGCTAAACACTCGGCTGCAAAGGAAACTGTACATAATGTTTATTTTGAATATTTGATTTGATACTACCTTTGATAGTAAATTGTTTTATTTTTTACATATGTGTTGATAAAGTTGAAATTGGCAAATTACTGTTTAAAGATGTAATTAATTTCCTTTTCAGTTAGGGCAATTGACCTTTTAAATATCAATGGAATCTGAAATAACAAGTCTGAGATCAATAATAATTTGAATTATTAAAGAAAACTCTCAAAAATTGTTTGATTTTACGATTAAGCTTTTTACTTGATTGAGCATTTGATTGATGTTAAATTGATTAATTGATTGACATATTTATGTAATAAATTGGTTTAGTCGATCCTAGACAAATTGTTGGGAGCCCAGAATGCAGGCATAGCTCCCCCTGGTCAACCTACTATTCCTGATCTTGCACAGGCATTCATTCATTCATTCATTCATCCTTGTATTCTTTTATCCTTCCTTTTATTCATTCATCCTTTAATTCATTCATCTTTCCTTTCATCCTGTACTCCACCTATTCATACATCCTTTCATTCTTACTTCCGTCAAGAAAATGAATGAATAAATGATTAATTATATAGGACATTTTCTCTCCTTATGATGACGGAATTGAGGTAAGATTAAAATAAATTGACAATAAATAATGATTTTGTTTTGACTCAGACCAATTAAAACAACAAACAGCGGAATTATTTTCGTCTTTGCTATTTTTTTACAGCTTATCTTAGAGGATTTATTTGTGATTACCATGTTTCAAGGGAACATTTTCATACAAATAGGAGTTACACATTACAAATCTTAAGTATTTTTTATTAACGATTTTATTAAAGAGAAAGCGAAACATACAACAATTCAAATGATTGTTTATGATGAAAAGAAGGATGAAAAGTCTTATTGAACGGTGGGGGCAGAGATATACTATATNAAATGTTTGTTAGGGTAACCCCGTTGGTATTCTTCAAGAGCTGTGTATGTCAAGGAGATGGCCTCCTCCAACCTATGAACTAAAGTAAATTCATTATTTCTTCACCTTTCCCCTCACATTTCCCCTCACCTTTCCATGCCCTTTCCTCCAACCTTTCCTTGCCCTTTCCTCCAAACTTTCCCTTTCCTTCAACCTTTCCATGCCCTTTCCTCCAACCTTTCCTTGCCCTTTCCTCCAAACTTTCTCTTTCCTTCAACCTTTCCATGCCCTTTCCTCTAACCCATCCTTGCCCTTTCCTTCAACCTTTCCTTACCCTTTTCTCCCACATTTCCTTACCCTTTCCTCCAGCCTTTTCTTGCCCTTTCCTCCCACCTTTCATTGCCCTTTCCTCCCATATTTCCTTGCCTTTACTCCAGCCTTTTCTTGCCCTTTCCTCCAACCTTTCCTTTTCCCTTCCTTCAACCTTTCCTTGCCCTTTCCTCTAACCTTTCCTTGCCATTTCCTCCATCCTTTCCTTGTCCTTTCCTTCAACCTTTCCTCCAACTTTTCCTTGCCCTTTCCTTCAACCATTTTGTTGCCCTTTCCTCCCATCTTTCCTTGCCCTTTCCTCCCACCTTTCCTTGCCCTTTCCTCCCACCATTCCTTACCTTTTCTTCTCTCCTTTCATCGTCATCTTTTCCTTTTTTGTCCTTACCTTCCCGCTGAGATAGCAACAACGCTTTGTTCTTTGCTCATAGAACTATTTAATGTCATAACTTGAGCATAAAAGTCGTCTTCCTATTCTGAGTTTTCTGGCTATCACGTTCTTTGCTCATAGAACTATTTAATGTCATAACTTGAGCATAAAAGTCGTCTTCCTATTCCAGAGTTTTCTGGCTATCAAACTCTGAAACGTCATCATTTTTTTAAGACAGCCTCGGTTTAAGTGTACCCCTTGGCTTCTGGTTTTTGGTATACCTATTCATTTAAAAAATGCAAATGCAAAAAGGCATCCTTCGCCTTTAGCTCTCTTCTGGATCGCTTTCCTGTTATTACCCTCCTTAATCTTTTTCTCGTCCTTTCCCTTTCGTGTCCCTCCTGTACTATATGCTCTCCTATCTCCATTGCCCTTTCCTCATCTCCTTTCCATTTTCATGTATCCTTCTCCTTTTCACATTTCACTTCACTACCAACTTTCTCTTCTAAAAATCAATTAGCCTGAATTTATGACAATTTTAGTTTTTTTCTAGTTTTTTCCACAAGAATTTGGCATTTACAGTTAGTGCGTTAATTAGAAGTTAGACAATTCTAAAAGCAAACTTTTGTTTTGAGTCTCGTTAATCTTAAACACTTGATCTTGATCTTGATCTTGATCTTGATCTTGATCTTGATCTTGATCTTGATCTTGATCTTGATCTTGATCTTGATCTTGATATCGAAGAGGAATTAAATTAATCTGTAGGTCTGTATATAATATAGAGATCAATGCTTGATCCTGATATTCACGATTCAAAAGTTCTCATATCTGATTTATTCAAAAGTTCTCATATCTGATGTATTTAAAGTCACGAGGAAGGGTTGCCTCACGAAAGAAGCTTCGTCATGATCTGTATTATCAACAAACATAGGGAAACTGGACATGGCAAATCTAAGAAGCTTGCTAAACGACAGGTAGACCATTTACTGTTTACAGTTAATACCTGGGTGCGCCGGATATATATTATAAAGAGTTTGAGCAAGTAGGATTTCAAATTAATGTGTCTTTAAAAAAAACGTTCCCGAAAAATCTGATAAACTTCGAGAAATAACTTTAGGTCATTTTAAGCCAGAACTTGAATTTTGGGCTAAAACCGCTAGCTTAATCTTAACTTTTAATTGTATTTTTAAGATATGAAATTTTAATCACACCCGACTGTGAATTGAAAACTAAAATTCTCTGGTTTGGAATCCAATTTATTTGATTTTTTTAGAGAAAAAAAATCTAAAACTCTTAATATTTTCTTTGGTTTTGCTTTTTTATTTTCATGAACACTCCCTTTTTGTCTAGGCTGCTAACCGTATGATAAAGAAGCTACAGATGCTACCCTCAGATAATGAAGACGGAAACCAGAATATTGACGAGGACGATTTGGCGCAGGTTAGTGGAGATATCACTCTGACGAGCAGAAACCTAGCGGAGATAATTATAATTGAAGCGCAGTGACACCTAGCGGAGATAATTATAATTGAAGCGCAGTGACACCTAGCGGAGATAATTATAATTGAAGCGCAGTGACACCTAGCGGAGATAATTATAGCAGATTCTTTCGGGGTTTTCAAAACATCTAATATCATTGATAAACAGAATTGGTTTTGGAGATATTTAAAAGATTCAATTTATACTGATATCAAGTCTTCATCCACAATAGAAACGTAATCCGCTAAAACTGCCGATTCATATTTTAGAAAAATAGAGAATTTGCATAATCTTGGCCTTGCTTGCAATACATGAAGTTGAACCTAACTCAACTAAAATTTATATTAAAGAGACATAACAATCTTGCTTAATCTTGGCCTTGCTTGCAATACATGAAGTTGAACTTAACTAACTCAACTAAAGATTATATTAAAGAGACATAACAATCTTGCTTAATCTTGGCCTTGCTTGCAATACATGAAGTTGAACCTAACTCAACTAAAATTTATATTAAAGAGACATAACAATCTTGCTTAATCTTGGCCTTGCTTGCAATACATGAAGTTGAACTTAACTAACTCAACTAAAGATTATATTAAAGAGACATAACAATCTTGCTTAATCTTNGGGGGGGGATTTCATTTTTAAGGTTTGTTTCAAACAAGCTCAGTTCACTCATATCATTGAAAAAGAATAAATCATTCTTGTCAATGTCTACATATGAACTTCAACTATGTTTTTGACTCTTTTATTTAATTAGATTGTATACTTAGGTGAATAAGTTTCATCGTGTTTTGAAGAATTTGGACGGCGAATACATTAACAAACTGCATTCTGATACATCAAGGAACATTAATTGATTAAAATTTTTAAAAATGGCTAAACATCAACCAAAAACTGTAAAAAAAACCTATTGATCTCAAAACCCAAATCTGAATTGCTAAAAAAGAGAGATTCTTAAAAATTCTTTATCTCTGAATGGTTCATCAAGTTTTAGTATAAAAATGAGGGGAGGGGGGTCGTCGGGGGAAGAATTGTGAGTTCTTCTTGTAAAAAAAATCTAAAAATTTGAATGAAATGTTCATTACTTGGATCCGGATTCCCATCAAATTGAAATGGATCCTTAGCACGGGTGCCTACTGCCTACTGCCTACTGCCTATACTCGTTCTTATTTTTTATTTTCGTAGCTATCTTTTAATATTTAAAACTTTAAATTCTGCATGTTGAAATGTTGAAATGATATTCCATACTGAGAACTATTACAATGATTTAGGGATTAGAAAACTAGCGTTTGAGGCGAGTGATCAGTTTCTTGTTTTTTAATGGTTTGCTGGCAGCCTGGCAACCTGATAATTTTGATATTTTAAACTTTAAATTCTGCACGTTGAAATGTTGAAATGGTGTACATTCCATACTGAGAACTATTACAATTATATAGGGATTAGAAAACTGGCGTTTGAGGCGAGTGTTCATTTCCTATTTTTTTTCTTAATAAAATAAACTATTTAATTGTGTGCTGGTCCAGTGATGTGAAAAACGAAGAAGCTGAAGCGGGTTTTGATGATCATAGTAGAGAACTATTGGAGAATATTTCTATAGAACAGAAGTTTGAAGTAACATACGTCGACATTGAAGAATTATCAAAAAAGGTGATATTTCTAAAAAAATATCGTTATATTTGATAATCCATCTGAAAGTGACTGTATACGCAATTTCTTCATTTGTATGAGATTTGTCATTTTACAACGTTACCCTATTTTACAGAGAATAGATGAAATATCCATATTTTACTCTTTGAAAATGATTAAGGGCGGATTTTTAAGTTAGAATATCGACAATTTCTTTCATTTTTTGGTCATATAAAGGTTTAAAAGGTACTAATTTCACAGCACAGCTGGAAATTACAACCACAATACCTTGGAAAGAGTTTCCGGCATAAATCAACTTTTGTAAATTAGAATTATTCTACTTGAGAGAATTGATTGTGTTGCAATAAACATTAAACAATGAACAATTAACAGTGCACCCATTATATTATTTTTATAATAATATTTAAATTTAGGGATTATTTCAATGTCTGGTTCAGCTCTCAACAGTTCCTGTAGCAGTGTGCTTTGGATCAGGAATGATGATAAACCAAAAAAGTTTTCAAATTTTGAGAAAGCCTCCCACAATCCAAAAACATTTAGCAATTCTGTGAAATCACTTGAAAACAAGGAAATTGTCAACCACAAAAGTTTTTTTTGGATCAACATTTTTTAACAGGGTTGAATTATCAATGTTAATATTTTTAAGTTCTCAATTTCTCAGTTTTTGTTTGTGTAGATTTCTGTAAGATATTAGGCTTTAAGGGCGTGTACCGCCGCCACTTTCTTGTAAATAATTTTGCTTTTAGTTGTTGCTCAAATAGCCGGCCATTTTTAATATTGTCAAACTTTGGGGGATTTTTATATTTAGCGCATTTAAAAAAAATCAATTCTCTTTTTTACCCGGATTTTTTTAAATTTAATTTTTATGGTCCATAATCCTTTCTTAGGTTCATGTGAGGTCCCACACAAAATTAAGATCCAATTGAATGCTAACAAACAGACAGACAAGCAAAGTATAAGATAATTGATCGTATTTATCTCTAAATACAATTTGGAAGACGATGTTTATCAACGTTAACGTCAGGAGAATCCGAGGTGGAAGCTAGAACAGCTGCGGCCGAAAATGCGCTAGACTATCTCAGAATCATGACTAGAAAATAACTTGTGATATATATTTGTATTCAGTATTGTATATTTTGTATTTACACTGTTTTTTAGTAAGTGGCCTACGTAAAAATACGTAAATTTACGCGGGTTATGAATTATATCTTTAACTATTTTTGTCCGCCCTGTATTTCTGTCTGTATTTCTAATGATCCTGGTCTTCAGTATTAACAAATCTGAAGACTTTAACGAGTTTTTATGTTGCCAGGTCGCCGGACTAATTGGAGCTGACCCCAAGGAAATTATTTTTACCAGCGGAGCCACAGAGTCTAATAATATCAGCGTCAAGGGAGTGGGCAGGTAATCTCAAGTCTTTATTTAGAAAAGTTAATAAAAATTACAATTTCAGATAAAACTTGCAATCATATAAAAATATTTTCTTAATTTATAAATGGGAATCTTAATGTAGTTAAAGGGTCCCTTCCATTTATTAAAAAGTGTAATTTTAAAGTCTCTTTGTCGGTTTTATTTGGGGGTTAACTGACTCCAAACCCAAATCGGAACTATTGAATAAATAAAGGTTGAAAAACGTCCTTATTTCGGAATGATTAATCAAGTTTTAACATATAAATAAGCGAAAAAAAGAGAAAAAAAACATTTGAAAATTCCGCTTCGCTAAAAAATTCAGTAAATCCATTTTTTTCCAGTGCGGATTCAGGATCCGGATCCGTATTAAAATTAAATGGATCCTAAGCACTGGTTTTATGTTTTATAATCAATGAGACCGTTATCTGTTAAATTATTCTTTAATATTGAATGTTTTCTAGATTTTATAAGAGTAAGAAGAAGCATATTATAACCACCCAAACAGAACATAAATGTGTTCTGGATTCATGCAGAGTCTTAGAGTCAGAGGGAATAGAGGTAATAATAATATTAATAACAATAATGATAAATATCGCGGTCAACCCGTGAACTGTAGTGATAATGCTTGAACTCCTGTCCGTTTAAGTTATAATAAATTAACTCAGTAAACATTGTTCATATTTCATACACTGTACAGTGTACAGTGTCCACTGTACACCGAAAACGACACCTTAGAGTACTAAATTTGTTTAGAAGATTCACTTTCATAGCAGAATCTAAATACCTGAGGTTGAAAGTCTGCACTTTATTTAAATTAACTGAAAAGAAAGGAGGCAAAAAAAAAGAACCTGAGCTTATATTTAAGAAGGTTACAGTGAATTTGAGTTTGCTTTATGATTGAGGGTAGGTTTTAAAAAAAATTAATGTTGAGTGGGGCAGCATATTTTATTCAAATATTCGAGAAAATTAGCTTTTTTTGGAACAATTTGGACTCCTGTGAAGGACTTCTTGCCCCCGCCCCTACGGGGGGGGGTAAGCTTTCTTAGGGCGGGTCTTGTCCCCCCCCCCTTAATCAGGCTAAGGGGGGGGGGACTAAGCACCTGGACTATGCCAGTTATCCAATGACTAATTAGCAGTAAAATAACTTGCGTTACACTTCAGAAATAAAATGGATTTTCACCATCATTTTAACTTGACAACTTTCTCAGCAGTGCTTGACTAAAGGACCAAAGACATAGTAGTAAATCGCATATAGTATCTGTAGATTAATGTTGACGTTGAAAATATTCTAAACAATGAGTGACCTATTTTTATTATGTTTAAGGTGACATATTTACCAGTGGAGGCTTCTGGCCTGGTTAACATGGAGCTACTTGGTAATATTGATTTTTTCTCGTTTTTTTAAATTAAGATTTTAAACGGGTACTTTTTCATATCATGAATTTTATCCAAAAAAAACATTAGTTAAAAAATGAGGATTATCATTCATACCAATGATTTTATTTTTGATTACAAACCTTACAAACCTTTTTTGTGTGCAGCATTTAAAGTACCTTTATTTGGATCAGGCACCTTCGATCAGATTTTACCAAAATGTTTCTACAGCTAGATACTAAATAATTTAGAGAAAAGTATGCGTCCTGATACCTCCCTTGTGAGTATTATGACAGTTAACAATGAGATCGGTGTTCTCCAGCCTGTTGAGGAGATAGGGAAACTCTGCCGGAGCAAGAAGGTTTGTTTCAACACACAATATTAATGTTTTTCTTCATTTTTACTGGTTCTTGAAAAGGGTTCCTTGTTCTGAGAAATGGTTTTTGAGACATTTTTTTCCCCATCTCCAATATAAATGGGATTTTTTGTGTCATTTTAATTGACTCTTTGTAAAAATAGATTCCTTATCGAAGAAAGATAACTTGTCGCGGCATATTTCTTCAATTATGCAACAATATTAATTTTTGAATTATTTATGTCCTTTTTGAAAAATATTAAATGTTGACATTTGTTTCATTCAAAATTTTCTTATTTTGCGGGTTCATAAACCTTCCGAGGAATGAGTTGTCAAAAGATATGTGGGCCGGTTCAGCCGTTTTGACGTCATTTGGAAACATACAAAAACAGACAGAAAGACAAGCAAAAATCATATTTTGTTTTGTTTTCCCCTAGATTTTCTTCCACACGGATGCTGCACAGGCGGTGGGTAAGATCCCTATAGACGTGAACAAGATGAACATCGACCTCATGTCTATCAGTGGGCACAAACTCTACGGACCCAAGGTAGTAAGGAACATTATTCGGAAGGGGATTGATCGTGATTTTTGAATAGTGGTTCACCTGGTCAAATTCAATCTACATTAAAGGGACTGTTGGCGTAATTTAAAGTGACCCACATTTGTGTTTGATTTACCCTTTAAACCTTTGACTGATCAAGGATCATGTACTTATATTCTAATGTATCTACAGAATTTGCAATTGTTAATATTTACTTTCTATAAATCGCAGAAAAATATTTATATTCGAATTTTAGAAAACCGTGTTGGACAAAGAATATTCGTGATTTTTGAGGAATATATGTAACGTCAGCCGCGTTGAGTTCATGTACGTTAGCGAACACTTTAGTTTTACAGCAATTTGTAAACCAAACACGCTAATTTTATGCCCTCGATAATCGGTGAAAGGTTTAATGGGTACCGTTGTAAATCAGGAATTCCCAAATTTGCATGGAGGATCACTTTAAATAACGCTTACAGGCAAGTAAAATTTAATTTTAGGGTAATTGAAACATCTGAAAGAGTTTGAAAGACATGTTTTACCTAGAATCATGAAATGTACAGCCTATTTAACACCTTTACTATTCAGGGAGTCGGAGCTCTATATGTAAGACGACGTCCAAGAGTTCGTGTTGAACCTATTCAGTCAGGAGGAGGTCAAGAGAGAGGTTTAAGGTAGAATAACTCTGCAGTTTATTAGCGTCTGAGTCTTTATCTTGAAAGTAAAGGAACATATGATTGTCTAAGCTGCTTTTAGAGGGGTATTCAGGGTGGGGGGCTATGGGGGCTCAGCCCCCCCCCCACTGGACCAGTAAAATCTGTGGGTTTCATGGTTTTTTTTAGGCCCCAACAGGTACTGAGCACCCCCTTTTGGAAAGCAAAAGAAATATAACCCCACCTGGAAAAATTCCTAACCACGCCCCTAGCTGCTTTATGTGAAATAGTAAAACCCAATTAGTCAGTTACCTCAGGGGTGTAAACAGTAGAGGTTCATCTAGGATTACTTCAGTGAACATTGTACAATGTATATTTAGACACATAAAATTAGACCATAAAATCTACCCCTTGGGAAGTCTTAAACCTGCCACGAAATGTCATATCAAACTCTGGTTTGACTTTTAAAAATAAATAACAAAAGTAACAATAGTAACAATAGTAGCAATGTGATGAAACCCTAGAAATTGGATTATCATCTATAAAAGCTCGTAATATTTACCGTTAATTTAGAACAGTCCCTTAAAATGTGTGTTCTAGGTCTGGTACTGTCCCTACCCCCCTGGTGGTTGGACTGGGGGCAGCTTGTGAAGTTGCCCAGGAAGAAATGGTTTATGATAAACAACATATTGATTATCTTGCAAATAAACTTATTCAGGTATCTATTTTCTATAAGTATAAATTAGTAATCTCTGAAGGTATGTCCGATCATAACTCAGGAACCCCTTGACCAATTAGCCTCAATTGTTGATTGGTAAGCTCGGAAGAACTATAGGAATGTTCCTAGCTGGGTTTAAAGATTCTTAAGTTCAGTGGGTTAACTTTGTTAGGGATAGTAAAGTTTCCAGTGAAAGCTGGGGTTCCAAGCTATTCATTTAAAGTCCACGTGATAATCATAGCATATTGAGTTACGGGGATTTCGAAACTGTGTCTAATTTAGTTTTTTTTTGTGTGAAAATCAATTTTAAAGTTAATAATGGCAATATTTTTGTTCAGATTTATGTTTTTATTATTAAAAAAGAGTTAAGTTGTAAAGTCACTGAAATATAGTACGTTTATGATTATTTCCGTAATTAAGAATGATAGATTTTTTTATTAGGGAATACAAACAGCTATGCCCAACGTAATTCGTAATGGAGACGCAGTTCAGACATACAACGGATGCGTCAATTTATCCTTCCATTGCGTAGAGGGAGAATCCCTGCTCATGGCTCTGAAGGTAATTTTCATTTATTTACGTTAGCGCTTGCAGAGCTAGGCCTGAAGTTTTCTATTGTAATCTGACAACAATGTATATATTATACATTGCTTTACTCAACCTTATACACGAATTGGTTAATTATATGGATTTTTTTGTCCTAAATTTTTATGTTATTTTATAGCTGGACAAAATAATTCATTTAAATTGTAGAAATGGCTGCAAATCTTAACGATAGCCAAGTTTAACAAATGCGGGATAGTTTAATATATGAAATGTTGTCCCTGTGTGAAATAATGTTGTACAGGATATTGCTGTATCCAGTGGGTCAGCTTGTACCTCTGCTAGCCTTGAACCCAGCTATGTACTGAGAGCTATTGGAGCTGATGAGGATCTAGCACATTCATCCATCAGGTACTCTATAGTAAAAACAGTGCACATACATTTATTTTTCAAACTACAAAGTACTTGTTATTATCTTTAGTTCTGATAAGTTTCGGCCAAATTCTCGCTGATATTTGGGTGGCAGTTTGCAACCTTTCACTATAGGTGGGGGGGGNATATCTAAATTATTTATATTTCCAGAAAAAGTCATTCCGTATAGTTCATTACATGTTATACATTGTTATTAAATTGATATTTAACAGTGGGCAGCAAACAATTAATGCTCTCATTAAAATTAAAAATACTTAAGAGCTGTGAATGGTAATTTCGCATTATTTCGGATGTCCAGTAAGATAAAACATACAAACTTTGCTGTCAGTCATTAAATTGAAAATTTTCTATTAAAAGCTATAAGGTCCAGACTTGACTTAGTTTAGTCATTTCAAGGAAGAACCACTTTCTTAAAAATCTGGTTTGATCCAATTTTACTAACAATCAATTACCAATGGCCAATTGGAGAGGGAATCTCCGGCCGCCTTGATCAAAGGAATCGAGGATCATGACCCAGGATAAAGCTACAACAACAACATTATAGGAAGATATTAAGAAACCAGATTAGAAAATGAATTCGATTAAATTAGTTAAAATCTTTGATTTAAGCGATGCTTTTTTTTCAAAAAATTTTTCATGTTAAAAATTCCATGTTCTGCAAAATTATTGTGTTAAAGAATTATCCAAATTAAAAAAACATCAACAAAATAGATATTGCTAAAATTATATATTTTCACAAATCAATTAGAATTCATTTTAGAATTTGTTAGTCTAATATCTCCCTTTTCGCGTAAAAAAAAAACTTTTTGTTTAATATAAAATTTGTAGCACACAGCGGAGGCTCGGTGCTGCATAGCAAATATGGTGGCCGCGGGTTTCCTCCATATACCAATTGTTATATTCTTAACGAATTCTTATTTAAAATGGATTAAATTAAGGTTCAAAGTGAAATCATAAAATTATTAAGGTTTGGAATTGGTCGGTTCACAACGGAAGCTGAAGTTGATTATACTATTGAGAGAACAATTAAAGAGGTGAGCTGCTCATTATTGATCGAATGTTATAGAGTCTCAAAGAACAGGTTTTTTAACAACTGGCAGCTTGAAATTGTCATTAATTGCTTAAATATATAGAATAATCATTCGGATCAAAATATTTCTAGATTTTACAGTTTTATTATTTTTTATTATTTTACAACGTTTTTATTTAATATCATGATTAAAGAATACCCTGGACGATGTGCTTACTGTAATCAATTGAAAGAAATTTTTTAACGAGGTTTAATGATTTGATTCTTAACTGAATGACTGATTTTATTCTAATTGATTAATTAACAGATTGATTGATGGATTGGTTGGTTTACTTAAGAGTGATTGATTGAGTGATGTATTGATTTATTTGTTGATTTATCGGTTGGTTGATGGATGGATTGATTGATTTATGTAGTGCGTGTTTGATTGATTGATTAATTGATGGTGATTGATTGATTTGTGTTAAGGTTACCCGGCTGCGTGAGATGTCTCCCCTGTGGGAAATGGTTCAAGATGGCGTCGATATAAAATCTATCCAGTGGACCCAACATTAATCTCCAATATGTTGAAATATACTTCTGTAAATTATCTTTAAAATGCGCATATTTTTCTTTCATTGTGATTTAGAGTTTAACTATAAATTATCATTATTCAATTTATAAACTAAATTTTGAACAAAAAGCCCAAAACCGGTTGTTTTTCAGACAAAATGGAGGTTCCGTTAGAGGTGAAAGATAAAGATCTTGTAAGAGCTTTATGATCTTTATATTGCGATTTTTTAAAGTAGTATTTTAATTAACATGTTTTAATATGTTGGACAATATAAACGCTTAGTTTTTGGGTAGTTACATAAATTTAAGGTTTGAATTGATTTTTGTTCTGTGTAAAAGCTACTGGCTCCTATTTGCTTTTGCACGTAACCCGGTTAGTGTCCAAAGTTTGATGACAGACATATAAAGCTATAATAAATAATATGGTCCTTATACGTTAATTCGACTAACAATGTTGATAGCTGACTTAAAATTTAATTTCAAAAACTGTTAACGATATTCCTCTCGTTTTAACTGTAATTTTCACAACACTTTTTTTGTTTTTTGTTTTACTGTTAATTTTAAATAAAATTGAAAGCCCTCCATTTATATTGTAAATAGTAACAATTAACATGTTTTATTGACAACAACGTTGATTTAACGAGGACGAATGAGCTCTTTTAGATGAAAATTGATTACCTCAAATTATGCTTTCTTTATAAAAATAACTTGCGGGTATGGAAAATTGGTCATATCTTTCTTACTGTTACTCAGACAGAGATTTAAAGGCGCGGTTGTGATCTAAACAAGCCTCATCTTAATGGATGGTCAAATGAATTCTTAAGAACCTTTAATTATATTGAGATCATAAAACAATGTTAAAAACAGAAAATGCGCTAAAAAATTTGTTCTCTAATATCCTTCCTATGGATATATCTGGTTCGTAGGTTGAGGTTGAGAGCTCTGACTCTGTTCCGACCTCGGAGGAATACGAGGTTGTGAAAGAACAGTCTCCAAGCCCTGATCCAGGTCTGTAAATTAACTTAAAACTTAGAACTTGGAAATTGGAAATGGCGGGTGTAAAGCGATAAGTTTGCTTGATGATATCGATATCCACTGTGGGCACTTTGAATTTGCGGATCATTGCTAAAATCTCTTCATTTCAGTTGTCCTTTCAGGGAAGAATTACACTGCGGATCCCGAATAAAGCTTAAGTTAATCTGCAGATTAAGAAGAGATCGAGATAAAGCATTGATTTCGATGTCAAGCTCAGAACTGGGATCTGAATCAAAACATTTTGATTCTAACAAATTTAAAGATTTAATTTTCTAGGATTTGTCGGGGATGAGAAGCAAATTGAGGAGAGCCTGAAGGAGTGCCTTGAGGAGAACGAAAAGAAGGGGGAGGTAGAGATGGAGGAGGATAAGAAGGCTGAGGAGGTTGAAGATGGATCAGAAATAACTTTGAACAACAGTTTGACAAATGAAAATCTATTAGGTATAGTTAAGATTAAAACAATTATTATAAAATGTCACTGAAAATTCTGTGGTTATCTTCTTAATTTATTATTATAAAATGTTACTACGGATTCTGTGGTTGTCTTCTTAATTTATTATTATAAAATGTTACTACGGATTCTGTGGTTGTCTTCTTAATTTATTATTATAAAATGTTACTACGGATTCTGTGGTTGTCTTCTTAATTTATTATTATAAAATGTTACTACGGATTCTGTGGTTGTCTTCTTAATTTATTATTATAAAATGTTACTACGGATTCTGTGGTTGTCTTCTTAATTTATTATTATAAAATGTTACTACGGATTCTGTGGTTGTCTTCTTAATTTATTATTATAAAATGTTACTACGGATTCTGTGGTTGTCTTCTTAATTTATTATTATAAAATGTTACTACGGATTCTGTGGTTGTCTTCTTAATTTATTATTATAAAATGTTACTACGGATTCTGTGGTTGTCTTCTTAATTTATTATTATAAAATGTTACTACGGATTCTGTGGTTGTCTTCTTAATTTATTATTATAAAATGTTACTACGGATTCTGTGGTTGTCTTCTTAATTTATTATTATAAAATGTTACTACGGATTCTGTGGTTGTCTTCTTAATTTATTATTATAAAATGTTACTACGGATTCTGTGGTTGTCTTCTTAATTTATTATTATAAAATGTTACTACGGATTCTCCAATTTGATAGTTATGTATTCTTTTATTTCACTTTTGAGAGTTGGGACTGGTTGGTGGTAGGATTCATTTAAGATTTGATTTGATTTGATTTGATTTGATTTGATTTGATTTGATTTGATTTGATTTGATTTGATTTGATTTGATTTGATTTGATTTGATTTGATTTGATTTGATTTGATTTGATTTGATTTGATTTGATTTGATTTGATTTGATTTGATTTGATTTGATTTGATTTGATTTGATTTGATTTGATTTGATTTGATTTGATTTGATTTGATTTGATTTGATTTGATTTGATTTGATGAATAGTACTCTTAAAAAGAGACCCACTAAGTTAATTTCTGTTATTCTAGAGGATCAAGACCACACGATCTTCCACAACATTTATCATCTTGGAACAGTCAATATTGGAGATCCTAAGGCAAAACTGGAAAATTAAAATCATATTTAATCTTTAGACTTAAACAAAACTATTTGATAAAAGTTAGTTTATAGAATGTTCATATCGTGCCTCTTTTCTATGGACTCTCATTGTAAACTAAAGTCAGGGGGGAGGCATGAAACGTATTACTCTCCGGGAAATTTAAACAGTGTCAAGGGCGTATACAGGGGGGGGGCATGGGGGGCAGTGCCCCCCCTAGACTTGTAAAGGGGGGGGGCGTAGCCCCCCCCTAGAATTCTGCAAGCCTTTCACACTTTTCAAATCTTAACTGAAAAGTGAAGAAATCAAAAAAAATAAGTTTGCTTTTCATGATTATTATAAAAAAACAAAATTTTAAAATATATATAATTACAGTGCAGTGCTCATGCTGTAACCAAGTTAACCTAACCAACCTAACCTAATTTTAACTTTTAAGTTCACAGAGTACACAGAGTTTAGTTGGGTTAGAGAACACACAGTCTGCATACATTTGTACAGCTCACACACTTTACATTATATGCTAGTCTTGTTTAGTAGTGATGTGAGTCTGTTAAAAGTTGCCGTTGTGACTGGTATCTGTGAATTGCTGATTAATAATTATCATGAATCAAATACTGTTATTTATAAGCCTTGAGTTATCATTCATTCTTAGATTGCAGCAATTGTACTCCTACTTTTTTTCACAACAGAAACTTTTACAAGTCATAATTATTTTCTGGACCTTTGTACTTCTTTTCATCTCATAGAATTTAAGTTTAAGTTAAGTTTTTATTTTCAAAAATGTCTTTTACTATCTCTAGTTTAAATACTAAATATACCTGTAAAAGTATAATAAAATGTCGATTTTTTAGAAACAATGCTTAGAAGGTAATTATTTGGACTGTATGTGTGCCTTTTAAGTATCTTATACTTACGCCTGATATCCAAGAAGCCAAGTGTTATGAATTTACAGTTCGAATTTTGCCCCCCCCCCAGGAGCTCCTAGGGGGGGGCAAAAGCTTCGCGCAAATCTTGCCCCCCCCCTACATTTATTTCTGTATACGCCCTTGAACAGTGTTTAAACATAACTTAGAATTGTCCTGATTTTTATATGCGAGCTTAAAATTATGTATATTACAACATTCATTTTTAAGTTTTGAACGGATCTGAGCAAAATTGCGCGCACGCGCTTTTCGTGAAAAAAATACGATTTTTTTGACAGTTAATCAATCTTAACTTCATTAATTTCATTGGAAGATACTCTTGAAAAAAATATGCGCTCAAAATAATCACCTCCAAAGCCTTAAATGTCTACGCGCGCGCGCAATAAAAGAAAATATCTTTGAATACTTCTTTGCTTTGTTTTTATAGGGAAAACATTTTACTCTCTTCAATACTAAAAAATTCGTATTTTCGTAGACGTTACAATTTTTTACGTTTTAATTTTGGAGCCGATTGGTCCTCTCCAAGGGTTTTGTCTTTATAACAAATAATACAATACATAGTTGAAAAATGTAAATGGTGAGGATGTAATATTTACAGCTTTGTTAATAGGATGAAGCAATGATACAGCAGAATATGACTCTTCTTAGTAAGGTAAGTTTTAGGTTCAACCGCAAGGAAATAAAAATAATTTTTTAAAATTTCCCCTATGGTGGAGGAATAATGACAAGGTGGGACAAAACAAAAAGATGTTTTAAAATATTTGAGCAAAAAATTTCTTTGTTTCTCGTATAAAGTGTTGTGAATCGTTTTTTAAAAACTTTCAATAAAACTTCCAACATTTCAAAACCGTATTCTGTTAAAGTTTACTTTAACAAACGTGGCAAAATTTTAATCCTAAATAAAATAAATAAAACGAACAAAAAAAAGGATCATTTTAAGTCATTCGTTTTTGTTTTGGGTGTTTTTATTCTGGTTCGTTCTTTTTGCATGTATTTTTTTCCAGGGTCAATTTGGCAGCTTAGTGTACAAGAAAAGCAAATGCTTAAACCAAACAATTTGAAAATCTATGCAAATGTTGAGAATAAACTTTTGAATACCTGGCAAATTTTGACCCTGAGAGCAAATACCAAAACGGTTAACAACAACAACAAGGTGCAAGAAGGAAATAGTTACTTGGCAGACCTCTTACCTTTTCTCAAATATCTAATTAATGTAATTAAAATCTTAGTTTAAAATATAATGTTATTTTATTAAACAGGAATGTGTTTCCCCAATGGGAGTGTCTGTGTCTGTGCCCCGCCTGTCCAGTGGTTGCGTAGTAGTTCGAGAATCTGCCACCAGGAGGAGGGTTAGTAGCATCAAGATACACAGGAATAAATCCGATATAAATATTAATATTCATGGAATTATGGAAATATTATTCCCCTCCTCCCTTTTCAAATAAGTTTTCCTTCAGATAATAGGTGTGTTTGAATGAAGCAAAAAAAATTTAATGTGTTATTCGCTGAATTTTTGGCAAATGAATTTTTGGGTAAAAATACTCAAAAAAGGTTGACATTTTTATGTCTAACTTTTTTCCCCCGGGGGGTAATTCTCAATTAATTGATTACGGTACTCATTCTTTAATTTTCTAATTCTAATCTTTGAAACCGGATGTTGTAGACTAGTCTTAATACAAAACAGATGTGAAAAATTTAAAATATCAAAGGTTTAGACCATCAGGTTGCAAAGATATAGGGATTATAAAATTTGAGTTTGAGGCAAGTGTTCAATTTATTCTTTTTAAGTTTAGAATGTTTTTAAAATATGGTAAAACCTGTTGCAAATTTTTATTTTCCGTAGATTCAATTTTTCATTGGATAAATATGTAGAATAACCTATTTCGCCCGGGGTGATATTACCACAACGGAGAAATCCTGTTTCGCGTTCACCGCTAGTATGCCAGATAAGGAGGCCGGTCACTTGTACCAGTGCTTTGTATTCAGGTAAACTGATAAATTAAATATTTTTTAGAAATTCAAAAAAGAAATGTTAAAACCCCTGCTATAAAAGGTTGGTTGGGGGACAGGTGGCCGGAATGGAACGGGTAGGGATCATCTGAATGTTGTGACCCTCTCATCTGGCAGCGATCTTTAAAAATGCCTTTTTTAATACTTCTTAAAATTGACGTTTATTGGATATAAACGGACAAAAACAAACAAACAAACAAACAAACAAACAAACAAACAAACAAACAAACAAACAAACAAACAAACAAACAAACAAACAAACAAACAAACAAACAACAAACAAACAAACACCAAAACAAACAAACAAGCAAGTGTATAAATAGAAGATGTATTTTACAGACACCTAGATGTTTTGTGTAGATGTTAGGTACTTTCCCAAAGGATTTTTCCCAAGCGGCAACTTTCAAAGATAACAAAACGTCGATTATCTAAACGTCGATGGTGTACAAAACGACGACTGCTACAAAACGTCGACTACTACAAAACGTCAACTGCTACAAAACGTCGACCACTACAAAACATTGAGTAAAAAATTCTAAAAACACAATTTTTAAATAAAAAATCCGCAGAAATTTGTTTTTAAATACGCCCCCTAATTGTTGCGCGAAAAAATATTATGAAATACGGAAACTTTTCTATGTTTTTTATTTTACATTCTACAAAAAGAAAAGCTCGCAGATAAAGCAAGATCAAGAATTAAGAGTTGAAATATAGGATGGGCGCGAAGCGCCAAAAAAGTCTAGTTCTCTAAAAATTACTTTCGAATTCACGCAGCCAAGGCAAGGAAGACAATTCACAAAATTTTGCTAATCTTAAGATAAAAACTGACGATATTTTCATCATTGTTACTAAGATAAGGGGTTAAAGGGTGCCCCAACGAATCAAGTAAGTAACATTTTATTTGGAATTTCATATTGTGCAGCAGTTAACAGCTTACCAAGGTTTCATTGTTGGTTTGGATTCTAGGACCAATGCATCTAATACTCTGAACTACTGTGAAGGTCATAGTTTCTTTCTCTGAAGATGTAAAGAATACAACTCAATGAAGCTTCCTCAGTAGATTTATCAGATTTGGTATTGATATCAAAACTGATGTTCTATGCCAGATTAACGAAACCAATTTATAAAGTATCTGAATGTAAAAGAAACAATTATAAGGCCTTTTGATGAATTTTGAATAGTAAATAAAACAAATGTAGGTATGAATATCTAACATATAAAACTAGAATATTGAAGTACAATCCGTTGTGATAATTTCTCCCATCCCATGACTCGAGGACTACCAGTGATGAAGAATAATGACCTGCATCTCAGAGTGTGGATAAGATGCAGAACACACACATGAAATTACACCAACATGCAACATGCCCTTATATATTATCATTTTCAGGTGTGAAGTGGCCGCAGCTGTGGAGAAGATATTTGTAAATTTTGCGAAAGCATTCGAAAAACCTAAAGGAAAATAATCCAATTTAATAAGCTTAATTGGAGACTGGAAATAGTTGTGGAGGGAGAAGAAATATTTAAGATTAAAGGGTCTAGAAGTTAAAAGTTATTGGTAGAATACAGAAGAAATATTTAATAATATAGAAAGACTAAGAGGTTAAATACAGAAGCAATAAGATAGAAAAGGGGTAGCATAGACAAGTAGTAGATAGAAAAGAGGTAGAATAGACAAGTAATAAGATAGAAAAGATGTAGAATAGAGAAGTAATAAGATAGAAAAGAGGTAGAATAGACAAGTAATAAGATAGAAAAGATGTAGAATAGAGAAGTAATAAGATAGAAAAGATGTAGAATAGACAAGTAATAAGATAGAAAAGAGGTAGAATAGACATGTAATAAGATAGAAAAGATGTAAAATAGAGAAGTAATAAGATAGAAAAGATGTAGAATAGAGAAGTAATAAGATAGAAAAGAGGTAGAATAGAGAAGTAATAAGATAGAAAAGAGGTAGAATAGACAAGTAATAAATAGAAAAGATGTAGAATAGAGAAGTAATAAGATAGAAAAGAGTTAGAATAGAGAAGTAATAAGATAGAAAAGAGTTAGAATAGAGAAGTAATAAGATAGAAAAGAGTTAGAATAGAGAAGTAATAAGATAGTGTAGTGTAGTTATCCGAGCTGACCGGACGTGTCTTTGTGAGCTCCCGGATTAAACTGACCGACAACCCAACACCGGGTTAACTTATTCACATGCTCCATATTATGTGAAAACACAAACACTCAGATAACTTGTTTAGTGCATTTATTTCCAGTAAAAAATATTTCTACTAGACTCAAAATGACTGACACAAAAATAGACATGGGTCTTATAAGCGATTTAGTAAAAAAATTGGAGAAGTTGGAGAATTCGAAAGAAAGCGAAGGGTCTGAATGGAGTAAAGTGCAAGGAAAGGATAGAAAAGCANCTCTTTTTGAAAATTATAGGACAATGTGTTATAAACCGAATTGCTATTCATGTAAAACTAATTAGATATGTTTTAATATGCTTTGATATTTGTTGTGTACATGTATGAAAATTAATTTAAAATATAGTTATTCGAATTTATGTATAAACTATTTTGCATATGATAAATTCGCACCCTTATCTCTAATCGTTCTCCTTAAATCTATTTAATTGAAATATTCTGTTATTATTACTAACATTAGGTGGAAAAAATAATCAAAACAGCCAAGAGCTATTTTCCACCTAATTGCTTTATACTTGTACTGTTAATATAATCATCAATTTTGTGATTGTAAACTCTATCTGTATACAGATACATTTATTTTAGCAATAAACGTTATCTTATCTTATCTTATCTTAGAAAAGAGGTAGAACAGTTAAGTAATAAAGATATAAGAGGTAGAATAGAGAAGTAATAAGATAGAATAAAGAGGAAGAGAAAAGAAGTGATAAGATGTAAAAGAGGTAGATAAGAGAAGTAATAAGATAGAAAAGAGGTAGAATAGAGAAGTAATGAGATAGTAAAGAGGTAGATTAGAGAAGTAATAAGATAGAAAAGAGGTAGAATAGAGAACTGATAAGATAGAAAAGAGGTAGATTAGAGAAGAAATAAGATAAAAGAGGTAGAATAGAGATGTAATAAGATTGAAAAGAGGTAGAATAGAGAACTGATAAGATAGAAAAGAGGTAGATTAGATAAGTAATAAGATAGAAAAGAGGTAGAATATAGAGAAGTAATAAGATGGAAAAGAGGTAGAATAGAAAAGTAATAAGATAGAAAAGAGGTAGCATAGAGAAGTAATAAGATAGAAAAGAGGTAGAATAGAGAAGTAATAAGATAGAAAAGAGATAGAATAGAGAAGTAATAAGATAGGAAAGAGGTAGATTAGAGAAGTAATAAGATAGAAAAGATGTAGCACAGATAAGTAATATAGAGAAGTAATAAGATAGAATAAAGAGGAAGAGAAAAGAAGTGATAAGATGTAAAAGAGGTAGATAAGAGAAATAATAAGATAGAAAAGAGGTAGATTAGAGAAGTAATAAGATGTAAAAGACGTAGAATAAGAGAAGTAGATTATTAGGATAATAGATGAAGATAGAGCAGTTATAAACATTTCAGTTTCTTAAAAAATATTAACCATTATATCAGAAAAAAAAGGAAAAATTTGAATCGGAAAATATTGGAGTAGGACAAGGTGTTCGTGTTCAGCACCAGCTGCAGCTCTCCCTCGAGGAGGAGGAGGTCGTATTTGAGGTCGGCCTCGAGATCAGGGAGGACGATACCAAGGGGAACTTTGTCTATGTGCCAAGGTAGGAAGACAAAAGTGTCTGGCAAAAAATGGGGGGTCCACATTTACAAGATTAAAAACTATTTGAATCGCTGCCCTCACTCTTCCTCTTTCGAAAATAAAAAAAAATTTAGTGGCTGATATTTTTTTAAGGGAGGCGATAAATAAAAAAAACTGAAGCTTTTAATTATTTGTTTATTGTCGGTTGTGAAAAACTGTTGTTAACAGTTAACATTTGCATTTAATGGATTTACAATTTATATATTATTATTTAGGGATAAAGATTGTTTTAAGCTCAAGTCAAATGTGGAGAAACGAGTTTTAGTTTCAATCTGCCAGGTTTCAGACTCAACCAAACTTAAGGTTAGAAATATTTTCAGTTTGTCAAATTTTAGATTCAACCAAACTCGAGGTTAGAAATAGGTTTAATTTGCCAGTTCAACCAAACTCAAGGTTAGAAATAGGTTTAATCTGACAGTTCAACCAAACTCAAGGTTAGAAATAGGTTTAATCTGCCAGTTCATCCAAACTCAAGGTTAGAAATAGGTTTAATTTGCCAGTTCAACCAAACTCAAGGTTAGAAATAGTTTCAATCTCTCAGTTCAACCAAACTCCAGAAATAGTTTCATTCTGTCAGATTAACCAAAATAAAGGTAAGAAATCTAACTTTTAGAAAAAAAGGTATACCCGTGCAATGCATGTTCAGTTACTTTGTATATCCTCATTTATCAAAAATAACTAATTCTAAAAAAATCAATGTTAGGACCTCTCACTTAAATGACACGGAAGTTTAACGAATACATGTTTTCAGACAAATAATATTTTGTTTCTTATATCCATGTTTACAAACCACTTTTTCTACTTTTTCACTAAATCTGAAGGTGTCTGTTTTATAAAACGTTTAAAACCTATTCAAAAGGGGAATGGGGGGGGGGGTCAGCAAATTTTGGGCTAGGGTTGGGCCATGTTTCGAATAGGGTGTCCCAATAAACATAGGAATTAAGTGACGATTTTGATATCGTCTTTGTAAATGATTTTTCGATTTAGTATGGTGATGCCTACATAAGAAAGCTGTAATCCGTGGATTTTTTTCTGCTTGAGTTAAGAATTTGTTTGTTTAAGTTTTGATTGCAAATTGTTGTACTTAGTAAATTCAGAAATTCCTGTTTACAAACACAGTACAGTTTTTCCTCTTAACTGTTTATTTTGCAGGAATATTATAGAGCATACCTACATCATACAACGTTTTTCAGCTCAACAAAACAGCCATCTACCGTTTACATAAAATATGCTGCTAGCAGACGTAACTTTATTATGACCATTGAAATTAGGTTATACAGAGCTATTTCTTAACAAAAACTACTTCGAATTCTTCTCTTAGTTCCCACGTTTTTTGGGAAACCCTGTATCATTCTGCTATCAAGGTTGAGCGATGTTTTGGTATGCTTGTGTCTCCTGGTCGGAATGTTCGGCACAGTGATATGCAGCTACTCGAGGGGGTCAGAATGCTTCCGGCCGGCGCAGGCTGGACTATACAGGTAAAAGTTCACTGGTCGAATCTAATTATCAGTGAGAAGTAGTTGAACTATGTACGGAAGGTTGAACTACATCTCGTGTGTAAAAAATATTAGACTATAGAATTAACTTCAAAATAATTATACTAGCCTAGATAGTCCTACATAGTTCAGCTAGTCCTACCTAATCCAGTTAGTCCTACGTCTAGTTCAACTAGTACTACCTAGTTCAAATAGTCCTACCTAGTTCGGCTAGTCCTACCTAGTTCAGCTAGTCCTAATTAGTTCAGCTAGTCCTACCTAGTTCAGCTAGTCGTATCTAGTTCAGCTACTACTCCTGGGACCGAATTTAATAAATTTTAACTACGTCGCAGAACTATCTACTGACGGTTTTAATTATGATGTAGGAAAAATTTGAGTTGGTGATCCAAATTTGATCCAACAGTAGACAGTTCAACGACCCTGGAAATTCATTAAATTCAGTCCCTGATTACTTAAATCCGACTAATCCTTTTCGTTGTTTAATTGTTTGTATTTTTTTATTTTCTATTTTTTTATGTTTGGTTTGATAGAAATCAATTGTCATTGCAGGTTTGATTTTTTATGTTAAAAATAGTTCAAGGTCATTTAAGGTTCAATTTTTTATATTTTTTATATCAGGTTTTACTATAGATCTTATAAAAAGGGTATTTTAAGATTGTTTATAATCGATATCAGGGTCCATAAAGAGTTTTGATTTTTTTTATATATATCAGAGATCTTTCTCAAGTTCTGATTGATTACATCAGAGGTCCTTTAAAAGGTTTAATTGTTTTTATCACAGGTCCTTTTAAGTTTTAAACATTTAATTGTCTTAAAAGGTTTGATCGATCACATTTGTATCAGGGGTCCTTCTAACTATTTTATTGTCTGTATCAGGGGTCCTTCTTACCAAGAAATATATAGACCAGGAACAGCCATATCTCATTCGTCAAATCTGTGTACTGCAGTGGGAGGAGATCAAAACAAAAGAATTCAGGGCCAACGCACCATTTTTGAGGGAGAAGGGCCTAACGGGTTGGAATAAAAATATATTGCTATTGTATTTTCCATATTGACCATATATATTCGCTCTAACTTGATATATTAACTTGTTTTTGTTGGACTGTAATATCACATTGGGTTGTAGTCCTTTCCCTTCAACTTCTGTGGGGGCACTGGGTTTGTTTACATTTTTCCCACAGTGTACAGTACATAATATGTGCATATCTGAGTTGGGCGTTCCTGTATATAGTTCCTTGCTTCTTACTATTTGATTGTCTGTATCAGGGGTCCTTCTAACTTTTTGACTGTCTGTGTCAGGGGTCCTTCTAATCTATTTTATTGTCTGTATCAGGGGTCCTGGGATCCACGTGAAGCAGCGTTTGCTGTACTAAACCAGGAGACTGGACCGGATATACATAGCGTGTACATGACAGTTGCAGCTGATCTTGTCATTGCTAAGGTAAAAAAATTGTACAGTATGTTCATTGTACAGGGTTACCCACAAACAATAAGACTGCAAAGACGATCTCAAACTCTTTATATATAACAATTTCAAGATTAAATTCAGACTTCTGCCCTATTGACAGTCGTTTAATGGCTTAATAAACCATGAATATAAAACGCAGACAGTATACATTTGAAGTCGTCTCTGAAATCCCATCCTTTGTGGTTGGGTAACCCTGGTCATTGCACTGTGCACAGTGCACACGACATCAAACTTTAAAGTTACTTTCATCTAAAGTCTACATACATACATTGGAGGAACATACTACGCACTCGGTTTATTTTTATTTACAAATTAGTCATTTGCTAAAAAGAGACTAGAATTTGTACAGAGTTTAAACCAAAATAATTTGAAGCAACAGTTATTCAGGACAAATCCTATCTGTTTGAGCTTAATCTTTTTTATTATTTTATTTGCATTTAATTTCTGCAGTTTTTTTTCAATGTTGTTCTTATTTTCATATTTCCAATTCTATCCTGAATGTTTTTTATTATTATATTTGCCATTTTTTTATTATTATATTTTAAATTCTATCATAATTGTTTTATTATTATTTTTGAAATTCTATCCTAATTTTTTTTTTAAATTCTTTACCGTTTTTTATTATTATTTTTGAAATTATATCATGATTGTTATTATTATTATATTTGCAAACCTATTCTGAATGTTTGTTTTTACCAACTATTTCCCTGTAATTTGATTTGCTTGTTTGCCACACATGTTTGTTGTTTACGGTCGGGTTAGCGTCATGAATTTCTGATCATATTTCATTTTTTCAACTCAATTCTAACAGTTGATAAGAGCGAACAGGGAAGCACAAGCTCAATAATTTATGTTAGTGAAAAAATGTGAAATTACCAGAAATGAATTTTTATTCTTATCTGAAGAGAATAATTGAAGAAATAACTTTTTTCAATTTTTTTTTTCATCGGTATTTTTTTCCAATAGAAACCGCGCGTTAAGATCGAATTTCTGCTCTTTTTTTCACTCCCAACTTGGGAGTGATAAAAGCGCAGAAACCTCCCTTGAAATCAAGATTCCACTAATTTAGCCCCCCCCCCCCCTCACTCGTATACGCCTGTGCATACAATATATTATGCGTCGCATCTTTTTATGTAGAATAAAAATATTCATTGCGATGATAGTTATCAAATGAGAGTGATATTTGTAGATAGCTGAGCCTGTAAGGTTTGTAATAGAGACGAAAGCTCGTATATATCCAGCTACTGAGAGATATTGGTATTATACAAGGAGATCTGTTGTCAGAAGGTAAAATGCACAAAAAGGAACTGATAACTTGCATCTAAATCTTAGTCTTAAATCTTTGCAGACAGTTCATGTTCTAAACTTTGAACTCGCCAGATTAATTATTCAACGCCAAGTTAAGACTAACGTCATCAAGTTGCAAAGATATGTGAAATTGAAGATTGGTGTTTGTAATCAGTTGCTTTGTAGAATTTCATAATCTCTTTTCCCCTAAACAGAACAGTAAATCTTAGCATCTGTTTCAAATATTTTAAATGATAATTTGTTTAACTTTAACTAAAATAAATTTAGGATTTTAAGGAGCACTCAATTAAAAACGGAAGAACGTGTGAAAACGCACTGTTGTACACTTATTGTTCGGGTATAACAAAAACTTTCAAATAATAAATTTGAATTTCAAGGTTCTACCTGAGTATTCGAGGTCAAGGCACTGACCTACAGCTGATCGAGGTGAGAAAGGGCGAGGAACTTGAACAACAGGGGCGAATATCCGCCCTGCTCGCCTCAGGACTGGCGTCTTGGCGAGGCGGAGAAACACTGGAGTCTTCGAGTACTTTAGAGCAGGTTTGTTTTGTAGTTCAGGAAGGTCAGGTAGTTCAGGTAGTGCAGGTAGGTAAGTTAGTGCAGGTAGGTCAGGTAGGTTAGGTAGTTAAGGTAGTGCAGGTAGTGCAGGTAGTGTAGGTAGTGCATGTGGTGCAGTTAGGTCAGGTAGATCAGGTAGTTCAGGTAGTTCAGATAGTTCAGGCAGGTCAGTTAGAAAAGATAGTTTAGCTAGTTCAGGTAGTTTCGCGACCAAATCTTGCCGCTTAAAATATCCTTAAGTATTAACCTAAATAGTCATAATCTGCTTTGGGGTCTGATTGGAACCAGCCCCAAGCCCTCAGACTTCTTGGAAAAAAAATTCTATAAGAATCTCTCCTCTATAGTAACGGTGCTCTGGTTGACCAAACGGGTTCAATCTGTAAAAGATTGCCTGAGTTCAGATAGTTCAGGTAGTTCAGATAGTTCAGATAGTTCAGGTTGTTCAGATAGTTCAGATAGTTCAGATATTTAAGGTAGTTCAGGTAGTTCATGTAGTTCAGTTAGTTTAGGTATTTCAGCAAGTTCAGCTAGTTCAGGATGTTCAGATAGTTAGTTCAGATAGTTCAGATAGTTCAGATAGTTCAGATAGTTCATGTAGTTCAGGTAGGTCAGGTAGGCCTGGTAGAGGTATTTCAGGTAGTTCAGATAATTCAAGTAGTTCGGGTTCTATTATTATTATTTTTATTTCTACAAAAATAATAATAATATTAATAATAATAATAATAATAATGATAATAATAGTAATAATAATATTAATAATAATAATACTCAGGCGCGTGCACCCCCATAGGCCCCCCCTTAGCCAGAGGCAGGCTCTAATTTATTAAACAGTAAACTTGCATATATATTCAGATTTTTACAATGTCACAATTTGTCCATTTTATAATTATTTCTCAAATTCTTTTTTGTACCTTAATCTTATTTACAATATTTTTTTCGCGGGGTTTCATTTAAAATTATTGGTAATTTTGGACAGATGACAAATAGTCAGCCTGATATTAAACTTTTTTTTCTTAATACCGGTTTTTAGTGCACAAAAAAAAATTCGCCGAGCTTACGCGCGTCTAAAGTGCATCCCCCTAGGCTAAACCTCCACTTCGCGCCTGATAATACTAATAATATAAATAATAAAAATATGTAAATATATATTTAAATATATATAAATATATATTTAAAAATATATAAAAATATATATTTAAAAATATATAAAAATATTTATTTATATATATTTAAATATGTATAAATATATATTATATATTTAAAAATATATAAAAATATAATAAAAAGGAGGATGAGTCGGATACAGATGAACCTCTACTCTCTGGGTCCGGGGGCGTGTCCAAGGACTGCACTGAGACTGAGTTGGATAGCTGGGGGGAGGTGCTGCGTGTGTGGAAGGTGGGGCAGCCCCGCCCTAAGCAACTAGCTGGCCTGGTTAAAGCTGGTGTTCCTGAGGCACTCAGAGGAGAAGTATGGCAGAGGCTTAGGTAAAATACAGTTCTAAACATCCGTGTTCAGAGCTCTTTGATCCGGGTTCAGATCTCTTTAATCCGGGTTCAGAGCTCTTTGATCCAGGTTCAGATCTCTTTAATCAGGGTTCAGATCTCATGGATCCGGGTTCAGATATTTAAATCCTTTTCCAGATCTCTTTAACCTGGATTCGGAGACTTGGCAAAGATTTTCATGTTTCTTAATCTTCCAAAATATGTTTTTGTTTTGCTTTCATGTATGAACCTAAATTGATAAACATATATGTACATTGTTCATTGTAGATGGCATGACTGTGACAATAAATACAGCTTTGAAAATTATCCATCAACTATACAGACCAGATCGCCTTTGAAGTGTCACCAAGCCTCAGCTGTACCAACCCATTTAAACTTTTTTGTTGCTCTTGGCATAATTTTTTTAAAGCAGACGGCTCTTGACTTTCATTGGAGTATTTGGCAAAATTCTTATGTATTTTCGCATATTTTATTTCAGTTCACAATTATTTTCTAAGAAAGGTTAAAACTATATTTGTTCAGTGGAGCTAGTGAGGCAATGGATAATACTATTAAGAAAGGTTAAAACTATATTTGTTCAGTGGAGCTAGTGAGACAATGGATAATACTATTGAGAATTATAAGATCCTTGTGACAAAAGAAACTCCGGATGAAAAAGTTATTTTCCGAGATATTCACAGAACCTTCCCAGCTCATGAATTCTTCAAGGTAAACAACAGAGGGGGGACAATATGTTTAACTAGCTTTAGAACACTCCGTTGCCCAGGGTACTCATAGTTATTCCCGCCGTTTACACGCACTTAGTTTTATATTTCGATTTTTACTTTAAAAGTGGGATAACTCAACTTGGAATCTAAGAACTTTCCTGTGGTTCTCCCGAGTTCCCCAATCAAATTGTAAGGCAAATCTGTCATGGGTTCATGAGTTATGATCGGAAATACAAACGGACAAGCAGAGATTACAACTTATATATAATATATAGATACAATGAGAATAAAAACTGCTACCAGGATAACATTGAATTTTGAAATTGTAATAATCTAAGACAAAATCATTCACAATGACGACAAAACTAGAAATTATCCCAACAAAAGTTCTTTTTATAATTTTTTATCATATAAATATATCTGCTTGAACCACTGGTAGCGTCTTTCCGCAGTAGTGTGGAATCCAGGGGTCAAAGCTCTGGTTGCTAGCTCCCATAGTGGTCTGGCTCTCCATGTCGGGATGGGGGGGGCGGGGGGTCAGATCTAGCTCCTAATTCCTTATATATACTTTTTTTGTCTGTTTGTTTGTTTGTATCCAATAAACCACAAAACGGCTGAAGATAAAATCCTTGTGTTTCCTTTCAAAATATACAAATGAACTTTTATTTAATTATATCATTCAATATAATCTTTAGGAGGCTGGTGGTGGAGGTCAAGAGGCTTTATACAGAATTAGTAAAGCATATTCAGTATACGATAGTGAAATAGGTAGGCGACTGAAAAGCCATTTTCTAATAATGAATGCAGCCTTAAAAGAATTGTTCAGATGGGTTTATAAAGTATCAATTATGGAACAGGAGAACCTTATTGTGTCTTTTTCAGATTTCATACAAATTATCTAGAACAATAGAGATTTTATCTGGATCAGTTTTTCTGGAGCTTCTTTCTATTTTTTCGGGTTTTTTTTGTTTTTTTGTTCAAGCAGTTCTCATATTTTATATATATTGAATACACAAAAGATTGCCTAAACTGGAAATAAATAGAGAAATAAATAGAAGTAAAATAAATTACCTTTCACAGCAAAATAAAAAACTTTATCATTTTGTGTTTGCTTATTGGTAGTTGTATAATTTATATAGCATTATACCTTGAACTAAAAGCAAACAATTAGAATAAACATATTTTTGTATCTTTAAATTCGCACAGGCAGTATTACAAAAAATGTTCCTCGTTATCCAGTATACACTATACATCCTTTAATTGAAGGAAGTGCACAATTTGGAAAGCTAAGAAGTTGTCAAACCTTTACGTGAAAATACAAATTTTCAGCAGCTATTGGTTTTCATTGTTCCATTTCAAATCAATATATGAGAGTTTACTTCTCAACCTTTTTTGACTAATGTAAAAGTCAAACCCTAAAATTTTATTAATTGGTTTATCATTTTTACACACGTTTCTTGGGCAAAGTAGATGGTAAAAAATTCATGAGTTTTATCAACTTTGAACCCAAAATCTGATCTGTTCATGAGGAGGTTCAGAATGGAAAACCAATGTTCAGCTAGCTTGAAACTTGGAACTGCAAGTTGGTACTGAAAGCAAATCAATATTTCTAACAAATGGATAATATCTGTGTGTTGTCTAGGTTACTGCCAGGGTCAGAGCTTCCTGATTGCTGCTCTGCTGCTACAGATGCCAGAGGAGCAGAGCTTCGGGGTCCTGGTGCAGATCATGCACTCATACGGTCTCAGGGATATGTTTAGGTACCCCTGAAAACTAGCTCCCTATTAGCCTAATACATTTTTTTTAATTTGTAAAATTTGTTAAGAGAAAACTTTGAACAACTTCAGCTACGATTCTATCAACTTGAACGCCTTGTGGAAACCAGACTTCCAGATTTACATGCACACTTCCAGGTATATATTTTCTTATCCTTAATTGACACATCTTGAGATATACTTCTTTGCATAGATTTACACTTCCAGAAATACAAAAATTACTTTATTATTTTTCTTTTTGTATCATTTCAATGTGTTATTATTATTTTAGGAAATTGGACTGGAGACTCACATGTATGCTAGCCAATGGTTCTTAACTCTCTTCTCCGCCAAGTTTCCTCTCTTTCTAGTTTTTAGAGTTCTAGATGTTTTTCTTCTTCAGGGAGTTGATATTATATTTCAGGTTAAATAATTTTTACCCTAGTTCTTGCAATCTTTTAAAATCTACATAATTTTATCATAATTCTAAGGTTCTTGCCAATGAAGCAAGCAAAATCTAATTGGACAAGATAAAAAGTCCACAATTTAAGATCAGAAGAGAAAATCAGTTAAGACTTGAGAATTTGGCTGTAAACACTAAAGATTGGTCCATGCCCAAATCGTCCACCTTTAAATTGGTCATACAACTTTTTCCTTTTAGAAAATAATAGAAAACATTAGAAAATGAAAAGCACTGTAAAATACCAATAGAAAGCATGACCTAATATTGATTTGTTTAGGTATCCCTTGCACTGCTTATGATGGTACGAAAAGAGCTTCTTCAACAGGATTTTGAATCCACAATGAAATATTTCAGAGTTAACATCCCTAAAAGGAAAGCTTTCATATTAAATCAAAGTTTGAAATAAAAACATTTGCACATTTTAAATTTCAACATTATTTTTTCATATTTTATTTTCATGACTACAATTAAGAATTTTCTTCCTGTCCAAGTTTTAGCAGGGTTTCTTTTAAGGATATCTGTTTCTCTTCACTTGCTGAAAGATTTTTCTTAATCTTTGTAATGCTTTCCTGAGTTTGGAATAAGGCCCTGAAGAACTGATCCAATAAGAAGTTTCTCTAACCTTACACTGGGTGACTCAAAAAACATGGAAAGGAAAAATCCCACGGTCAAGGATATTGACAAAGATCCAAGGAAATGCCAAACACTTACCCAGAATGAAAAGTCAAATGGGAATGAAAGTAGAACAGATGATGTAAACATGCCCAGCAGATTGGTATGGATGAGATAGGTACAGAAGGTTATTCTTGCAAGTGGAGCAAAAAGTGACCAAGACAGGAGGTCATTCACCACTCCTCCATAACCTTTAGCACAACTAAAAATAACCCATGCTAGTGCTCCGCTCCAAGCTAATCGTTGAAATGAATTGTAAATTGAGGCGCTGAAATGGGTCATTGTTTGTGTTCTAACCCCATACAATCCATATACTACTGCAAAACCAGCAAGAAATGCCGCCTGCCACAATAATATATTTGCTGCATTGTTTATTTTAACTTGTTTTTCTCTTGTATGATGAAGGATGTATCCAAGTAAGATGCCAACAAGGTATGGTTGGTATCTTACCCAAGGGGCTTCATAAAAGTCAACATAAAGGTTGTATCCATCCTCATCTAAACCTGGAACCATATGAGTTCTTGAGGGTGGTTGATTGGTTGTATATGACATGTAGAACAGACCTCCTGTGAAGCAGACCATTGTGAATCCCCACCACAACATTCCTACAATATGACTTTTAGTTTTTAAAAAAGCAATAAACACCGGGTACATAACTATCGGAGAGAACCAATGGAATACCATATCATCTACAAGATACCATGAAACTTCCATACATATACTGTCCTTTGTTGACTCTAGAAATGTTTGTATGTACAACAAGTTTGCCCACCCATAGTTACTGCAATCCTCTGCTTCCTTGATTGTGAAAGACCAACTGGGACCATAGAAGGTATAGGGTAACACAGCTATTATTACACCCATGACTAGAGCATATGGTATTGTAATTCGGAGGTACCGGTGAACATAGTACAGTAAGAGTACAATTGCATGCTTTGTCTTATCTTTATCTGCCTGCTCTACTTCTTTGAAGAGTATAAAAGATGTAAGTGACCCACTCATAAAGAAAAAAGTGTCTACAGATGGAAAAGCATTGAGCACTGCCTCCAATGCTATTCCTCCTTCCCCTGATATTAGGTTTAGAACTTCTCCTAAATTTCTTCCAGTAAATAGTGAACTTCCAAAACTATGGCCCAAGACAACCCAAGTCATACTGAGGAACCGCATTCCATTAAGACAATTAAAATGGTCTTGTCCAGAAGATTTTGTTGAAAGTAGGTGTTTTCCATTGGTATAAGCTGAAAAGCACATTAAAATTCTTTTCTTCATTGTTTGTGGTTTTATTTTCTCATCTTCAGTGATTGGCGAGATCAAGTCAAGAAGTGTTCCAATAACAGTGAGGCAACCTATGAGGCTGAAGATTGTGTAAATAAGTAAGACAATGAAAGGATAATCTTCAGGCATCCCACTTCTATTATCCCTTGTAAAACAGTCTTCAGCTTTAGTTTCTATTGTTAAATTGCCAGTTTTTAGTAAGTTAATAGGGTTTCCCATGATATCAATTATGATGTCCTCAAAAGATTTGGCTGTTAATACTTTGTAATTTTCATTGATATCTTCTGGAGAACAGCTCTTGGGAAAACACATTCCATTACTGGGATTGCTGACAGCACTGTAGATTCCCACAAATAGTAGTAAAACTTGCTCTTGAAGTTCCTGCATTTCTACTCTTGTTAAATTACCTTCAGCAGAGAGCAAACCAAAAAGGTTTTTGAAATCGTTAGTTTGAAATAGCTCCACTGAAACAAAGTCTGTGTCAGCTTTATACATTGTACTTAGTCTGGGGTGTAAAAAGTATAAATACTCTGAAAGGCTTTTCATGCGGGAAAAACTTTTCTTGCTGGCAATGCAATTCCTCCAAATCCCAGGTCAGCTCCTTTCAGCCTGACTGTGCAATATTTAGTCTCAGTTTGTTCCACAGAAAGACACTCTCCATGACTTCCAGGATTATTGGAATAGCCCAGTGGAATTTTTAGCACAATAAATCTTACTGCATTTGGTAAAAGGCATGACTTTGTACTTTCCCCAACTAATTCACAAAGGTCTATGGGAATTTCAAGAACATCAGAAAGAAATCCTTCCATTGGTAATCTTCCATTTGAATCAAACATCTGCAGAGCTGCAGGGATCATAGGAGAATTCTCTTTTTCCTTAAGATTTGTGGAGTTCAGAACTTCAATAAGTGCATCGCGATACTTTTCACTTGCAGACCTGCACTCATTAGAGATGTTTCCCAGTAGAGGAGTTATCCAAGCAAACTGGTCAAGGTTAATATCCGGAGGTAGCTTCAAGTTGGTTTGGTTAGATATTGTTATGACACCGCTAAATAAAAATGAATTATTAATAAAAAAAGGAAAATTGTTAATATTTGTAATACAAACCTGAGCCAAATAATAATGAGAGAGGAGAGTAAATTTGTTGACTTCATTAATATTTGTTATCACAATGATTTGGTAGTACTGAAATAAGGTTAAGCTGTCTTGAATCTAATCTTTAAGGGTAAGAATTCTTTAAAAATATGTTTATCCTAAGTCATGGATAAAACCTTTAAAAAATTTTTGCCACAAAATTTACTGAATTTTTATAGTAATTGTTCATCCCTTAGGTTTTATTTGAGTGTATATACTTAAAATAAGTGCATTTATACAAGGTGTGTGTTATGTAAATAAACTTGCAGTTTTGGCTAATTTTAGGTCATATATGATAAGAAATTTTATTAATTTGCATTTCTTAATGCAAGCAAGAAACTATTTTGAGATAATTCAAATATTTGAAAATGTGACGCTTAAAGGCTTCGGAGTGAAGATCATGCCAAGAGCTTAATGAAAACCGTCTGCAGTATTACAATTAAAAAATTGAGCAAGTACGAGAAAGAATGGAGGAACATAAAGGTGAAGATAATTTATTAAATCATTAATATTTTTCAGTTACTATTCTTCTTGAGATTAATCTACCTTTAACCTCGTAACTTTTGAGTAGAATGAAGATATCAATTTTCCATGCCTACTGCAACAATCCGCGAGTAACTATAGTTGAGAAACCACAATAGAAAATTATAAAATCTGAAAAGAGGACATCCTACAGCTCTTAAATCGTGGGTCTCTTTAAACCTCATGTACAGTCCCTTTAAGATTTCTTACATCTATTTTAGGAAGCTGAGAGACTAGCAGAAAACCCTGTCACAAGATATGAGCGTGAAAATAAGAAACTAATGGCAGACAACCTAAGGTTATTGAAAACTGACAAATATGTTTAGAAAGAAAAATGTATGAAAAAGTTTTTTTTTTATTTAAGAAGAAGAGGGTGGAAGGTTATTAAACAATAAACATTTCTCTACTTAATATTAGAGACCATAGAAGAAAAATAATAGCCCATTTTAATACTGTCTTTTATTGATATTTCCAAAAATATAAAAAAGGTTGTAACATCAGAAGAGCATAGTAAAAATATGGGAAAAAAAATAAAAAATGCAAGATTTTGAATGATTTTTGGTACTGTTAGATTGGAGCGTGAGAACGATGTACTTGCCCAGCAGCTCCTGACATCAAAGATCTCTATGCGCTCCGAACTCGACAAGCTGGAGGACATCAAGGAGACCCTGGAGAAGGAGCTCGCCATCTCAAGGTATAAGAACACCACCTCGGGTTGTTCAAGGATGAGCCCACTCAAATATCATCAAAAATGATCTTAAAGTTTGCTGTTGTTCCGTTTTGCAAAATGCCAGATTTAAATCTGAACGATACAAAACCAAAATTTTGTTCAAGAACGTTTAAAAATGTCTTCCTACATGGCTCAAAGGGACTGTAAGCGTATTTTAAGTGACCCTCCGTGCAAAGATGGCAATTCTTAATTATATAAAGCACGATACCCTTAACAGGTTTGTCTGATGAAGTAGGAATTGGATGATTTCAATTCTTATTCCAGATTATTGTTATTTCTCTACAAAAGTGACTTGCACATTTTTACTGGAGGAACCCGAAAACTTATGAAATATAGGAAATATTAAATATTAAACATTTTTAATCTTAGTAAAATTACAAACATTATTGATCAGATAAAGGTTATAAGTGTAACGATGTGAATCGTATATAAAAGTTTTTGCATGGAGGCCGGAGGTTCACTTATAATTACGGTTACAGTCACTTTATAAGATCAATATTCAGCATTCAAGTTTGTTATAGGCCATGAATGGTTTCCCAAAGCAATTAAAGTCAAAAATCATATTTTTTGTTTTGAATATTCTTAATATTTAAGACAACTGAATGATGAGTTGTCAGGTGAAAAGAATCTAATAACTGAGGAGGCCGACCAACTAAAACTGGTTCTTAAACGAGAACTAACCAAATTGGAATCAGAACTTCTTAGTAAGGTAAAAATATTTTACAGACGAAAAAAGAACTAAAAAATTTTTTTATTTAATTACTTAACATTTTTATTAAAATCAACATAAATAACTGGATGAAATAATTCAAAATAACGATCCTTCTGAATTTTAAGGGACATTTTTTTAGATGCTAAAAATGTGTTTAAATGGAGTGTTTGACTTTTTGATGTTGTTGGTTTTAACTGAATTCATTTAAAGAGGGAAATGTCCGATTTACTACGGTACCCTTGAAACCGTAATCTATATAATAATGTGGTAATGTGGAAAATCATGGATAATTTATTCTCGATCCGGCAAAGAAGGGTACCGTTGTGAATCAAATATGCTACTTTTTAAAGGGCGGCGGGTCACTTGAAAATACGTGAACAGTCTCTTAAACGCCTTCGTGTAAGTTGACATTGTCATTGTTTCAGGAAAATATAATAGTTGATTACAAGCAAATCACTAAACAGTTGTCCAGTAAGCTTGAGAGGAAGGAGGAGAGAGGAGCAGTAAAGGGAATCCTTCAGATAAAGCTCTTAGTAGAGTTCAGGAGGTTGAGATCATCTGGAGGGAGAGGGGGGGACAGGGAATTCTTTAGATAAATCTCTCACTAGAGTTCAGGTATTTAAACATCTAAATTATAATTCAGAAACCCCCTGACCGATTTGCGTCAAATTTTGATTGGAAACTCGGTACAACCACAGAGTTGATATGGGTTTAAAAATTCTAAGTTCAGTAGGTTTAGATTTAAAAGAAATTTTAGCTTGCGGTTAAAGCTGAGTTTCCAACCTAAATTTAGAAAATTCAAGCCGAATCTGATACATTACAACCCAAGCAGACACGAAGTAAGTGGCTGCAGCTCGACCCTGGAGCTCAACATTGCCTGCAGGACATGATACTTTGACTGGAGGTTGATTGGTAATAATAGTATTGCTTAGATCTAAAAGGATGGAATTGTCATCAATAATTTGATTGTTTTGGAGCTTCAAGAAAAACTAGATCAGACTAAGTTACGTCTGGTGGAGACTAAGTTTAATAGTTTGATTGTTTAGGAGCTTGAGCTTGAAGTAGCTCAGACTAAGTTAGCTCTGGTGGAGACGGAGTTTAATAGTTTGATTGTTTTTGGAGCTTGAGCTTGAAGTAGCTCAGACTAAGTTAGCTCTGGTGGAGACGGAGTTTAATAGTTTGGAGCTTGAGCTTGAAGTAGCTCAGACTAAGTTAGCTCTGGTGGAGACGGAGTTTAATAGGTTGATTGTTTAGGAGCTTGAGCTTGAACTAGCTCAGACTAGGCTAGCTCTGGTGGAGACGGTGTTTGATAGGTTGATTGTTTAGGAGCTTTAGCTTAAACTATCTCAGACTAAGCTAGCTCTGGTGGAGACGGTGTTTGATAGGTTGATTGTTTAGGAGCTTGAGCTTGAACTAGCTAAAGACTATAAGCTAGCTCTTGTGGAGACAGAGCTTAATAGTTTATTTTTTTAGGAGCTAGAACTAGCTTAGACTAAGCTATCTCTGGTGGAGACGGAGTTTAATAGATTGATTGTTTAGGAGCTTGAGCTTGAACTAGCTCAGACTAAGCTAGCTCTGGTGGAGACGGAGTGTAAAAACCAGGATCTAGCACATCAATTCTCTACACAGGTACATAGTGTCCCAATAAACATGAGAATTAAGTGTCGATCTTCTAATCGTCTTGGTTCAGAGTGGCATTATTACGTGACCATATTTTAGAAGTATCACTGCTAGTCTTTGGAATTCCAAAACGTGGTCTACAATATTACAATATTTGCACCATCAAAATTGACGGAGAATTTTTCAGATTCCATTTTATCAAATAACAACAAATTGTTAAGGGTTCTCAATCATCTTTGAAGATACAAAAAAGACAGACCACATTTTCAAACGCGACGTACAATTTTTATCAGCTATAAAAAATTGAGGACAATTTTAAAGTCCATTAATTCCCATGTTTATTGGGACACCCTGTTGCAACAGAAAACTTAAAACATGTTCATGAATTTACATAATTGTGGTCGGTCATGCTTGCGATGTAGGTTTTAATCCACAGTGGTGCGAACTACTTACTTTTTTAATATATTTTTTTACAAAAATGTGTCCAGGAAATTTCGATTTTTTTGAAAACTGATAATCCTTGAAATCCGCGTACTTTTTTGTGATGATGTACAAAGAAAAGATTCTCACAAGTAGAGCCACAATTAAAAGTTAAAAAAGTAGGTGGGCGCGAAGCGCTTAGAAAGTCTGGTATATATATATATTTTCCAAAAACCCGTGTTTAAATGTAGACTACAAAACTTTTTTTTTCAGATTGAACAGATTTTTTCCAAATAAATCTTTTAACAATATTACATTTCAGGCGAGCAGTGCACAGAACTCGACCTGGTTAAGCAAAACCTTGACCTCCATTAAGGAGGTCACAGTGGCGAGGTCAGGGACTGACCTCAAGAAGTCGTCCTCGGAGCATACTTCCCTAGGTCATTCAAGAACTAATTCTTAATTTTAACCCTATTAAGACAGTCCTGCAGGGGGGGGGGGTGAAGGGGTTGGTTTAGAGAAATCTAAATGGATATTTTTAAATCACAAATTTCAAATTTAAATATGTATATTGCCTTTAGTTCAAAATAAATATTTGCGAGCCAACCTCTTTCACCCTCTTTTATCCCACCATCACCATCCCCATCAAAACCTCCAACCCAACCCCTCCCAACCCTCACATACTTCCGCATTTAATCCTTTTTTCTCTTTACTTCCTTTTGTATATGTCATAATAAAGATCGCCTTATGTGTGTAATTTGTATATTATAATATGATGAAATGATTGTACGTAAACGACGTATGTAATTTGTATAAAATAATATGTATAAAATAATTGTACATAATATTTTCGCTGCTGCCAATACCATTACATTTAAGCTATTGCTCCTAATTGGAATTATTAATACTAAGGCTATAGGAAATAATTATAATAATAATAATAAAGCCAAGATCAATATCAGGGTTAAATTTTTAATCTGATTTAATTGTTGATCCTGCTCTGATGTTGAAATTCATAAGGGAAAGTTTCAAACCGTGCTTGCTGTTAATCGTTCAGTGCTGAAAACTTTAGAATGGGATATCCTTAATCCCGATCGGTTAATTAACCTGGAGATAAATAGCAAGAGGAGAACAAGGATTATTTAATCTCGAGATTAAGAAAAAGAGTGGATCAAGCATTAATCCCGATATCCACCATTCAAAAGTGCCCAGCTCTGGTTCGTTTTTAAAACTTTTTATGAAACTTCCAACATTTCTAAACTTTATTCTGTGTAAATTTGCTTTTATTTAACTTGGCAAAAATATTATCCGATGCAGAATTTAAAGATTTTGAACCACGGCTTAAATTTGAGACGCGGCTCAAGTATGGTTTGTTCCTCGATAAAATTTTATTTAATGATTCAAAATTTAAGTAAGCACTCAATTGAAAGCGGTTTTTAATTCCTGGCTCCGAAGAGATAAAAAAACAGAAAAATTAACTAAAAACGATTTATATTTCTTTTTATATTTTGTTTTTCTTCGTTTTTTTATATTTCTTTTCTCTCAGGGTCAAAATTTGGAATATTATTCTGTTTAAGAAAAGCAAGTTAACAATTCTTAACTTTCTTGGATTTTTATGGAATCTTTCAAAGTCAAAAACCCCTCAAACAAGAACCACGCTTTTACACGCTTAGGGTCAGGGCTGGGTTAACAGCACGGTTTGGAGCTTTTCTCTCCTGTAATACCCAATATTCCTATATCTTTGCAACATGATGATGTAAACCTTAGATATTTCAAACTTAGAATATTTGATATAACAGAATTTATAGTTCGAAATATCCGAGGTTGGGTTGCAAAGATGAAGGGATTATACTCAGAGTTTTTGACAAATACTCCATTCCTTTCCGAACAATCCCTTTAATTATCTTCTCTTTTCCATTTTATTCCATCCCATTAAAATAACAACGCATATTTCCACAAACAAGTCTTAATAGGGTTCAAGAGATTTGCCATAACAATGAAGAAACCCTAAGTGACAAAACGATATTTCAAGAGTAATATTATTTTTAAAAACCTCTGTGTAAATTAGTGAACCGTTTTTAGATAATGAATTAATATTTTTTAAGTAATTCCCAGATAGCTAAGATAGGACATGATAGGTTTCGTTTTTGTGCCCAAGAACGAATTTAGAATACTAGGCTTTTATGGTGCTTTGCTTCGCTACCATCTTAAATTTCAACTATTAATCTTTCTGTAAGCATTTTCTCTTTGTACAATATAAAACAATAGCAAAAAAGTTCGTGGATTAAATAATATTTTTTCATGGATTTTCCAAATTTTACAATAGTCAGAAATTTTTGGAGATTATTTTTGTAATTTTGCTTAATGAGCCAAAACAATATACATCCTCTATTGACCTATCTTTCTAAATTGTAATTATTTAAACAGATTATTTATTAATTTAAAATTTTCGCCATTAATTGTCGTTTTTTGTCAGGAAAATTGTATTTACATGAATTTCGTTAATTTAAATTTTGTTATATGTACTTCTGATTTTGATATATTCGTGATATTATTTATTTGTTATGTTCTGTTGGTCACATTATTCATGAAATTGTTAGTATTATATTTACATAAATGTAACCTTAAGTGAAATAAATTTGATAAACCAGTTATTTTGAAGATTATTTTATTAAGACGAAATAGGTAAGGTTTTTTTTAAAGTATGTGAAGTGACAATGTCAATGATTGAAGTGAGAGAATGGATTTTTTTTGCTACTGTAACGGCTCTTAAATTTAGTAGATGATCGCCGTTTAACTGTTAGAACATGCCAAAGAAATGACATGACATTATTTATTATTATGGTAAGGGATGGGCATCGTTTTCGTAACAACTTGTGGAAAAACAAGATTTCTTCGTTTTGGATTTTTCAGAACTTGCGAACCTTCTTTTTTAGATATATAGTTAAATCTTACATAAGTTTCTTAAAACTAGCCTTAGAGGGCGCTTCGCGCCCATCTTCTAAATTAATTGTGAATATGTTCTCTTTGTGTACATCGTTAAACAAAACAAAAATAGTTCGCGGATTTTCACAAAAAATTTCGTGGATTTTCAAAATTTTCAAAAATTTAATGACGATCGAATTTTGATGGAGACAAATATTTAAAATTTTGATCATTCATAAACCTTCCCTGGGGTCCCTAGATGTCCCACAAAAAAATTTGGGCCCGATCGATTCAGCCGTTTTGACGTTTATTGGATACAAACAGACAGGCCAAATTTATATATAGAAGGTTGGTTACTCATTTGACATCGCTGATTATAGCAGCGAACGTGACGTCATATGCTGATTCTATCTATCTATGCTCAGGAGACGACATTTTCCGTACATTGGTGCGCATCCAGAGTAAATAACCTTATTTAAGAACCAATTAAATCTTACAAACTTAAGCTTATAAACAGGAACTGAATGAATTGTCTTGCAAAATGTTTTCTGAATTTGCTCAATGGATAGAAATTACCTTCTGTAGTTCAATAAGTTTGTTCATTTTTGGTTCGTTCTTGGTTTTTTGGTACATTTTTGGTTCATTTTTTGTTCGTTTTTGGTTCGTTTTTGGTTTGGTTTTGGTACATTTTGGTTAATTTTTGGTTCGTTTTTGGTTCATTTTTGGTTCGTTTTTGGTGCAGTTTGGTTCATTTTTGGTTCGTTTTTGGTTCATTTTTGGTTCGTTTTTATTTTTTCTGTTGTAAACGATCGTTTTTACTTTTGTACACAATCGTTATGAAAAATCGTTTTAAAACGATGGTTTCGTTGTTAGTTTTTAAAAACTATCTTTATTTCTGATCTTTTTTCATTTCAAAAATGATCTTTTTAAATAGTTGTTTCATTTTTTCAGTTATGTCATTAATGCATCGATCAAAGTGAAAACTACTCATCCCTGGTTTAGCAATTATGGGTACAAAGAGAATAGAATATATATTAGAGAGGAATTTAGAAAATCCCTCGGTATGAATTTTGTCAGTCCCTTTCAACCTGAAAGGGAGTTAAAAGTGTACAAATCATGTAAATGTTCACAAATTTTATGCAGTAGAGTACATTAATACAGTATGTTCCCTAGACTATCCATTTCAATTTCGAATTTTTTATAGCTGTTAAATAAACTTTAAAAAATGAATTAGGTGAATAAAACATCAATTGATTTATAGTTAAAACGGGAAATCATCGTTTGTAAAGTGAAAGGCATAGAGTCTATGTGAAATGATCATTGGTCAATTATGAAACCAGCCTATTTCATAATTTGGGTTTCTTTTAATATTAATCTTAGATTTTTTATAAAATGATGTTCCAGTAGCACAAACATGTGCGGTACACCTGCAGTATGGAAACAGTACAACAAAATGGCCGTTTTACACTTTGTTCTAGTAATTTCCACTCTAATATATATTCTATTCTCTTTGTATGGGTACCTCTCTATCAATTCATGTTCTTCTCTCACTAAAGGGACTCTCAATTTAAAAATGCGTTGTTTACCAGATTTACACAAAGGGTTTTTAGCCCTTTTATAAAATTATCGGATAATCTGAACTATATTATCGGACAATCGGAACTATATTATCGGATAATCTGAACTATATTATCGGATAATCTGAACTATATTATCGGATAATCGGAACTATATTATCGGATAATTATTATTAATAATTTATCGGGTTTTTGTTTTCTAATAGCTCTTGAATTCAATCATTGTCTCTGCTGTATAAATCTGAAAGTTACTGAAAATTTCAAACCTTCCGATAGGAGAAAACAAGGATAATCTGATAATCTGTTCTCCGTCAAGGGATTAAAGGGTAAGATTACATGAATCGGGCATACACCTATTTAATAAAGGTTCACTGGGAAATATGTAGAAAGTCCGTTTTAGAAAATGCTATTTTCACATTTTAACTGTCTGATTGTATGCCGACTTTTTATGCTTCAAAAATTCCTAAATTCGATTTTAGGTTTTTATATAAACCCGGTACATTGTGACAGATTTGCAGAACAATACTTTGATTTATTTGGGACACACTTTTCGAATGAATAATTTTTAAATATTGAGAGGATATTTTAAACGTTTTTTTATTTTTTCGGATTTTTAAAAGTAATTAAGTAAAAACCAAAAAAGAAAAAAGTTTAATTTTATGACCCTTTAGATACACAAAATTGTGCAGTTTCCCTACACCCCCCCCCCCATTTAGTATTTTTTGCCCTGTTATATTGGCTGTTCTACTGTACATATAGTACAATTTTACATTATGTACAAAATTCCAGTTTGAACACAGAACATCTTTTCCGTCAGTTGAATTTGAACAAAGCTGTGAGTAATTTAGGGAGATCCATCATAAAAAATTCCATTTATCCATTTTAAAAATAATATTCGGCAATTCTTTACGAGAGTTAAAAATAATAAAGATTTCGTTGCGCAAATTATTTTAGGTGTGAATTCATTTATATAATTTAAAATAATGGTGATTTTTAATTTTACCCAAGTTTAAATGAAAGACTAAATCATTATTTTTAAGAACGTCTTTTTAGAATTTTTTTTGACACTATTTTTAAAGGGAGGGACCGGCAATATAAAGTAGTTGAACTGAGAATGCAGTTTTGTAAAGAATTTTTTTATGATTCATTTGGGACCTTTCAGCCGTTTTTACGGTGCATATTTATTCAGCAAGAGTGAGAATTCAATTTTTAAAATCCTCATTCATTGTTCATTCTGGAGAGATGATTTTGAGAATCGGTTTTTAAAAACTATTAAATAACAACGACGAAAAATGTAACAAAAAATCTTGAGTAAACTAATTGGATGTTTTATGAACATATTTCACAATAGAAATTTGTAAATAAATCAATGTTAGAATCAATTATTTACTGATCATCATTATATTGAATTTCTTATTCTTTACAAATTTTTTTGCAGATTTCTACAAATTCTTCAAATGTCGTCATTTTTATTAAAATTGCTGGAAATCTACAGAAAATGTCTGAACTATGAGACATTACAGGAACTAAAAACTGACTAAATTAAGTTATTTTCAATGATAAGAGTTAATTTTCATTTTCTCAATCTGTTCCTAAACAAGTACACGTTTATTGTCGAACTTTTGTTACATTTCTCGTGGTCATCTTTGAATAATTTTTAAAAACCCGATTCTCAAAATTATCCCTCCATAATGGACAATCTTAAAAATTTAATTGTTGTATTTGCGCTCTTGCTGAACAAATATGCACCGTAAAAACATCTGATATGTCTCAAATGATTCCTAAAAACTTACTCGACAATATTACATTCTCAGTTCAGCTACCATACGTTGCCGGTTGTAGACGTTTTTTTTCTAGAGACCAATCATTTATAGAGTAGCATGTCTGATTCACATTGGTAACCTTCACATTGGCTGAGCAAACATTGTGGAGTTATTCCTGTTTTCTATTGGCTGAGCAAACATTGTGGAGTTATTCCTGTTTTCTATTGGCTGAGCAAACATTGTGGAGTTATTCCTGTTTTCTATTGGCTGAGCAAACATTGTGGAGTTATTCCTGTTTTCTATTGGCTGAGCAAACATTGTGGAGTTGTTCCTGTTTTCTATTGGCTGAGCAAACATTGTGGAGTTATTCCTGTTTTCTATTGGCTGAGCAAACATTGTGGAGTTATTCCTGTTTTCTATTTTAAAATTGATTATTTTTGATTTTGGTTCTCTAAAAAAGTGAGTGTAGAGAAAGAAACCCAACGATATCTTGCTCTTTGTTTCTCAGAGAAAAGTTTAAAGAGTGTCACAGTGAATTAAACATGCCACTTTGTAAAGGAAGGGTCCTTGGGGCCTTTTTGTGAATTGGAACCTCAAAAGTAATTGACTTATTTTAGATCGAATTATAGAAAGATAAAACTGAAAAATATTGATTATGTGCAACATCTTATGAATGATGAAAATATATGTATATAAATATATATATGATAGCTGTAGCTGGCCAAACGGCTAGACCAAATGGGCTGATGTATTTTTAGGAAATCTATGGGTACCTGGGGGAAAGCATAAGTTAAAAGAATTCGAATTTTTCTTTTTTAAATTCAATTTTTTTAATTCCACGGGCAACGCCGGGCAATGCAGCTAGTTGGTTCGTGAAAATTAAATATGATATTTTATGATGGAAACTTTTCAGTGATATCTGAAGCTGAAGAATGGGAGAGGAAGACGACAGCTGTGTTTTGGTCGGAACTAGGAAAAATCTTACAAAACTTTCTGTTGATGCCCAGCATACACCAGCTATACTTAGGTAAAGTGTATATTTTAAACGATTAATGCAACATAATAATCTTGATTGCTTTTAAGTAAATTGTGTACATTTATTTATGTATCTAAACTATAATCAAATATTGTCTAAATATCTAAAATCATTTTAAATACTTAAACACCATACACCGCGGGTGTCTTAACAATCGTCGTTTTTTCGATAACCTGAGCTAAAAGTATTTCAACAAGCAATATCAGGAAATCATGGATCAATATAATTACACTCAAAATTGACAAAAGATATGTATATCAGGAATTTTTTCAAATTTTCATTGTTTGTTTAAACTTAAGTTGTCTTTAATAGATAAGTTTTAGATGTTTGACTTTTGTTAGGAAATCTCCATGAAATCTAAGTCTATTTATTATTTAAGTGTTTGAATTAAAATACTAATTAATAGGAACCATGATTTCTCTGATAAATTGGACTTGCTCTAATTCAATCATAAATAACATGGCCTGTAACTGTGGCTGGAGTTTTACCGTTAACTATGAGCCTGAAATATTCGTCTACTACTTTTTAGTTCTTTGTGATGAATTACCTCCATTTTTTTCAGATATCGTAACTCCACTGCCTCCACTCCGGAAGGAGAATCAAGATACACAATTGAATCAAGTCCTTTAACTCCATTTAATACTCCAACTAAATTCTCCTCCCTGCAAGCCTACAAATCCAAGGTGATCGTTTACGTACCTACAATGGTCGGTGCTATCTATACAATATAGGCGATTTTTATTAATAATTCTTTGATACCTTAAAGCGTGTTTTCAAATTAGATGTTTACATGTAAAGTGTAAACAAAAGAAGTTGTTTGTTGACAACTTCTATTTGTTCACGTGTTTGTGTCTCAGCTGTTTGAAAGCTTGGAAGAAATCAGAATTAGAATGGAAAGTCGTCTTCATTGTATTTTTATATACGATGATTAACATTCAAGCAACGTTTTTCTAAATCTAAGATGTAGCACTTAAGAATTAAGTGTTAGCTTTATAAGTTTGCTTTTATTACATTAAACTACATTTTTCCTCTTGAACAAAGAGGCAAAAATGCGCACGCGTAAAAAAACCTTTAAAATGCTAAAAACCTTAGCGTAGGGATGGTGTACTGGTACCCCCTGTAGTTGTGATTCAATCAAACTATATTATTTAAATATTTAGTTTGGTCCCAGTCCAACCTTGAAGGACCTGCAGGAGGGACGGGTTCATCTCCTCAGCAAGGATGAGAGAGAAGGGAAGGATGGGACGGACTGTCTTGACTCCGGGTTCAGTGGATGGCAGGAGACAACCAGGAAGAAGCTGAGGTACGTCCTTGCTTTTAAGTGACGTTGATCGCCAATACGATCTTTAAAATAGATGAATAGATCTTACAGGATCTTGAAGGTCAAACAATAAGATCCAATTTATCAATCTTGAATATATTATTCCTTTTCATAACTAACCAATTTTCCCTTTAATTTTACAGATCTTTGTCTTATGTTAATGTTTTACTCTTTTTTAGCTTTGATAACTTCAACAGCACTGAAGGCAGACTACCCATAGGAACAAATCATATTTTTATTTAAATTTCTTTTCCAAAAATATTTATCTTTCAAAATTGTTATTGATTTGAGGGTGTTTGGATCAGGGGTTAGGAAAAATGATTCTCAGAGCGATCTTTGGCGATCCTTCACCTCTCCTGTTCAAGATATACAGAAGAAACTAAAAGGTAAACAATCCTGGAAGATATCGAAAGTAACTGTATCCTTAAAATAAGTGCTTTGGAAACCGATCTAGGGGGAACCAACCTGTAGGGTAGCAGACCTATAGGGTATCCATTCTAAATGGTACCCGACCAAAATGTTTTCATTGTAGGTTGATCATAATGAACATGTTTAAGCCTGCTTAAAACTGATCAAAACTGAGTAATTGGAACTTTTTGAAGTACCGTTAATTTCTAACAAATGATCTCGATATCAAATGTTTTCCCTTTTAAATTTGAGAATAAATGCTTGTTCATTTTAGTCATTTCCATGCAGGGTATGACCACTTTCTTAAAGAAGAGATTAACTTCGGATCAAAGAAGAGTTAAAAAGATGTTTCAAGTTAGATAAGGCCTGCTTCAGTTCAAAAAAGTTCCAACTTTTTCCCGTTTAATGAAAACGGATTAAGAAGCCTTCAGGGGATAAAAAACTGATTCGATAATAATTGGAAAGTTTAAGGGGGGGGGGCATTCACTGTGATTCAAAAGTCTCAAGCTCTCGAGCCACAATGATAAGTATTTTGCCAATCTTCTTAAAGACTAAAGCTTATAAAAAGTGCTCTTTAGGGCTAAAATGTACACGTAAAGGGCTACGGAAAAGTATAAGTGAGCTATAGAGATGTACAATCAAAGCCCAAGGCATTCGGGTTAATGTTGTTGTTGAATAATTTGCAATTAAATAATCATAATTTTAATAACATGTGATAATTTAACTTGTTCCCAGGTCGATCCAGTTTCTTCGAGGAAACTCAAGTTGTGAATAAACTGAACATTCAACCTCAACAAATACTAGCAGGTCACTATTTATTGACCAGAAGGTCAGTTTTTTAATGCTAGAAGATAACTTTTTAAATTTGAGCAGGTCACTCTTAAATACAAGTAGGTCATTTTAAAAAACATTAACAGGTTAATTTTAAAACACATAGCAGGTCCCTTTTTTGATGTTAGTGCTTCTTTTGTCAAGAAAGTCTGATATGTAGTTTGTGTTTAGCCTACGAGAAACATGAGATTGTTTAAATGATTACATAATTAATCCTTGAAGGACCTAAAAGTGCAATTTCAAGTGACCCACCAGGCCCCATTCACAACAGTACCCTGGAAACAAATTATGTTGAAAGTGTTAAATTCTGATAATTTTTCATGATTTTCTGAGCAAGTCACTTCTGTAGAGTTACCACAATTAAAAATAATCAGTTTTCTAAATTATAAACATAGATTTCTAATTCACACTTTATCAGACAAAGGTTTGAAGGGTACCGTTGTGAATTGGATACGCCACTCTGAAATTGGAAAGTTGCATGAAATATACGTCCCTTTGAATATTTTCAGGAATCATTCTGATGATTCTGGTTTCTAGTTTCTGCTTTGCGCTCTTCATTGGTGTTAATCATCTTTCAGAGACTGGATACAACGGCAAAATAAAGTAAATTCGACTAATTTAAGTATTAGAAACTTTACTTTGGCTCAGTTACACTTGTCATAAGTTCCACTTGTCATAAGTTCCACTTGTCATAAGTTCCACTTGTCATAAGTTCCACTTGTCATAAGTTACACTTGTCATAAGTTACGCTTGTCATAAGTTACGCTTGTCATAAGAAAAGTTACACTTGTCAAAAGTTACACTTGTCATAAGTTACACTTGTCATAAGTTACACTTGTCATAATATTCACACTTGCTATAATTACACTTGCTATAATTACACTAAATTACAGTTATTTATGATCACAATTAATATTTCCAATATTTCACTTCTGTAGAGGAAGGATTAGCTACGTAATAGGTGTAAAGTTATTTTTATCCAAAACCACTCTTCTTCATAGTTTTGAAGGTCTGAAAGTGGTCCGATCCATTGAGACCAAATGGAACTCAACCTCTCGAATTTTAACCATTTTGTAAGCTTAAGTTGGAAATTTTCATGTGAAACTTCACATTTATAAAAATGATCTACTACTCTTCATTTTCCTCCTTTTCCTTTAGTTCTAAATTGTTTTTGTTTTATTTTGTATTATTTAAACTGAACATGTATGTATCGCTGCAGAAGGGCCTCTCATTCAAAACAACCAACAATGGTTAGAGAGGCCCTGGCTGAATTAAGATGTAAAAATTGTGCAATTTAAATTGTTTTTAATTAAATATTCAGTCAATATCTATCTATTTCTACATGGTCAAAATAAGACAATTATGGAAAAAGTAATTGACAAGTAATGAAAAAAGTAATTGTGGCAAACATATTATGGCAAAAAAACTGAGCTTTTACTTCTGAATAATGTTATTTCAAGATTCATTAAAGTCAGAATTTGTTTTATTTGACATATTTATTATATTTGAGGTCTATCCTGTTCGGCTCAGAAAGACGTTATCAGATGCTAAAGGAGGAAGGAAGGGTCTTAGAGAGGTATATATGTAATATATTCAGTGAAACCCTTAATAACGAATACATCGAAAGAATTCAGCAAATGCCGTATTCTTCACTTTCTGATAATAGAATGTTGCAGACATTTAGTTTTTTAATTAAATGATAACTATATGGAACTCTTTAAAACTATTCCCGCATATTCATGGATATTTATTTATTTACTATTGAAATTTACGTAATATAGTATAAAACTCATTGAAAAATTGTCAAGACAACATTTGATAAATTCTTCCGATGTGTTCGTTATTACGGGTTTCACTGTATATATATATTTAGATAGTTTTCGTGAAAGGGGCGCTTCATGACTCATGAGAGGGAGGCACTTAGATGTAGACAAGTCTAAATTAGTTATCAAATTTTTAGATAGCTTCCACTTCTTAGATAGCTTCCACTTCTTAGATAGCTTCCACTTCTTAGATAGCTTCCACTTCTTAGATAGCTTACACTTCTTAGATAGCTTCCACTTCTTAGATAGCTTCCACTTCTTAGATAGCTTCCACTTCTAAGATAGCTTTCACTTCTTAGATAGCTTCCACTTTAAAGTTGCGCAACACCTTGGTTACTTTGTTTTAACTCACCAACTCACTTACACTGTTTTCAAGCCTTAGGCCGTTACATTTTAAAATTTCAACGCGCTTGTTTCTAGCTTAAGGGGAGTGACCGGCTATGTAAGGTAGTTGAACTGAGTATACAGTGTTGTGGAAAGCTTCTTTCGGATTCATTTGAGACATATTAAACTTTTTAAAGATCTGTAAATCCTGAGTTTGATCGAAAATTCGATGTACAAAACTCTTACTTTGAGGGTGGATACGTTTTCGGAATTATTTTTTTTTGAATCATTAAAAAACTACAACATAAAATGTAAAAAAACAACAGACGTCATGTGTAGGAACATATTGAGAAAATAAAAATAAGTAATCTTGTTCAATTATTAGTTTCTATTATCTCGATATTCTGGTTTCTCATTATTCAAAAAGATTTTCGCAGATTTTCTATAATTTTTATTGAAAAGACGACATTTGAAGAATTTTAAGAAATCTGCGAATAAATTCAAAGAAAATTTGAAATTCAATATAATAATGAAAACGAAATAATCGATTTTAGCATTGATTTATTGCTAAATTTCTTTTGAGAAATATGTTCCTAACCATCTAATTAGATTACTGTATAATTTTTACTTTATTTTTCGTTGTTATTTAATAATTAAAAAAAAAAAAAATTCTGAAAACGTATCCACCCCCAAAGTAGGAGTTTTGAACGTCGAATTTGCGCTCAAACTCAGGATTTACAGATCTTTAAAAAGTTTAATATGTCTCAAATGAATCCGAAAGAATTATTCCACAACACTGCAATTGCATACTCAGTTCAACTACCTTACATAGCCGGTCGCTCCCTTTAAGTTTCAACGGCGCAATTGGCAAAATACTGCATAATTTTGCGTGAGAGCGTGCACACCTTGGTTTGCGGTGGAGGAGGAAGTTTGATTTTGATTTCGCGGAAAATTGCAAGTTATTTATGACGTCAATTATTGATTAAATTAATACTTAAAGGGAGTGTTCACGAAAAATGAAAGGGGGTATAGGCTTACGGCGAAAAATAAGCGCTTTTGATCGCTGCTAATATTAGTTCTATCTTTTGCGTCTATAAGGAGAAAATTGTTAAAAACGACTCACACCGAAGAACGCAGCGTCTATACAATTTCGGAAAGATGCAACATTCAACTTAGATCGTAAATAAATGAATTTAATTCCAAACAAATGATTCAGATATTACAAACAATAGTCACCGATTATTTTTCGATGCATTCGTATATATTTAATATTTCATAATATTTTTAATTTATTTTTTTTTAAAACAATTTTCGCTGGCGCTGGATTTTCGAACATTCCTGAAAAATATGAAAATGTCGTCTTCATTATCAAAAATCCTTGGAAACAGGAATAAAGGTTTTCAAAAGTAACTCTCAGATCATGAAAAATACAAAATATTATGAAATAAGAACTATTTACGAATGTGTCGAAAATAATCGATGACTACAGGTTGTAATATCTGAATAATAAGTGTGGAATTAAATTGATTTGTTTACGATCCGAGTTGAATGTTACATCTTTCTGAATTTGTATGGACACTACGTTCTTCGGTATGAGTCGTTTTTTACAATTTTCTCCTTATAGACGTAACAAATGGAAATAATATTAATAGCAATCAAAAGCGCTTATTTTTCGCCGCAAGCCTACACTCATTTTCATTTTTCGCGAACACTCCCTTTAAGTTAGTTTTGTAAATATTATTATTTTCAGTTTTCCTAAATAAAAGTTGTGGATCAATTCAGAAAGTCGTCTTCCTTAATATATTTTCTAAATGTGATTGGGTCATATTCTAGAGATATTGTGGATGAGTCTGGGGCAAAACTTGGAGGAAAAAGGGCCTCAATTCAATATGCTTATGAGACTGTAGAGACTGTTGAGGTTCTCTTTTTTTTGCATTTATATTTTCTATCAACTCTAAAGGATGTCCATTCTATGAAATAAACAAAAGAGCTTAATCGATTACAAAAATGCCAAGTTTTTGACAGTAAAGAAGTTTTTTAAAGTTCGAATGTTTTCAGCACTAGAGTTGTAGGATTTAAGACAAAGAATTAAAAAAAAAAATTCAGAGCCTATTTATTTTTTGTACAAAATTAATCAAACATAAAGTACGATCTTAGTTAATTTTATTTTATTCAGGTTGACTCTCATTTGGATTTATTTGAGTTGTCTGCAAGCATTGAGAAAACATTTCAGTTTTTACAAGCCCAAGATGCTCAAGATGCTCAAGATGCTCAAGATGCTCAAGATGCTCAAGATGCTCTGGATGCTCTGGATAAAGAGGACATTGACGAGGAGATCATTATTGAAGAGTTTGCATCCGTTAATCTTGACAAACTTTCGGAAGATGATTTTAAATCATCTGAATCTGTTGAGGCCAAACCTGCTCCTGTAGTGTCAAAGCCTAAACCTGACCATCCCAAACCTGGACCTCAAGATTCTAAATCTGGACTCGCAGATTCTAAACCCAAACCTGCAGATTCTTTAACTGGACCTGAAGATTCTAAACCTAGACCTCAAGATTCTAAATCTGGACCCGCAGACTCTAAACCGGGACCCGCAGATTCTAAACCCAAAGCTGTAGACTCGAAACCCAAAACTGCAGACTCAAAACCCAAACCTGCAGACTCAAAACCCAAACCTGCAGACTCAAAACCCAAACCTGCAGTTGCAGACTCAAAACCCAAACCTGCAGATTCTAAATCCAAACCTGCAGATTCTAAACCCAAACCTGCAGATTCTAAACCCAAACCTGCAGATTTAAAACCTGAACCATCTAAAATTAAAACCGAACATGCAGCTCATGCAGAGGAGAGCATTGAATCTAACGAAATTAACCGGGATAGTTCCAGGTATTAAAGGTTTTGTTCAGAATATTGAGGTAATTTGTAAGGTACCAATAGTTATACAGTCGCCCTTCAGCTATTCAGTAGTCGTTAAACTATGCTATACTAGGCCCAAATATTTCAAGCCCGATAAAACGTCCGATCTGAATCTGATTTTTCTGTTTCTGATTTTGGCCAAATATTTGCGAGTAGGGTTTCTAAAGCCATGAATTTACTTGCGTGCAATTGCGGGCCTTGTAATTTCCGCGCATTTCCGCACAATTTCGCCCAACGAAATTCCGATTGAAAACTCGAAGAGGATCACTAAAAATTAAGCTTACAGTTCATTTAAGATTGCTTTGTCAATAACTTGACTCTTTGGTTACCCTGTATATTTTTATACAAGTTTTTAAATAAGTTTTTATCATCTTTTCAAATAGATATGATATGATAAATTGTTAATTTTTTATGTTCAGAATGATTAAAGATGAAGCTGAAGAGTCTAACAGGGTTCGAAGAGAGAAGGATGGAAATTTTGATGAAGAAAAGTTCAGATTTGAGCATTAATGCTACATCAAGGCTTAAACTTTATTCCTAACTGCAAGAATTAGATTCTGATTTGAGAATTATATTCTCATTTGAGGATTAGATTCTGATTTGAGGATTAGATTCTGATTCGATGATTAGATTATGATTCGATGATTAGATCCTGATATGTGGATTAGATTCTGATTTGAGGACTAGATTCTGATTCGATGATTAGATTCTGATTTGAGGTTTAGATTCTGAGTTGAGGATTAGATTCTGATATGTGGATTAGATTCTGATATGTGGATTATTCTGATATAAAAATTCTGATCAGACCTCAAAATTAACGTTTGTTATTTCTATGTAAATGATTTTATTCTATGTTCAAAATATATATTTATAGTAAAACTCCTGATTACATAGGATTAGACTATTAAGACTTTTGTTTAAGTTCTGTGTTTCTATAATCATTCACTGAACTGAAATACTTTAAGAGTTAATTTAGTTTAGATTTGTAGAATCTCGAATCTGTGTATATAATCCCGAAAGAACCTCAGAGTTACCCACAAAGAATTAAACTGATAAGATTACCCGAAACTTGTAAAAGATGACTAACCAAAGATTAATTGAATGTCCCTGCTTTGAATATAGTTCTTTTATGGCTTGGATAATGATTTGGCAAATAAAAAACAAGTTTATAGTTGCAGGGAATCATTTAAATTAGTCGCAGACTAAAGAAATTCGGACAGCCGTCTTTGAAATTTCATCCTTTATAAGTAACCTTGTATCATGAATCAACCTTGTAACGTCATTTGAGGTTTAATCTATTTTTTTATGAGCCTACATTTTCCGTAAATTGAAGCGCTTCCAAAGTAACCAACCTTAGTAAATAACCTTGAGCAGTACACTGCCCCATGAATTGGCATTTGCCATTTTATGTTGTGCGCACATGCCCCGTAAAATTCCAAAACGGAGAGGGGGACTGAATTTTGTAGATCCAAAAATTAGTATTTTTTAGGGTTGGGTTAGGTTAAGACACTTTCTGGGCTGAGCGCTGCGGTTAGGACAGGCTAGGGGGCCGAGCGCTGCGGCCACATGTCTTACATTTAAGACCCCACCAGCTGCCAGTCTCTATGCAGGCATCCCACAGATATTTTTTTCTGGATCTACAAAATTCAATCCCCCTCTCTTTGTTTTGGATTTTTACGGGGCATGTGCGCACAACATAAAATGGCAAATGCCTGATGAAGTTCCAAGAAACCAAAAAACAGTAATTTTGCCAACAACTTTATTGAATCATATATATGAACTTTGTACAGTTAAGATATTATAATATGATAATGAGATTACATTTGTTGAGTAAAAAATACAGTAAATAGATTTATCAAGAATTAAAGCCATAGGAAACAATTTATAATTATAAAAGAATGATGATACAAAATTTTGCTGAGTAAGTCACAAAAATAAAACTTAATATTTCCAAATCCTAGTAATGGGAATCATGATAGGAATAAAATAAATATAATACTTACCAACATGCCTTTTTATTTATCAAATAACACAAATTGCAGTTACAAAAAGGATTGTATTACATCCGCCCATCGTTACATCCGTCCTACGATATTTCGGACCTAGTCGCACGTGGTTTTTCAGCAACTTCTGGCTGCTGTTGGTCCGAATGATCTGTGTGTCGGATACAAACTTAATTGAAAGAAGGTTAGTGTATCCGACCTACTGTATGACTGTTTCACACTTATTGTAGGTTGCGTGCAGACCATTTGTAGGACAGATGAACAACCTTAGTAGGTCGGATGCACAACTTTTGTAGGTCAGATGAAAACATTTCATAGGTCTGATACAAAGTTATTATGTAGCCGCAGAGCCCCCTAGTCTGTCTAGCCGCAGCGCTAGGCAAAACTTGTCTAAACCTATAACTTGTCCCCACCCCACAGATCGGATTAACAAAATAGAATGTACATCCGATCAACAGCTGTCGTAGGTCCGAAGTATCGTAGGATGGAAATGCTATAGGACCCCAACCAAAGTAACATTACCACTATAAAATATAAAATGTCTTCTTTTTGATATATTGATACAGAATATAGTCATGTTTAATGCCAACGATGAATCAATTTGTTGTCAATATGGTTAGACAAGATTTGAGCATCCGTCCTCAAAACAAAGACGACTTTCTGGATGCATTTTGCGGCCTATGCGCTTAGAGCCACGCGGCAATCTGCTGGTTTCCTCTTCAACAAGCCTAAAAAATAAAACTGTACAAATTACATGAGATACATGCTTAAAGGATTTGTGGGTTTTACTTATGATAAAACTCCATAATCAATAGATTTTTAATTTGAGTTTTGTATACAGAAATTTATGAAACTTACACCCAGGAACATATGTCGACACTAGCAAGTCGAATTGAATGTCAATTTTTTCATCTTTGAAAACATTTGCTGCAATTGCTCTTAAACTTGATTTTAATAGTAAAACTTTTGAGTAAAAAATTGAAAAATAACCCTGGTCTTGGCAATTCCAAAATGTGGTCTGCCTTTTTTGTACTTTCAATATTACTAGAGAAACGAAGAATTTCATTCAGATTTCGACATTTTTGGTTTTATTTAATGAAATGGAAATCAAAACGAAATTGTAAATATCTCTAGTATTGACAGCACGAAAACGGCAGACCACGTTTTGAAAATGCCAGGACTAGGAAAATTTTTTGGTTATTGTTTCCAGAATCCTACATTTTAAAGTAGGTTGACGACTCATTGTCACAATTAAACTCAGAGTTCGAAGACATATCATTCTATTAGTCATGCTATATTGTCATGTTTCGTGAGACACCCTGTATTTCTATAGAAGATATGACAGTTTTACTGAACAAAAATTCTGAACTAATTTAAAGAAATTTTGATTCATAAAATTTCTTTGATATGATCTCTTAAAACTTTAGATAGAATCTCATAACATTTACAATCTCAGAATATTTGGAATATTTCATAATATTTAGATGGATCGAATCTCATAACATTTAGATAGAATATCATAACATTTAGATAGAATCTCTCAAAATTAGAATATTGTTTAATCTAGGGATAGAATCTTATAAAACATTCAGAGGATTAGAAACAGAATGATTTGAAGAGCTAAAAGGTTTTCTGTCTGTTTCTGTCTTCACCTTGGTTTTCTTTCTGCCTCGTCCGTAATTTCCTTCGCAATGGCTTTCAGGTCCATCTTAGCCCGACTACTGCAGAGTTCCTGAAACATATACACAATTAGCCCGACTACTGCAGAGCTTCTGAAACATAAACAAAATTAGTCCGACTACTGCAGAGCTCCTGAAACATATACACAATTAGCCCGACTACTGCAGAGCTCCTGAAACATAAACAAAATTAGTCCGACTACTGCAGAGCTCCTGAAACATAAACAAAATTAGCCCGACTACTGCAGAGCTCCTGAAACATAAACAAAATTAGCCCGACAACTGCAGAGCTCCTGAAACATAAACAAAATTAGCCCGACTACTGCAGAGCTCCTGAAACATACACTAAATTAGCCCAACTACTGGCACTGCAGAGCTCCCGAAACATATACAAAATTAGCTCGACTACTGCAGAGATCCTGAAACATATACAAATTTAGCTCGACTACTGCAGGCCTCCTGAAACATATACAAAATTAGTCCGACTACTTCAGGGCTCCTGAAACATATACAAAATTAGCCTGACTGCTGCAGGCCTCCTGAAATATACACTAAATTAGGCTAGCTCGACTACGGCAGGGCTCCTGAAATATATACTAAATTAGCTCGACTACTGAAGAGCTCCTGAAACATATACTAAATTAGCTCGACGAGCTCCTGAAACATATACTAAATTAGCTCGACTACTGCAGGGCTCCTGAAACATATACAAAATTAGTCCTTCTACTACAGGCCTCCTGAAACATATACAAAATTAGCCCGACTACTGCAGGGCTCCTGAAACATATACAAAATTAGCCCGACTACTGCAGGGCTCCTGAAATATATACATATCAAAATTAGCCTGACTACTGCAGAGCTCCTGAAACATATACAAAATTAGCTCGACTACTGCAGGGCTCCTGAAACATATACAAAATTAGTCCTTCTACTGCAGGGCTCCTGAAACATATACAAAATTAGCCCGACTACTGCAGGGCTCCTGAAACATATACAAAATTAGCCCGACTACTGCAGGGCTCCTGAAATATATACTAAATTAGCTGACTACTGCAGGCATCCAATAACATATACAAAATTAGCTCGACTACTGAAGGGCTCCAATAACATATCAAAATTAGCCCGACTACTGCAGGGCTTCTGAAATATATACTAAATTAGCTCGACTACTGCAGGCCTCAAATAACATATACAAAATTAGCTCGACTACTGAAGGGCTCCAATAACATATCAAAATTAGCCTGACCATTGCAGGGCTCCTGAAATATATACAAAATTAGCCCAATTACTGCTGAGCTCCTGAAACATATACAAAATTAGTCCGACTACTGCAGGGCTCCTGAAATATAAACAAAATTAGATCGACTACTGAAGGGATCCAATAACATATCAAAATTAGCCCGACTACTGCAGGGCTCCTGAAACATATACAAAATTAACCCGACTACTGCAAAGCTCCTGAAACATATACAAAATTAGCCGACTACTGCAGAGCTCCTGAAACATATACAAAATTAGCTCGACTACTGCAGGGCTCCTAAAACATAAACAAAACTAGTCCAAATACTGCAGGGCTCCTGAAACATATACAAAATTAGCTCGACTACTGCAGAGCTCCTGTAACATATACAAAATTAGCTCGACTACTACAGGGCTCCTGAAACATATACAAAATTAGATCCACTACTGCAGGCCACCTAAAACATATACAAAATTAGCTCGACTACTGTAGGGCTCCTGAAACATATACAAAATTAGCCCGACTACTGCAGGGCTTCTGAAACATATACAGGGTGAGTCAAAAAAAGTGTGATTTGCGGCGCCAGGCACAAAATTGTACAACTCTCCTGCATGGTGTTTTTTTCAGTATTTTTTGAAAATTTGTAATTTTTTTGGTACTTCAATGACCCAAAAAAAATTCGCGAACCTTTTTTCTCTCAAAATCAAAAATTCAGAAAAAGAAAAATTTGTAAATTAATTGTTTCTATCGAAATCTAAAATTTTAAAAAGATTAAATTTCAGAATCTAAGAAAATTTGCAAAATTGTAATAAGAAAATTCGCAATTTTCAGTTCTTGTATAATTTTTAATCAATGGTTCTTAAGGTTTCAATTCAAATGAACAGCGTATATTTAATATTTAAGAATACACTAATAAGAAAGGAACTAGATAATTTAAATAACTTTTCCTTAAAAAATAGACCAGAACTAAAAATTGTGAATTTTCTTTTTACAATTTTGTGAATTATCTGTGATTCTGTGATTCAATCTTTAAAAAATTTTAGATTTCGATAGAAATAATTTATGTATACACTTTTGCTTTCCTGAACTTTTGATTTTGAGAGAAAAAAAGTTAACTGATTTTCTTTTAGGCCATTGGAGTACCAAAAAAATTAAAAATGTTCAAAAAATATAGAAAATACACCATACAGGAGAGTTGCACAAAAAAGATACAATTTTGCACCAGGCGCCGCAAATCACACTTTTTTTTTACTCTCCCTGTACTAAATTAGCCTGACTACTGCAGGGCTCCTGAAACATTTACTAAATTAACAACATGTACGCAGAGTGTACGCAACTGCAATTGACTTTCCTTGCATTACAACCTTGTCAAAAATTTCGTTTTTTTTAATTTATCAAAAAAAATATAAATGTCTAACTCGGAACAAAATCATTTTTTACGGTTTTATTTTAGTTCAAATTTCATTGGTTTGTCCTATCATGAATCAAACAGCGAGGGACGTGATGTGAATGTGAAAGGTCCCTGGGGGGACTATACTCTAATCTTTAGTCACTTTTTATACAATTTATCCTTTCTTTCGGATCCTTCCTTAAAGGGACTGTAGACGTAATTTAAGTGACCCATCATTGACAGAATTCATGACTGAATAAAGACGATATACTCTTTAAACCTTTTTCATATGACTGGATTGTGGATTCGGAGTTAATTAACTCTGTTAATTATTTTTTTTTTCTGCCGTAAAAATCGGTAAGCGATTGTATCAATTCAATGAAGAGTTTTGATCGATAATAAGCTTTTTTCGCGTACAAGTTTAAAAGTAATAAAAGAGAAGCTTTTTAATTGCCCGCTTCTCTTTGTTCCATGTTTTTGTGTATCCATGCTGTTTAAAAGCTTGATCTAAATCAAAAGTGGAATCGAAAGTAGTCTTCATTATATTGGTATTAATGCCTACCACTGTAACTTTCTAGAAACACCTAAATCAGAAACCACAGGGTTATCTTTTTTGCTAAATTTAAGGTGTTTATAACAAAGATGCTCTATTTGTGTAGAAAGATGAGGCAGTAGAAATTTATCCAAAATATTTATTTCATGTACCCAAGGAGAATTGAATAGAAGGAGGGGGCGATAGGGTTTCCGTACACTTTGCTGTGACGTTTTTGGACTGCTGAAGAACTAGTTTTTGCGTAACAACAACAATAACAAAGGCAGCCGATCTAATGTAAACAAACATGAGTTAGTCTACGGTGAATCTTCATTGTTTACAATTATTGTTGTTACGCAAAAACTAGATCTTCAGCAGTCCAAAAACGTCACAGCAAAGTGTACCGAAACCCTATCGTCCCCTCCTTCTATTCAATTCTCCTTGCATGTACCCATGAATTTATCTGACTGTTGTGTACGCACTGTACAACTGTATTTGGCGTCATTGGTTATTTTGGTTGTTTGAGAGTCTAACGATCAACATTAAAACCTTAGATATTTAAAATAATTGTGAATGTTTTGTGCTAAAAGTGAACCTAAATTAATAGATGAATCTGTACTTCAAAATTTATTTGATTTGCTGGCTATGATGATCGTCTGGTGAAATAGAGCTGAAATATTGATATAGTTACGCATTTCGTATCAAAAATAGCCAATTATTGTTTGTGAAAATTTTCAGATGTCGTCAAATATTTGTTTGAGGTATTCTGTAATGGGATTTTAGGCGGTGAAGAAGGGATGAGGCCAGAGATATCCAATATTATAAACGGTAAATGAAGGGGAATGTCCACATTCAGATTTCTCTCTGATTTTTTGCATGCAGACCTGAATTGTGATCTAGTTTTTTAATCAAACATCAAAGTGGGGAAAAAATAATTTCCCCCCTCATTTTTCCCGCATTTTTCGGGCATTTTTTCAAAAACTTTGTAATTGCTCCATGTGGGGTGTCTAAAGTCATCAATATTAGGTCGGGAAACTCAATTCTGGATTTTATAATGCATTTCCCGCTCTCCTTATATCATTTCCCCCCCTTTCCCGCATTTTCCCTATTCTAAAGGCCAAAGAAGCCTCCTGACTTTATTACTAGAGATTTCTCTCTGTTTTTTTGCATGCAGACCTGAATTGTGATCTAGTTTTTGAATCAAAAACCAAAATGGGGGAAAAATAATTTTTCCCCTGATTTTTCCCGCATTTTCCGGTCATTTTTTTTCAAAAACTTTGCGTTAGGTCTGATTAGTCTGAAAATCGCAGTTTTATAGCCATAAACGATCTACTATGATGTGGGACACCTTGTATATATTAGTGTAACTTTAACTCTTGAAATTAAAACGTGAAAGGATTTGAGTCTTTGTCACAAACTCTGATATTCTAATCTCTTTATTTTTGCAACCAAATACGTCATCAACCTTTTATATTTCAAACTATTGATTGTGTTCGATCAAATAATTATAGTTTGAAATATTAAAGGTTTACATAATCGGATTGCAAAGATATAACTAGTAGAAGTTTTGAGTTTGTGACAAAGACTCAATTCCTTTCGGAAATTTATTCACTTTGTAAATTATGGAAATTATGTCTACGGTTCCTATAAGCCCTCTTTCTCGCTAAAATTGGACAAAGAAGAACTGATTGTCAAATCAGAGATAACTTTGATGAGACCTGATTGTCAAATCAGAGATAACTTTGATGAGATCTAATTGTCAAATCAGAGATAACCTTGATGAGATCTGATTGTCAAATCAGAGATAACTTTGATGAGATCTGATTGTCAAATCAGAGATAACTTTGATGAGATCTGATTGTCAAATCAGAGATAACTTTGATGAGATCTGATTGTCAAATCTGAGATAACTTTGATGAAATCTGATTGTCAAATCAGAGATAACTCTGTTCAGAAAAAATGTCTGTTATTTTGTTTAATCTAATTGAAGAGGAATTTGTCATGAACCTAAAGACTTTGCTAATTAAAGATAGGAATCAGGAAATCTACGCAAATTTGACCCATTTTGTCAGTGAGCCAAAGATAGTAACAAATGTCGTCTTCTCTAATAATCCAGTACATTTTTATTTTGCGGACGTTTCATAACGAAACTTTCTGCACCAATTTTTTCTTTAATGGTTGATATCTTTGAAAAAAAATTCCAAATAAATCACGTGAAGACTAAGATTAATACAGTATGCGATATTATTTCTTTGATGCCTAAGATTAAACAGAAGACGACATTTACACAAAATTTTATTTACCGTTTGTAATATTAGAACTGTATGCTTCTTCAACGCCTAAGATCCCATTCCATAGAACCTTAGAAAATTTTTTTACGACATCTGAAAATGTTCAGTAACAATTATTGTCTATTTTTAATACAAAAGAGATGCGTAACTTTATCACAAATTCTATATTTCACCAGACGATCCTCATATCCAACAAATGATTAAATAAATTTTAAATTACAAATTAATATCATTAATTTTACTTAGATTTTAGCACAAAACATTCACAATTGTGTTTAACAACTAAGGTTTCAATGTCGATCGTTAAACTCTCAAGCAACCAAAATAAACAATGAAGTCAAAATACAACTGTACAGGCGTACACAATAGTCAAATAAATTTCTAATTGCTTTGTCTTTATAATTAGCAAAGTCTTTGCATGAACCACAAACTACACAGTCTGCTTATCTCCTTTCACAGGTTGGGCTACGTAGGCCTAAGTTGACCCGGCACGACATGATACGTTTTGTTCGTATACAGTACAATAGAACATGCGGTGGAAAATTTCGCATATTTTAGCTGATAATCGATCTCCGTAACTCTCTTATCTCTGGCATGAACCAATCCTTTTTCGGGTTTAAAGAAACTTTTGAATTGAAAATAGAGGTTTAAAAAGTATTTCGCGTTGTTGCAAAATTGATTCCAAGATGATTTTATTGAAAACAAAACAAAACAGAAAATCACGGAATCAGATGAATAGTTAGAAGGTAAACCACCCAGACTTAATTGAACTGAGATCTTAACTTTTGTGCAGACATTGTTGATTTTAAACATTTGATCTCGATATCTAATGTGGACACTTTTAAATTTGAGAATCAATACTTGATCCCTGCTGGGTATGACCATGACAGGATATCGAAGAGGAATTAAATTAGATAACATAAATATTAAAACTTGATCCCAAGCTCAAAAACACAAAAGTTTTGACTCCCGCTCCCTCAAGAGAAATGGTTGAACCACATTAGCGTAGTTAAACTTTTTCTTGATAATCATTAAATCTATTCCCAGAGCTACTATTGGGTATAATTGTTCTAACTGAATATTTTTTTCACTCAATTCCATAATATCATTGTAATTTGTACGACTTTATGGTCCCAGCAAACCACTTTATGGTCCCAGCAAACCCCTTTATGGTCCCAGCTGACTACTTTATAATCCCGAATTACGGTAAACTAAAGGTCTTGGTTATAATTCCAGTATTAACCCATTAAATGTCGATTTTTTCATATTTTTTTGGAATTATGTATTTTAAATATTAAAGTAAATAAAGTCCCGGTTACGTTATTTTTGGCGAGTTTTGAATGATAGAAAAAAATACGATACAGACAGGATGCTTTCGGTGTAGTTAGTTTAATTGGACCAACTACTTTATTGCCCCGACCAGGACTACTTTATTGCCCCGACCAGTACTTCTTTGTTGTCCCAACCAGGACTACTTTATTGCCCCGACCAGACCTAGGACTGGGCGTCGACTCGTTCCTGGGGACCGATCGTTCTTTTAAAGTAACCAACGATTTCAAAAAAAGCTGAACTACCCCCCGCCCTAAGCAGAAACCGCCTAAAATATTTTGACAAGGGGTGTGTGTAAAAGTGTACTCCTACCATCTTGTTAAACTGATTATCAGGTTGAAGGGTGACCCATTGCTGAACCTCGGCTATTTCCGAGTTTTCACACAAGATGTCGCCAAGAGTACGCTCCAGTACATAGGATTTAGAAACAGCTGACAACCCCTGGATTATTTAAGAAAAATAATATTAATAAAATTCATTAATTTCTTAAGCACATTGTACAGACAGGTAATATATCATCTAACCTTAGAATGATATGAGTCTGGTTGGTGAGTATAGAAAAATCTATCTCCATATTTCAACTTCTTAAACTGTTCTCCTAAATAAAGAAAAAAATATAATTCAAAATTAAAACTCTAAGAAAAGATCACATCAGATTTTGACAACGTTACCAATAAAAAAGTATTTTCTTAGAAGTCCAGCTTTCTTAAATTTCGGAATTTTTTGTGTTTCTTTTTCATTTCAAAAATTATTTTTGTTGGATTAAGTTTCGATTATTTAGATCAATGAACATCATATCATAAATATTTCAAATTAGAAAAAATTCTTTTTAAAAACTTTTTTTTACCAATTATGCAGGCAAATGTTGGTCCGACTGCTCCGCCCTTGACATTAGTCTCAGCTACTCCGCCCACCATCAGATCAATATCATCAACTTTATCATACACATCCTAAAAGTTAAAGATAAATTTAAAGTTAAATGTAAAGTTAAAGTTAAAGTTGAAGTTAAAATTAAGGTTAAAGTTAAAGTTAAAGCTGAAGTTAAAGTTAAAGTTGAAGTAAAAGTAAAAGTTAAAGTTAAAGTTAAAGATAAAATTAAAAATAATGTTAAAGTTAAAGTTAAAGTTAAAGTAAAAGTTAAAGTTAAAGTTAAAGTTAAAGTTAAAGATAAAATTAAAAATAATGTTAAAGTTAAAGTTAAAGTTAAAGTTAAAGTTAAAGTTAAAGTTAAAGATAAAATTAAAAATAAAGATAAAGTTAAAGTTATAGTTAAAGTTAAAGTTAAAGATAAAATTAAAAATAAAGATAAAGTTAAAGTTAAAGTGTCAACTTGGCCATTGGTTTTATTGCCAACTCTTTTATATTTTTCTGTAGCCCTAAACATTACGTTTCTAATTTAAAAGGAGTATTTAGCGAAATAGCGATAGAATTTTTAACACAATTGAATTACTGTGCTGCCTTTATTTCTTTAGTTCTAAACCTCTTTGAAAGGAAACATTTTGTGCAAGTGAATTCTGTTTCTAAATCTTAGATATAAATTCTAGACGTTTCTCTAAACTGAAGCTTTGATGTGACACCAACAGAGACCTAATTTCAAAGACCTGTTCAAGGCTTATTTCTAAGATGAAATGAATTACTACGTTCAGAAGGAATTTCTGAAGGGTTGGAAAGCAATTTAATTTGTCATATTTCGAGCTATTTTCTTTAGATTTTGTATCAAGCTTACACAAATTTGGTTCACAAGAAATCGATTCTTTCCTTCTATCAAATAAACGTCTCTGCAAACTCAGTTATAAGAAACCTTCACAAACTTTGACCCGGTTTAAATACCTTGAGCTGTAGCCAATACTCTTCGCTTAGTTCACTGCAATTCGGAATATTTAATATTAAGAAAATATAAAAACGTTTCTCGGGATTTTTCAAATAAAAATTATTTACAACTAATTTACAAGGAAGTTAAGAGAATTTAACAATACCAAGACCATGTTTCCAAGACCAATTTTGCCTTCATAACACCCAGAACGCAGCGAGGGATGTTTTATAGGCAAAATTGGTCGAGGGAATCCCGTGGTTTAGTATAATTTTCAATTTCCCGAAAAAGTAGTTGTATACAATTTTATCGTCTTCTCTGACGCAAATGCGCGAGTTTTTTCACGAAACCTTTCCGGGTCGTTATATTACTTATTTGTCTCATAGGGACGTTAAGTAACTGAACGTCCCTCTGATGGAAGGAATCATAGGATGGTAATGTTGGTCAAAAGGTGGTAAAAAATGTATTTGATTAAACTATTATTAAATTATCCAATTCCTTGGTTTGTTCGTCCAGTCAGTCATAGGAGACAAACCACAGTATTTTCTAAATAGAAGTTATTATTATTATTATTTTCAATCCTTTCCCGATTGGACTATTTTTGTCTAATATAGATGGGGGGTGGGGGGGGGGGGTACATCCTTCCCCCCATATCAGAGATGAGATAAATAAATTAATTTTAGATCTGTAGCTTAATTAATAAAAACTATAGAAGTTCTCGTTTAATCAGTTTTTAAGTTAAACGAAAAAAACACAGGTCATGGGGGGGATCGTGATAGGGTTAATATTATTATCATAATTATCAATATTAATTTATTTATTTATTTTCCAATAGAAAGGTATTCGTTTTTTATTACATACAGGGTTATACCCACAAACAATTTGACTTCGGAGACGATTGTACGAAATTTGTTTAGTCCATTTTCTTCAGGTTTCCTTGTAGACCAAAACTGGCTTATTTTCTGTGCTTAATCATTTAGTAAACCATCAAAATAATCAATTGAAAGCTGAAGCCAAAAATGAAGCTTCAAATCACCAAATTTTTGGTCGTCTTTACAGTCTCATCTTTTTGTAGTCTTGCATACATATATAAACTTAAAGGTATATGTATATTGTATAGTAAATGTTTATTATATATTTACCATTAATTATGTTTATATTTCACCATTTATGTTTTATGACTATAATTAAAGAATGACAGTAGAAGAAAATAAATCTTCAGTGTATCGAAAAGCATAGTTTATGACATCTTTTCGACATTGCCATCATCTTTTTAATTGTTATTACCATTGTTATAATTATCAAGTGTATTATAAAATTATTATTATTTACCTGTATGCATTATATCCCGGTATTCCATGATCTCTGCCTCTCTGTACATTGATCGCTAGGAGATCTAACATAACACATTTGATCATTTCAAGTTTTCCAATAAAAGGTATTTTTCCCGATAGACTTGCATTAAAGGTATTGTTTAGAAGAATAGTAATCAATATAAAAAATATGTTTTATTTTATTTTACCTTGACCAAAATTTTCTTGTTTTTTATTTTTTTGGAAAAGATGGTTTGTGATCTCGGTAGAGAAGAATGGATCCACGGTTTGAGGCATCTGGGAACATAATCCTTAACATTTAACCAGGTCTTAGCTTTATATTTAAAAGAAGAGAAATGTTTTGAATTAATTTTCTTGTAACTGGACAAATATATGCTTTTCTTATACTTGATAAAATCAAAACTAGAAGAGTTACGAAGTCACAAAGTCGTACCAGGGGCGTATTCAGAAATTGGTCATGGTACGACTTTGTGACTTCGTAACTCCTAGTTTTGATTTTACTGGTAGGACTTTGTGACCTCGTAGCTCCTGTAGTTTAGATTTTACTGGTACGACTTTGTGACCTCGTAACTACTGTAGTTTAGATTTTACTGGTACTACTTTGTGACCTCGTAGCTTCACCAGTTTTGATTTTACTGGTACGACTTTGCGACCTTGTAGCTCCTTCACTTTTGGTTTTACTGGTACGACTTTGCGACCTTGTAGCTCCTTCACTTTTGATTTTACTGGTACGACNATTTTCTAGAATTTTTTTATTTTTTATTTTTTTTATTTATTTTAAAAAATTTTTCCACGGGCAACATCGGGCCCTCCAGCTAGTAATTACTAAGGCTTAAAAACAAAGCAAAAAGGTTGAAAACAGAGCAAAATTTGAAAAATTGAAGCTAAGATTTCCTTCGAGCATATTCTCCAAGGGAAGACGAGATCCACCAACAGTCTGACCATCAAATATTTCCCTAAAATGATCACAATAATAATAATAATTATAATAACAATAATAATGATAATAGTCTGTTAAACATTGCGAACACTCCCTTTAATTCAATTTATTGTAAAAATACTTTGATATTTTCCGAAAAGTCTAATGTTTGATAAATTTACAGAATAAACCTAACTCTTCCTTTGTATGGACACTTCACTAGATATACACTCAGCAAACATTGGGAAAATATATATTTTAGATATTTGATGTTTGGGAAATTATTTTTATATCTCATTTTTATTTGGTGCTTCGCGTCTACTTTTCTAGAACTCCCCCCCCCCCCACCTTCCCTTATGAGAAGGACCGTGCCTGGCCAAAATTGACAGACGACAACAAAGGAATTAAGTTCTGACCATAAACTATGATTTTGTAATTCCCATATCTTTGCAACCCAATGTGCTTAGACCTTAGACATTTCCAGCTATAAGTTTTGTTGAATCATATTATCTAAGTTTGAGTTATCAAAGGTTTAAAAAATCATTTTGCAAAGATAAAGGGATTAGAATTTTCAGTTCCTTCACTTTCTAGTTGACGTCAAAATTTATTTATATATAGTTTTTTGAAATTTTTATTTTGGGTTTTTCTTTGTTTGCACTTTAGGGTGTTTTTTTTCTCTTTAAAATGTTTGTTTGTTCGTACTTTTGGGTTGTGTTTTCTTTTATGTTAATTGAAGTTTGTTGTTCGTGTGTTTGTTTGTTTGTTAAATGTTTGGTAATTCTATTCCAACTTTATTAGAACTGTTCCGTTGTACAATTCTTTTAATTGTCTATTTTCTAACTTTTATCTCTACAAACATTGTCTTTACTATCTATCTATCTATCTATCTATCTATCTATCTATCTATCTATCTATCTATCTATCTATCTATCTATCTATCTATCTATCTATCTATCTATCTATCTATCTATCTATCTATCTATCTATCTATCTATCTATCTATCTATCTATCTATCTATCTATCTATCTATCTATCTATCTATCTATCTATCTATCTATCTATCTATCTATCTATCTATCTATCTATCTATCTATCTATCTATCTATCTATCTATCTATCTATCTATCTATCTATCTATCTATCTATCTATCTATCTATCTATCTATCTATCTATCTATCTATCTATCTATCTATCTATCTATCTATCTATCTATCTATCTATCTATCTATCTATCTATCTATCTATCTATCTATCTATCTATCTATCTATCTATCTATCTATCTATCTATCTATCTATCTATCTATCTATCTATCTATCTATCTATCTATCTATCTATCTATCTATCTATCTATCTATCTATCTATCTATCTATCTATCTATCTATCTATCTATCTATCTATCTATCTATCTATCTATCTATCTATCTATCTATCTATCTATCTATCTATCTATCTATCTATCTATCTATCTATCTATCTATCTATCTATCTATCNTAAATCATTATATATTTTTCTATTAATCATTATATATTTTTCTATTAATCATTATGTATTTTTCTTTTAGTTAGTATATATTTTTCTATTAATTACTATATATTTTTCTAAGGATTTTTTAGTTTCTTATGAGAATATTTTTATATTTAACACAATTTTATAAATAGGACTTAAATGTTTAGAGAAATCGTGCTCTCTCTCAAGGTTTAAAGCCGAGACTGGAAACTTTTACAAATTTAAAAAAGTGTATTTTTCCAAATTTTCAAAAAAAAAATTCTAAAAAAATATTATACCTAAGTCTCCAAAAGAATGTATGTGGGTCAGTTGAATCATGTTTTCCGGACTTTAGCATAAACATGGAATTTATCATGGAGTGTCCAAACCTAGAATATGGAGTTTATCATGGAGTGTCCAAACCTAGAATATAGTGTTAATCATGGAGTGTTTAAACCTAGAATATGAAGTTTATCATGGAGTGTCCAAACCTAGAATATGGAATTTATCATGGAGTGTTTAAACCTAGAATATGGAGTTTATCATGGAGTGTTTAAACCTAGAATATGGAGTTTATCATGGTGTGTTTAAACCTAGAATATGGAGTTTATCATGGAGTGTCCAAACTTATAATATGGAGTTTATCATGGACTGTTCTATCCTTGAATATGGAGTTAATCAGGGAGTGTTTAAACAGAGAATATGGGGGCTATAAAACAAAAAGAGTATGGAGTACATCAATATTTACCACAAAATAACAATATATTAAAATTTTAAAGTTTAAATAAGCATTTAAACTTTTAAATATAATTTACGCTGTCATCTTTAATCTGCAGATTTAAAGTGAAGGTTGAGCTATTTATTAAACATATAAAACCCCAACAAGGAAAACGGAACAAAGCCCATTGTAAAAAGATGTTTAATTTTCATTCAAAAGGCTAAACATTTTAAAAACACAAACTAAAACTGTATTTAGAGGAATTTTTTTCATCAACCGGTGATAACGATAATTAATAATAATAATGACACCACTCACCTAAAGGCTGCTACTGTGAATGCATGAATAACGCTTGGGTTTTCTCTAGGGTCGTACTGCATTGATATTCATTGATTCATTAATTGATTTAAAATTCATAATTAATTTTAAATTCATTTATTTACGATTGAAGTTAGGAATTCGTATGTCTTTTTATATAGAAATTTATAGATCAATAATTCAAATTAGAAATTGGAAATATTCTTTATTTCAATTTTAGACTTTATTCATTTAACAAATCGCTATTTAATTGAAAACTTTGTGCATTCGAATTATTCATTCCTTCAATAAATCTATAGTCAATTAGAAATAAAAAAGATTTTTATTCACAACTAGATCAAATTTACAAAATCACAGATTTATTGTTCAATTTAGACATAATCAATTTATCTTATCATTTTATAAATTTAAAGATTTATTATTCTATTTTAAAATTCATTGATTCATTATTAGATTTAGAAATTTAATAAAAAGATGACAAAAAACTTTAATATTCAGATTTAAATTCATAAAATTAAAATACAATCTTTTGGAAATACATTTCTCAATTTTGAAAGGGTTTTATAGACACTAACTGATTCAGTAGTTCTGATATTTTTTGCCATAAGACTAAGACTTATTTTGTTCGAACAGTCGAACAGTTTTAGTGTTGAGCTTTATCTACAAACCTTTAGTAGATTTGGAAATAAATAAAGATATAAAATTTACCAGCTATTCCTGTTTGACCCAAATTGATTTGACCGGCAAAATTATTAATAATAGTGATAACCTTAGAATAAAGTGCTGATCTTACAGTAAAATAAGTGCATTTCATGTGTTTTTATATACTGTTTTTACACTTTTTTATTCAATCTTAGAAAACATGTCAACTAATGTAAGAAAATTTCTTTTTGCTTGTTATATTTGACATTTGTGATGTCGTATGTAATTGGTCCATTTAAGACTAAAACTATTTTTCAATCATTCTTCTTCAATTTTTCCTGAAACGGAAAAAAGTTGTAAATGATTTCATTTATGAATATTTTGGTAAAAGTATAAAAAAAAGCTTACCTTGTGATATCCAATTTTACATTCTTCCCCCCCCCCCCCGAAAAAAATTCCAGGGAGGAGGGGGGGGGGGGGGGGGGAAATTCAGCAAAATAAACACTCCTGGTTTTTATCCACAAACAACCATGGGAAAAATAAACTATTCTTATTTGAATATATTTTGATGAATAATATCCCTGCGAAGAATCCTCTGCTAGTAGATTATATTTCTTCATATATTTAGCTCCTAGGATTGTAGGCAGAAACTCTCCGTAAACTATATTCTGCATCTGGGCTCCAACTAGAAAATATTTAAATCTAATGGGACTGTTTGCGTATTTTAAAGAGACCCTCCTGTAAAGAAATACCCTTGAATCACTTATGATTAAGATATCGTCGTGTTTCTAGCTAAACAAATTTCTAATTCTGGAAAGGAATTGTGTCTTTGCCACCAGCTTTTATTTTCAAGTCCCTTTATCGTTGCAACACAATGGCGTAGACCTTAGATATGTTCTATAGATGTTAGACTATGAATTCTGTTAGATCAAATGATCTAAGTTTAAAATATCAATGGTTTAAACCGTCAAGTTGCAAACATATAGGAATAAAAAATTTGAGTTTGTGGAAAGACTCAATTACTTCCATTTTTAGGTCAGTGCAAAGAGAAACTATACCTAGTCTTCTTGTATAATGTATGTAGACTGTAAACTATACCTAGTCTTCTTGTATAATGTATGTAGACTGTAAACTATACCTAGTCTTCTTGTATAATGTATGTAGACTGTAAATTTATACCTAGTCTTCTTGTATAATGTATGTAGACTGTAAACTATACCTAGTCTTCTTGTATAATGTATGTAGACCATAAACTATACCTAGTCTTCTTGTATAATATATGTAGACTGTAAACTATACCTAATCTTCTTGTCTAATGTATGTAGACTGTAAACTATACCTAGTCTTCTTGTATAATGTATGTAGACTGTAAACTATACCTAGTCTTCTTGTGTAATGTATGTAGACTGTAAACTATACCTAGTCTTCTTGTATAATGTATGTAGACTGTAAACTATACCTAGTCTTCTTGTATAATGTATGTAGACTGTAAACTATACCTAGTCTTCTTGTATAATGTATGTAGACTGTAAACTATACCTAGTCTTCTTGTAAAATGTATGTAGACTGTAAACTATACCTAGTCTTCTTGATTCCTGATAAATGAATTCGTCCTGCTGGAGATAGGTTGGCAGATGTTTACGTAGTTCACGAGCAATCCTACAATATATAATACAATTAGTGATAAATGTAATGTTTAAAATATATTTTTATCCCGCTCTTTTACAAATTCTTGTAATTTTGTATAAATTAGAAGAAAAGATAGAGTTTGTGAGATTTTTCTATCTATAATGGTGGGTATTCATAAACTTTGACAAATCAAAATTTTGTTGAGTCAAAATTTGAAATTTCATCAGAGCATAAACTTTCCCTTAAAACAGTAACAAGTTTAGTTTTGAACTGCTGATTTCAAACCACAAATTTTTCATCATTTTATAATAAACAAAATGTTTGGCGTATTTTCTGTTAAAATTGATGGATTTTCGCCAAACATAAACCTTTTCATGGGTCGGGTCAGATGAGTTGTAACAAACTCAAACTCATAGATTAAAATAAAAGGTCTACGACATTGGGTTGCAAAGATAGAAAATTAAAATTCCCTTGGACCCGGACACGATCGGTTCAGCCGTTCTGACATTTATTAGATAATACTAACAAACGAACAGAAGACCCAATTTTACAAATAAATAAAGTTTAAACGGAATTTTTTTTCCAAAGAATTTAATGATTTACAAAGAAAAATCAGATAAAACACCCTCCCCCCCTCCCTCCTCCAATAACAATCTCCTAAAAGTAAATGTTAAGGAATTATCCAAGTTTATATTTTCTAGTTTTCTGATAACAAGATACAGGGTTCATAACAAAATGGAAAATATATTGCTGAAAGTATCGCTTTACACTGAGCAGATTTCTTAAACATACTCTCTATGTAAATTTTTAAAAACATTTAAAAGAGTTTTTTTTTTTAAAGGAACCGAGTTTTTGCGAAATTTAAATTTTAAAATGTTGTAAACCTTTGATATTCGAAACTTGTACCATTTGATCTGACCAAATTTATAGTTTGAAATAATAAAGATTGCAAAGATAAAGAAGTTAGAAAATTAGAGTTTGATGCAAAAACTCGGTTCATTTCCTATTTCTATATCTTAACACTAGAACTTGCAACAAACAAATATGTGTAACATTCCGAGAAAAATAAGAAATATTCTAATAATCTTGAAAACGTCTCCATTTTTGAATTTTAATTTAGTTTGGTTTAAAATTCAGCCTGAATATCAACTTTCAATTCAAACTAAATTGAAAATCATTTACTTGAACCCCCCCCCCAGCCCCGCAATTATTATTTGCACTTCCTCCCACCCTTGTCTTCAGATTGATTAATTGATTTTTTTTAATTGGTTAATTTATTAATTGTCCATGAAACAATGAGTTAGAATCGTTTCTAAATTTTTAAATTGATTATTTAAATTAAATGATCCTACATAGATGTAAAAGTTATAGATTCATAATTTTATTAATTGATTAATTGGCTGATTGCTTGCTTGATTAATTGATTGCTACCTGTTATGTTCTCTAAGGAAGACGATATGCATGGAAGTGAGGAATGGATGCTCATTGGTCCTCTCGTCTCCAGATACAAAATCTATCTGACGTTCCTAAAAACAAAAATGGATGCTCACCGTGCTTACCGTGTAAAAATTTTATCATTTTTTATTGTTTTTCTAAATTTTGGTAAATTTTGGTTTTGTATGGGATGCTCATTAATAAATGAATTGTTCACCTTTTTGAAAGAAAAAACAGATATTCAAAATTTGTAAATAAAAGACTATTTAATTGCTCTTGAGTCTTGAGGGCCTATTTACAGAGAGAACCAGAAAACTATGGAATAGAGAGACGATATTATAAGCAATACTGAAGTGTATTTGATGCTTTTAAAAAGCAAATAGTTTCACTAGTCACTTATTAAACCAGTTTTTTAGAGGCGTGGGTCTCTTTACAACGTAAAGTCGCTGTGTCTCATGTTAATTGGACTATTTTCTAGACACTTATTAAACCAGTTTTTAAGTGGCGTGGGTCTGTTTACACTGCAAAGTCGTCTGTCTCATGTTAGTTGGACTATTTAAAGTCCTAAAGTGAGACTTAACGCCGTCTGTCTATTCCAGAGTTTTATGGTTCTCCCTGTATTCAAATAATCTCTGTTAAATATAGTTATTCAGAAAACTATAGACAAACATTTTGTCAATTTTCTTCATTGTCTCTGCAACATAGACCCACAAGTAATTTACTTTGTAGCTTATGAATTATTATGTTTCAGACAGGAAACCAAGGATATCTCCATTTTAAGGTTTAAGGGTACTGTTTAAATTAGACTCCAAACGGTTAAAGGGACACTTATAATTACTTTGAAACTCTTTAAAAAAAAATGGGGTTAGAGAAGGATAAACATAAAAAACTTGATAAAAATGTAGAATGTGTAACATGTAGAAAGATAAATATTAATTTCGGTCTGAAAAGACGAAAACGTGCGCTAATTCGCGTGTCACAAACGTCATGAACAACATTTTTTGATTAAAAACATAATTACACTCACCTTTCTTAACCTGTTAATGTCAGGGCGAAGATTCAACTGAAACAGTTTAAAATTAGAAATAAAAAATACAGAGGGGGGTGGAGGGGGGGGGGAGGAATTTTTGTTGTGTTTACATTTTAATTCAAATGATATTCAGGATTTCGATGAAGTCTCACAGTTTCTAAACTTTCTAAAAAGAAATGATGAATTTTCTACAGTTGCTCCTATTTTTATTGTACCAATGATTTTCCATGGTTTTCTTATTTTTGTTTTAGTTTATTTAATTTTCATAGAAATATTTATCATGATATTGCCAACAACGCATTTAGAAATAAATACATATTTTAGCTTTAGAATATATTTTTTCATTTATGACTTTAAAAAAAGTAGGCTGAGGCCTGAAAAAATATTTTGAAATCTGTGCTGTAACTTTTGTAAAAAATTCTCAAAGGTAAAAAATAACTTGTAAACAAAATGGAAGTTTGTGTTTAGAGAGGTTCAGATTCTGTTTAGTTTTGAATAAAATATTAATAAAGTTTAAAGGGACAGACCGGCTATATGTAAGGTAGTTAAACTGAGTATGCAGTGTTGTTGACAAATTCTTTAGGATTCATTTGAGACATATAAAACGTTTTTAAAATTATTAAATAACTACGACGAAAAATAAAGTAAAATTATACAGTAAACTAGTAAGATGTTTAGGAACATATTTCTTAAAAGAAATTTGTCAATAAATAAATGTTAGAATAAATTATTTCGTTTTCATCATTACATTGAATATCTTATTTTCTATGAATTTGTTCGCAGATTTATACAAATTCTTCAAATGTCGTCTTTTCAATAAAAATTCCAGAACATCTACAGGAAATATTCGTGAGTAGTCAGAGAATATAGAAACTAATTATTGAATAAGATTACTTATTTTCGATGATAAGAGTTATTTTTATTTTCTCAACATGTTTGTAAACAACTAATTAGTTTATGGTAGTTTTATTTACATTTTTTGTCGTCGTTATTTAATCATTAAATGAAACCGTATCGACCCAAAAGTACGATTTTTAACGTCGACTTTGCGCTCAAACTCAGGATTTACGGATTTTTAAATAGTGTTACATGTCCCAAATGAATCCTGAAGAATTTGTCCACAACACTGCATACTCAGTTCAACTACCTTACATAGCCGGTCTGTCCCTTTAACTAAAGGAGAAACTTTTTCATGGAAAATGTGAAATCTGTTTTACCTTAGAAAATTATACTGTAGCAAATTAGAAGCAACATTTATAAAAAAAACCAAAATGGAGGAAATTAAGTAATTAAAGAATTAAAATTTTTCACAAAGGGAGGTCGATTTTTCACTTTTTTAAAACAATTATTACTATGCACGTCTCAAATATGGCAATTTTTCTATTTAAAAAAATGATTTAGTACACAAAAAAAACTATTTTCTTCCCAAAAAATCTATTATTTTGCTTAAAATTTGCTTAATTAATTTTGCTAATTTTGTTTTTTGCTCATTCAGCAAGTTGATCTAGCCAAAAAAGAAAAGTTCTGAATGACTTTAAAGATCAAAAATGTTTTTACAGATTAAAAAAATTGTAACAAAGAGAACTTAAGAACTGGTGCAGGATGGATTAGAGCAAATTTATCTGAAAAGGTCCAAGCACCTTAGTTTTAGAACTAACCTGCTCCTTCGTTGGTAGTTGTCCTGTCACATCATTTTCCATTAGTTCGCCCCCTTCATACCTAGTTCATTTATTCATTTATTCATTTATTCATTTATTCATTTATTCATTTATTCATAGATTCATTTATTCATTTATTCATTTATTCATTTATTCATTTATTCATTTATTCATTTATTCATTTATTCATTTATTCATTTATTCATTTATTCATTTATTCATTTATTCATTTATTCATTTATTCATTTATTCATTTATTCATTTATTCATTTATTCATTCAAAAGGGAGTCAAAACACAATTGTTCAATTTTATTTAAACAAAATCGTAATGGTTGTCACACTATTAACACAAGAAGCGTCCACAAACCAAACCCTTACTTCCGGATAAAAGCAGCATGTCCGACTTCACTTCCGTAAACTGTAGAGGCGTCAATATACGAGGTTATTCCGTTGTACTGCTCACGTTGAGGTGTCTAATATTAATAATAATGATAATAATAATAAAATTATACAAATGATAAAAATAATAAAAATTATACAAATATAATAATAATAATACAAACCTGGCATAATGGAGTAGATCGGACCAAATTTAGACAAGTTACAGTATGATTAACCCAAGAATAAAATCTTAAAGAAAAAAACTAATCAATATAAATAAAAACAACCTTTAGGGACTGCCATGGGTTTTAATTGATCTTAAAGAGGGGTTAATTCGATTCACATCATTACCCGTTAAATAAGATTCGATTCACATCCGTACCCGTTAAGCAATATCCGATTCACATCGGTACCCGTTAAACAAGATCCAATTCACATCGGTACCCGGTAACCAAGATCCGATTCACATTTTTACCAATTAAACAAGATCTAATTCCCATCGGTACCCTTTAAAAAAGATCTAATTCCCATCGGTACCTGTTAAACAAGATACGATTCACATTGATACCCGTTAAACAAGATCCGATACACATTGGTACCCGTTAAACAAGATCCGATACACATTGGTACCCTTTAAACAAGATCCGATACACATCGGTACCCGTTAAAAAAGATCTAATTCCCATCGGTACCCGTTAAAAATAATCTAATTCACATCGGTACCCGTTAAAAATAATCTAATTCACATCGGTACCCGTTGAAAATAATCTTATTCACATCGGTACCCGTTAAAAAAGATCTAATTCACATCGGTACCTGTTAAACAAGATCCGATTCACATTGGTACCCGTTAAACAAGATCCGATTCACATTGGTACCCATTAAACAAGACCGTTTCACATTGGTACCCGTTAAACAAGATCCGATTCACATTGGTACCCGTTAAACAAGATCCGATTCACATTGGTACCCGTTAAACAAGATCCGATTCACATTGGTACCCATTAAACAAGATCCGATTCACATTGGTACCCGTTAAACAAGATCCGATTCACATTGGCACCCATTAAACAAGATCCGATTCACATTGGTACCCATTAAACAAGATCCGATTAACATCAGTACCAATTAAACAAGAGCAGATTTACATTAATACCCGATAAACAAGATCTGATTAATAATGTGGAATGATAGACGTCGTCTTTCTTCATTTTTAACTACTAAATAACTAACTACTTTAGTAATACTAAAATGGAACTGATTTTTTTCATTTTTTTTCTAATATACATACAACATGCATCTTTAGGGATTTTTCTTGTCTTCAAGAAAGAAGAATGACAATGATTTACTTGCGAGACCGTGGCTTAGCTCTTTACTGATTAAAAGTTTCAATCTAGTGAAAACAATTAAAAATTATTCAAATCGAAAAAAAATTCAAGGCGGAAAAAATCATTGTGAAAAAAAATCACCTGTCTCTCGGTGGTATTTGAATTATGAAGCATTTTGAATCATTCGTGGTATCCTTGCAACAGTCCAGGGTTTCTGAAAATAAAATTCAGACATTTTGGAAATTCAGGGGAAAAATTTAACGGTGAGAGGGGTACTGTGAAATGGGGTAAATGTTGCGAAGTCATGCAAATTTATTTAGCAGAACTCATATTTATGTTAATTTATGAAACCTTTTACAGAATTGGTTGTATAATACTATGTATATAATACATAAAGAGTTAATAAGAAGAAAAGAATAAAATATAATTTATGTAAACTACAAATGGGTTCATGTAGTGAAAACCCTTTCTAGTAAATTGAACAGGGATAAACGAGGATCTAAACTGGGACTGCTTAGCAAGGAATTAAGAAAAAACAGTGCGAGCGCGCGCGCACTTTTGGGATAATGCCCCCCCCCCCCCCCATATAGAAAATATATGGTGGGAGGGGTCGATTAAACCCCTCACCACCTCCTGTAATCCAATTGTAGAGATAGGGGAGTGAGATATTTAAAAAAAGTAGATGTGAGTTTATAGTTCTCTTCTGAAAGAGTTTAGAGAGATAGTAAGCGTAAGTTCAAGCGACCCTCCATACAAATATGGCAAAGTCTGATTTACAACGGTACCCTTGAAAGCTTTGTCTGATGTTTTAGTTAATTATTTAAACTGTTTATTTTCATTTGTGGTTTCGTTACAGAAGTGACTTGTGTACTTTTCCTGGTGAGAAACTATGGAAAAATTCGCAAAAATAAAAACTTTTTAAGTCAGGAAACTTTTAATTTTATTAAGTTTAAAAGGTTTACCGTTTTAAATCGGGCATTGCTATCTTTGCATGTAGGGTCACATAAAATTTTCGCATACAGTTTCTTTAAGCGATCAATCAAACGTTTTCTTTTGTTAATTAATCGATGACTGATCGGCTAAGCTTTCTCTGCATTTTCGAATTTTAAAGTTTTGTTTTTATTTCGGCAAAACATAATTTTTGCATCGAAGTGATTGTTTTGGTTAGCTCCCTAGCTCTCTAGATTTTGAAGGAAAACAAACATGAATGCAACTAGTTTACACCAAACTAGTTTACACCAAACTAGTTTATACCAAACTAGTTTACACCAAACTAGTTTACACCAAACTAGTTTACACCAAACTAGTTTACACCGAGCTAGTTTACACCAAACTAGTTTTCACCACACCAGTTTACACCAAACTAGTTTACACCACATCTACTTTACACCAAACTAGTTTGCACCAAACTTGTTTGCACCAAACTAGTTTGCACCACACTAGTTTACACCAAACTAGTTTACACCAAACTAGTTTACACCAATTTAGTTTACACCAAACTAGTTTACACCAAACTAGTTTACACAAAACTAGTTTACACAAAACTAGTTTACACCAATTTAGTTTACACCACACTAGTTTACACCAAACTAGTTTACACAAAACGAGTTTACACCAAACTAGTTTACACCACACTAGTTTACACCAAACTAGTTTACACCAAACTAGTATAAACCACACTAGTTTACACCACACTAGTTTACATCAAACTAGTTTACACCAAACTAGTTTACACCAAACTAGTTTACACCACACTAGTTTACACCAAACTAGTTTACACCACATCTAGTTTACACCAAACTAGTTTACACCACATCTAGTTTACACCACACTAGTTTATACCAAACTAGTTTGCACCAAAATAGTTTACACCAAACTAGTTTACACCAAACTAGTTTACACCAAACTAGTTTACACCACACTAGTTTACACCAAACTAGTTTACACCAAACTAGTTTACACCACATCTAGTTTACACCAAACTAGCTTACACCACACTAGTTTACAACAAACTAGTTTACACAAAACTAGTTTACACCACACTAGTTTACACCAAACTAGTTTGCACCAAATTAGTTTACACCAAAGTAGTTTATACCAAAGTAGTTTACACCAAACTAGTTTACACCAAACTATACACAAATTTTGTTTAACACTTCATTAATTAATGAAAAATACTAAACATCTTTATCATTACCAAAAAGGTCAGGTTTGATGATTATTAAATTTAAGTTAAAAAAGTATGGTAAACGTTTATCAATGATCATTCAAACGAATAAGCAAGATGTCGGAGGCGGGGGATAAAAAAGCGCCCGGACATCATAGAAAAAGGCTTTACACAGTAAAAGGATGGAGATGAAGAGATCGACAGCGTTTGGGATTTTTTCTCAATACGATAGTTTTCCAAAAATTTTAAAACGAGTTTTGAAAAAAAACATAAGTTCCATTCCATATTCTGGTGCTGGAGAGGTTATAAATCCTGTAAAAATGTTTACACATGTCGCTGAAACATGTTCTTATATCCTTTCTCAATTTCCTTGAAAATTTATGCTCAATTTTCAGGAAAAAAGGATTATACTATGTACAATACATACCATCCTTCGGGGTAACTGTTATATCATGATCAAGAAACTGTCCAAACTGCATCACCATATGCGTAAACCTAAGAATATATCAGATATCACCATATGCGTAAATCTAAATATATATCAAATATCACCATATGCAAAAACCTAAAAATAAATCAGATATCACCATATGCGTAAACCTAAAAATATATCAGATATTACCATATAAGTAAAGCAAAAAATATATCAAATATCACCATACGTGCAAACCTAAATATATATCAGATATATCTAACGAAATCTGCAATGATTTAAATTTTTTATTAAAGCCATTAAATAAATTTCAAAGACCGCCATTTAATGACTTTTTTATTATTTATTATAATAGAATTTTTTGGTTTGGCACATTTGTCTATATTTTGAATTACCATATTGATGTTTTTTTAAAATTTATTTTATATTTGTCGCCATTTTTAAAAATTTTGAATCATCGCCATTTTGTTTACCTGGTGTCAGGGTTATCATTGTCAGGATGGTTCCTCTGGGACAAATATCTAAAAACATAATTAGGATAAATAATAACTTTTTATAACACTATTATTTGGTTATTTTGTTTTTATATTATATTTTATCCCCCCCCCAAGCTTTCAAAATATATTTTATAAAGGCGAGATACAGATACAGAGTCAAGTCCACAAACTTTATAACACGTCGAGCAAATAAATAGTGTTACAGGTAATTTTTTGAAACGTTTGTGCACTTGTCTTGATGCAATTATTATTTTTAGTTTTTTAACAAAGCATAAATTTAAATTTTCAATTAAATTTTTAAAAGAAATTCTAAAAATATCAGAAACTTTTTGGAGAACCAATCGAAACTTTATAGCACGGTACTTTATATCACGTCAATAATAAAATTCACTATGAAGGGTGTATGCATGATAAAGTACACAAATGTTTCATAATAGAGTTCCAAATTTTGTTGCACTAAAGATTAAATGAATTCCTCTCAGATGTTCCATGTTCGGAACGAGCAATCAATTTTTTTATAGAACAAACGAATTTTCTGAAAGATTTTAAAAACAATAGTTTTTTTACCGAACGAACGATTTCAATACACTTTTGAAAAAAAACTATCGTTTTTTAATAAAAGATCTTATCTTATCTTATCTTAAAACGATCTTATTTAACAAATGATTTTACAGAACGAACGATCGTTCAGTGAGAAAACGAACGAAATAGATGGAAAATTATCGATGATTTGAAACCGAACGAAATCAATTTTTTGAGAGATTAGAAAAAACTAAGGAAATGGGTCGTTCACTAACGATAAACGAACGAAATGAAAAAAACGAACATAGGAAATTTTACAGCTTAAATTTGAAAAATTTCTGTTGATATTGATATCAAGCGTTTCAGATTAGCGCGATTTGACACAAAAGCTTTGACCCAAGTTGTGGTGAGTACAAGGTTGTGTAATAAGGTGGCTTACTCTAGATGCGCTCAAACGTAAGGAAAATGTCTCCTTAGCTAAGATAGATAGAATCCGCATATGACGTCACTCTGGCCTCTATAATTAGTGACGTCATGAACGGATTTTTTCTATCTATGCTTAGGAGACGACATTTCCCGCACATTGGAGAACTTTGAGAGTAAGCAACCTTATTATACAACCTTGGGTGAGTATCAGGCGTTGAATCCATGTGTTATGAACTAGAGATACCGGATATTAAAGATATCATGATCCCTCGTCTATCTTTCAAGTTATATAGCTAGCCCTTCCCCTTCTCTACCCTTAACTTGTCTTCCAGTATATTAAAGGGCCTGTAAGTGATTTGAAAAGGGTCATTGTCGATTCACAACGGAAACCTTTGAGAGATCAAGGGTAGCAGACTTTACCTTAATTATCTACAAGAATGCTTGTAATTATTGAACAGAATATTATGGGGTTTTCCAGGAATCCATGTGGCGTCATCTTAATTAAGTTTACACAGTACGCTAGCGTACACTCATATATTATGTCTTCTCAATAAATATTTAAGAGACATATACACTGAGTTTTATGTCCTAGATGATCAGTAAAAGGTTTAAAAGGTACCGTTGTGAATTGGGGATGTCAGTTAAATAACATTTACAGTACCTTTAAGATGTTTATTTTGATTGGTCCCGCTAAAAAGTCAATCTGCTATAAAAAGGGGATCTACAAAACGCCAGCCAAAAGGAGCCGGCCTCTGCGTGTTTTTGCGTCCCCCCTCCCCCCACAAAATAGAACATTTTATGTTTTAATTCTTTGAAAGGAAGAGACGAGAGACGACACTCGAGAAGTAACATTGTTATATTTACAGGGTGAATAGCGAGATCTTGCATATAGTAAAGCATTTTTTTGGTAATCTCATTTTGTATGAAATACAAAAAAATTAAAGGCAATCTGATAGACCCTTTGAAAAAATCCGCAAAACTATTTTGTTAATCAAAACTAAATGAGTAGAAAAACAAAAGTGAGGGAATATATTATTTATATCACAACTTAAAATCTTAAACAGATCGGATCAGTAGTTTCGGAGAAAATGCGCAAAACTAAATTAAGAAAATCTGCAATTTTTTTTTCATAAAACATTTTGAAGATTTTTATTCTTTTTGAATTCTTTTTATAACGTGAATTTTTGAGATAGGTAAAATATCTAAATTATAATATAAGAAAAATAGGCAAACAAAAGTGTATTTTTAAAATATGTTGACTTTTACTCATCTGATTTCATAGGGCGTACACAGAAATAAATCTAGGGGGGGGAATTCCCCCCTCCCCCTAGGAGCTCCTGGGGGGGGGGGCAATATTTTAACTGTAAATTTAAAACATTTGGCTTCTAATCTTGGATATTTTACAGGTACATACAAAACCAGTTACCTTACAAGTACTACTTTATCTCTTCTTCCAAAAAAAAATAGCACAAAAAACAACACAAACTTATTTTTTATGATCTTCACTATTCAGTTTATGATTTGAAAAGGGTATAGCTGTGAGTTCTAGTTTACATGTCTTGCCCCCCCCCCCCCTGTGTAAGCCCTTGTCTGATTTGTTTAAGATTTTAAGGAGCGATAGAAATAATATATTCTCTCACTTTTGTTTTCGTCTCATCTAATTTTAAGGAAAAATAGGTTCGCGGATTTTTTAAAGGGTCTATCAGAATGCCTATGAATTTATTCTTATTTTTTTATTTCATACATATTTGCTAAAAATTAGATTACCAAAAAAATGTTTCTATAAAATGCAAATCTTGCTATTCATCCTTTTTTTTTGTTGACTTACCCTTCTTACTGAACGCAAATATCAAATCAAATATGCTATTATGAATTTATATTGCTAGGAAAGTGTCAAAATTAATAAAAGTTGCAAAACACCCCGGCGTAATATTTCTCCCGGAAATTTATTTAACGTTACACCGGGTTATATTCTGTGTTGATATTTAACGTCACACCAGGTTATATTTATATGTTGATATTTACCGTCACACCAGGATATATTATGTGTTGATATTTAACGTCACACCGGGTTATATTATGTGCTGATGTTTAACGTTACACCGGGTTATTTTATGTGTTGATATTTAACGTCAGACCGGGATCTATTAAGTGTTGATATTTAACGTCACACCAGGTTATATTATGTGTTGATATTTAACGTCACACCAGGTTATATTATGTGTTGATATTTAACATCACACAGGGTCATAATATGTATTGATATTTAACGTCACAACAGGTTATAATTATGTGTTAATATTTAACGTCACACCAGGTCATAATATGTGTTGATATTTAACGTCAAACCGGGATATATTATGAGTTGATATTTAACGTCAGACCGGGATATATTATGAGTTGATATTTAACGTCAGACCGGGATATATATTATGTGTTGATATTAAACGTCACACCGGGTTATATTATGTGTTGATATTTAAAGTCACACCAGGTTATATTATATGTTGATATTAAACGTCACACTGGGTTATATTATGAGTTGATATTTAACGTCACACCGGGTTATTTTATGTGTTGATATTTAACGTCACACCGGGTTATATTATGTGTTGATATTTAAAGTCACACCTGGTTATATTATGTGTTGATATTTAACGTCACACTGAGTTATATTATGAGTTGATATTTAACGTCACACTGAGTTATATTATGTGTTGATATTTAAAGTCACACCGGGTTATATTATGTGTTGATATTGAACGTCACACCGGGATATATTATATGTTGATGTTTAACGTCACACCGGGTTAGAACTATGTGTTGATATTTAACGTCACAACGGGTTAGAACTATGTTTAGATATTAAATGTCACACCGGGTTATATTATGTGTTGATATTTAACGTCACACTGGGTTATATTTATGTGTTGATATTGTTGTATGAAAATTTTGTCTGGTTAATAATTGTCAACAGAATATTTTTTATGTATTCCTTATTTATGTTTGTTTACAAATATTAATTTTTGATGAATGGAAATGTAAACAAACACGCCAGTTGTGTTGTGAATCCGGAGCTTAGAGGTCGGTATATACATGTTTACTTATTTATTCTTGGCGTGAAAATGAGCCTTAAACTTTAATGAGCCAAAATTTAATGTTTCACGTGAAAAGTCGTAAAATGTTATTATCTCTGATTAGAATCTTTATTTCTATCTTTGTGGATTGCCGGAGATAATTAAGATTTGAGATTTAAAAAGTTTTCTTAAATTCTTAATAGAATCCTTAGAATCTTTATTTCTTTAAATTGTTGAAGATAATTGAGGTTTTAAACATTTGATTCTCTTAAATAGAATCCTTAGAATCCTTATTTCTTGATTTTCTTAAATTTAACATTATTAATAATTTGTTTGAGCTAGATATAGTTTTAAGAATTACGTTTTTACTTAAAGCTAATGATTTTTATATTTAGCGACAATTGAATTGAACTGAGCTGAATTGAATTGAAACGAACGAAACTTGAGCTGAAGGACGGGATATTCTAATTTGGAGCCTGCCCTTTAATTGCATCTTTATTGCAAGTTCATCTCTTCATCTGTGGTTCTGCCCGGAAAAGTAAGCATAAACCTTTATTTTAAGTTTACTTGAAATTTGCCTTCTTTTTGGAAGTTTCCGCAACCCATGAAATTTGCCTTTTCGGAAGTTTCTGCAACTCAATTCTTTTACAACTAATGAAATTTGCCTTCTTGGAAGTTTTAGCAATTCATTCCATTTCGCAACGTTTTGCCATATTTTGCAACGTTATTGCAACTTTTGTAGCGATACCTTTAATTTTTGCAACGTTATTGCAACCTTTCTTATTTATTGCAACTTTCTTACATTGCAATTTTTGGCAAAATGCTTTAAGTTCGCCAATTTCATTCATTGCATTTATTATGCAAAAGTTTTACCATGCAATTTATTACATGGTTTTAATTTGAGAGATACAATGGTCTTCATAATTACCGAGTTTTTTCTCAAAAGTATTACTTTTAAAAGTACAGTGGTCCTCATAATTACCGAGTCACCAGTGCATTAGTTAATGCTAATAAAATGGTTAAATAGCCATTATAATTTATTGATTACACCATTATTGCATTCCAATTAAAGTAAACAGAGTTGAGTTTGGTTAATACCATGGTTTAAGCTTTAAACTTATGAATTATAACCTTAACTTTAGCTTCTTTACAGCTTTAACTATTGGACCTTTTATGGGACCCTTATGGCTGTAAACTTTTAAATGCTTGTTTAACCTAAATTTTGTTTAGTTCGGAAGAGTCTTGCGAATCGATCAGTGCCACAGAGCTCTCTATTTTCAAGAGTGGAACTTACATATTTGTATTTAAAGTAATAAATTATTGTTCAGTATTTTTTGTTTCATTTTAAAACCACATATACAGAATCACTTTAAATTTCCTGCTACTGCAGACAGGGTATTATTTTTCTGCAACAGATATATAATGTCTCGCTGGGATATATTATGTGTTGATATTTAACATCACACCGGGTTATATTATGTGTTGACATTTAACGTCACACCGGGTTAGAACTATGTGTTAATATTAAATAAACCGCCTCCAAGGATGAAAGGTTGCATACATAATTATATTAGGTATTATTGTTATTAATGAATATTCTATATTTATTTACATTAGGTTATATTGCTAATAATGATCTTAGACAATTCATAATTAATTATCTAAAGGACAGTTCTTGATTATTCCCTTGGATTAGAGACTGTTCTAGATTATTCCCTTTGATTATTCCCTTGGATTAGGGACTGTTCTAGATTATTACCTTGGATTAGGGACTGTTCTAGATTATTACCTTGGATTAGGGACTGTTCTAGATTATTACCTTGGATTAGGAAGTGTTCTTGAATTATACCCTCCTCTTGGCTCCCCTATTCCGTCACTAAAACAAAATATGATTGAGAAAAAAAGTTAACGCTACTTTGATTATTGATCAATAGGAATGGGGTTGGCCGTCTCTTTCCTAACTATATCTGTGTAGCTGGTATCCCGCTATACTTGTATACTGAGCCAACCAGCCTGTGTAGCTGGTATCTCACTAGTCGCTATATCTGTATACTGAGCTAACCAACCTGTGTAGCTGGTATTCCTATATACCTGCTATACTGACCAACCTGTGTAGCTGGTATTCCACTATACCTGTATACTGAGGTAACCAGCCTTGTAGCTGGTAACCCACTATGCCTGTATACTGAGCTGATCAGCCTGTGTAGCTGGTATCCCACTTTACCTTTATACTTAGCTGACCTGCCTGTGCAGCTGGTATCCTTATATACCTGCTATACTGACCAGCCTGTGTAGCTGGTATCCCACTTTACCTGTATACTGTGGTAACCAGCCTTGTAGCTGGTAACCCACTTTCCCTGAATAATGAGCTAACCAGTCTGTGTAGCTGGTATCCCACTGTACCTGTATACTGAGCTAACCAGCCTGTTTAGCTGGTTTCCTACTATAACTGTACACTGAGCTAACCAGCCTGTGTGGCTGGTAACACACTATACCTGTATGCTGAGCTAACCAGCCTGTGTAATTGAGAGCCCGGCATCCCCCAGGTTGGATTGTCAATATTATTACAGGATCCTGTGATTGTTCTAAATAAGAAAATAATTTTTTTTAAATCACATTATTAATTGACAGCTGATTGATAAATGCTACGATACCTTTTGAATCCTAAGTCATTAGTAAAGTTTTGTATGAGAATTAAAACAAAATCTTTAAGAGTTTGGACCTAATTCTAGATTTTATTTTCATAACTACTGTGAGCAAAATATTGGAGTAATTTCTAAATTTTCTGATAGGAAAACTATTTGTTTATTTGGCAATTTTTGGACAATTTCGATCACTGTCACATAAAGTGAAACTTGAAATTACAATGAAAGTTCCTTTAAATGTTCATGCTTACCGATATCTTTCTGTTGGGTCACAAACACTTGTTGGTCTGGGGGACAAGAAACAGGTTCTCACTAAACAGTAAACTTCAATGTCTAATATTTTTGTTGTTGCAAGTTTACGGGATGAAATCTCAGTTTTAGGGTCAATCTTTCAGTGCATTGCAACGGGATCTGAAGGTTGAAGGCTTTCATGCAAAAATCGATGACAATTTGTCAGTTACTTCATACAAACTAAAGGTAAAACCAACTGCCATAATGTTCTGAAATATACACGTCTGAGGCTATTAAAAGTTTACGTGAGTGTGTACGATAAATCAATGGATTAAGATTCACAACAATTGATTCAAGATTGATTCAAGTTTTTATAGCAGTCTCCATCTAATGAGAATAGATAGAGGAAGCGGGAATAAAGGTTTATTATGTAAAGGTTATATATAAAGAATGAGATTGTAAAGACGACTTGTAACTATTGAAAAATACAACGATGCCATGTTTAAGATACGTTTTCTGGATTTAAAGATTGAGATCATTTATCTGTACGTACGATTTCCGAGTCAATGAGTCCAACTTTTGGCTTGTAGATCTAAAATTAACAATTGTACTGTAATAACCTAACATTGAATATTAAATTGTGCAAACGGAGATTATCTTTTACTTTTTACTTCACTCCAGTTGGAAACTTTAGGAGCTTATAGAATTATTATATTTAGATCTTCAAGCCTAAAATTGACCTTATTTAATCGGAAATTGTACGCAGATATAAAAAATGGTCTCAATCTTGAAAATCCGATTTCAAACGAGTCTGTAGACCCTTATTCCCCGTTTTTATTGTATATTTCTATCTTTTTAAAAGATAGATATTTGTATTATTCAAATAAAACAATTGTGAAATTCAAATTGTATCTGTCAAAAATAAGAATTAAACAATTGCCTGTTATTCTTTTAAAATCTTTAAATATTATCCCGCTATATATATATTTCCCCTCAAAGTGAAGCAAAACCATCTAAAATCTACAGTTTTATATTTGCTTTTTACAAACTTTGTTCGAATGTTTTAAACTTTCTAGGAAATATTCAAAATTTACATAATTTAACATAACGCAGGAAAATCCATTCATAGATTCATATAACTGTGTAAAATGTATGGGATGGGGGGGGGGGGGGGAATCCTTTTTTTCTAAAACAAAAGTTGAAAGTTAAATTTTTGTGGTTTCTTTTTGACAGTTATCAGCACATTTCTGTTTTAGAAACAATGTACAAAAAACTATACACTTTTCAAGGTAAAAAAGCAACGCTAAAAACATCATTATCTTCCATGTCCTATCTATGTAAACTATGGATGGTACAGATTAATTTAAACAATATTTATATGTTTATATTACATGTCCTATCTATGTAAACTATGGATGGTACAGATTAATTTAAACAATATTTATATGTTTATCTTACATGTCCTATCTATGTAAACTATGGATGGTACAGATTAATTTAAACAATATTTATATGTTTATCTTACATGTCCTATCTATGTATGCTATGGACGGTACTGATTAACATGAAACAATATTTAAATAATTATCTTCCATGTCCTATCTATGTATGCTATGGACGGTACTGATTAACTTGAAACAATATTTATATAAATATCATACGTGTACTATCTACACAAGCTATGAATCAGGGGTGTATAAATAAAAAATTGAAATCAAAAGGCAAATGTTTATCCTGTTTGATACGGTTTCCCCAAAAATTCATTGAATTCCCCCTAATAATCATTTACAGGGTGTCCCACGAAACATGACAGTTGGTGAATAGTTTAGAATGTCTTCTTCCATAATTTGTTAAGTTGTTTGATACCAGACACAAATAAAAATATAATATGGGAGTCATGTTATAGTAAAATTGATTTCATAGTAAAATATTTTTAGGCAAAAGTTTTTTTAAACGAAATAAATTGCAAAAAAAATCTTCCCACAATACAGCCAATAAAATCATTAAACAATTCCGCGCACACGTGCCTAACTTCTTGGAATTTTTATTTTTTTTAAGAGGCTGAGGGAATGATTTTTCAAGAAAATATACATCCCTGCTATGGATAAATTACTGAAACAATATTTATATAATTATCTTACATGTCTGGGGTTGGATCTGGTGAAATAATTGTAGGAACAGAATACATAGCACACCACGGAACATCCTTAATAAGAAAATATTGTAAACAATAGATATAAACCTTAGATCGTTCTTAAACTAATCCCAACCCTACTCTCTATTGCTAGAATTATATAATTTTCTTCTCAATATATTTCGCCAAAAACATTTAGATATACAGGGTTACACATAAAGGATGAGAATGTAAAGACGACCTCAAACTTTTAAATTTGACGATCTCAAGTTTTCTATTGGTCTTTAAATGGCTTATTTAATGATTTGGCAAAGAAAAACAGAAGTTTAAAGTTGCAGAGAATCATAACTATCAGGAAACAGTCGGTATTAATTTAGCAAAGTCGTCTCTGAAGTCTCATCCTCTGTGGGTCATCTTGTGTAAGTTTGATTTCTCAGAGGCGCAACTAGAATGAGGGGGTTGCAGGGGGCTGATCCTGATTTACTTCGAAAAACTAAATTATTTTTTTGCGTGCAAAAATATCAAAATTTGTATCAATTAATTTGCCCCTCCCAATAATATCATCTATAGTTTCGCCTAGCAGGATGAAAGATTTAAAGACGACTTTATGCCAAATATTTTATTCTATTTTGCACGGGTCGCTACAGCTGTTTAATTATCTCATTGCTTTGTTACTTTGCTAAATTATTTGTATTTGATTTACAAGATTATATTTCTATGTTGAAGACAAAATTTCATGTTTATATCTCATCGTATTTAAAGGGTCAGGTCGCCATTAAAGTCTCATCCAAATATACAATTTGCTTGTTTGTTTGTATTTCCGTTTGCATCCAATAAACGTCAAAATGAGTGAACCGATCGGGCCAAAATTTGACCCCTGCAGGGAATGTTTCTGGAAGCTCAGAATTACAAAAAGTTGTCTCAAAAAATTTTAGATTTTCGTAAAATTGGAAAAATCTACAAAAAAACGAAATTGTAAATCAGCAAAAAAAAATATTATCGTTTCATCGAAGAGAAAATGCTGAAAGTTTCATTGTTGCAATAATTGACTAATATTTTTTATTACTTTTTTTGTGAAAATGAGCTTGTTACTTTTTTGAAACTGATTTCTGATCATTTTAGTTTCTAAAGTATTAACTTTTTTGAAACTGATTTATAAAGCATTTTGATTTCTAAAGTATTAACTTTTTTGAAACTGATTTCTAAAGCATTTTGATTTCTAAAGTATTAACTTTTTTGAAACTGATTTCTAGATCATTTTGATTTCTAAAGTATTAACTTTTTTGAAACTGATTTCTAGATCATTTTGATTTCTAAAGTATTAACTTTTTTGAAACTGATTTTTTGAGAAAATAGAGTACAGTGTTTTTGTTTTGTTTTACACGCTTTAATTACCTGTACAGTCTTTTTTTGAGATAATTTACCTGGAGTATTTTGGCTCTCTTGTTCTTTAACTCTTGAGCAAGTTGATTTCTTTCTTTCAGTCTGCAGCTGCAATCAAAATGAATTTCAAATTATTAATTTGTTTATTGGACAAAAACAAAGAGTTCCAAGGAAAGAAAACCTTCTTTTATATCGTTCTACCTCAAAGAGCTCTTAAATCACTGGTCTTGTTGCAGATATTTGAATTGTTCAAAAAGTAAAATGAATTAAAAACATGAAATTAAACAAAATTTGAATAAAATTCTAAAATCTACTGATGTTTCGTGCAGAGAAGTGAATGAGTCGAAAGAAAAATATATAAAATAAAAACGAAAATGCTGACATCTTTGTCTCAAAAAATCTGCTTTCTGTTTTTAGGCATTATTTTACTTTCAAGATAAAAACATTTTTAAAGAAAAATTGAAGGAAAGAATGAAAGAAAGAAAGATGGATTGAAAGAAAAAGGGTTTACTGAAAAGAGAAGGATGGATTGAAAGGAGAAGGATGAATTTAAAGGAGAACAATGGGTTGAAAGGAGAAGGATGTGTTGAAAAAAGAAGGATGGATTGAAAAGAGAAGGATNGAACTGTAGGTAGGTATTTTAAGGGACTGTAGGTAGGTATTTTAAGGGACTGTAGGTAGATATTTTAAGGGACTGTAAGTAGGTGTAATTCTAAGTGACCCCTGAAAGCTATCAGAACTGTAGTAGAAATTATCCATTTTACGATCCAAAGAATCTATAATTTTTTGCTGATACAAAAGTTGCAATGGTCGACAGGCAATTGAAAATTGTCTGCAGTACCTTTAAACATGTATATGTACATCTATTCTAAACAAACAAATATATTATGTAAAGTTTTCTTGCAGTCTGTCAATATAGATATCACAAAGAAAATATAAACCCTCATGAGGGAAAAAGAATCTGCATGAGCTAGGTTTTCATCATGGTCAGGCATTTTCAAGGTTAAGAGATACGTTCATTTTGAACCGCAGTTTTCAACAGTTAGCACAAAAGGTTTAGAATCTCATAAAATTAAATCGAGAAAGCGAGATTTTGAAATAGTTAATATTTAAATAAACGAAAAATTTAACTATTTTCTTCAAATTAAAACAGTCATAAAATCGTAATTAAAAATTTAGTTTTACAAGGCCGTAATCTTAATTTTTTAACTAAATCTATATAGTTAAAGCCGATTAGCTTAATACCATTTTAAGCATTAACAAACCCATATTATCTTATCAATAAAGACCAATTATCAGCGCCGTAAAATTTACAAACGAAATTAAAATAAATAAAAAACTAATATAAATAATAACTCTTTGCTCTGATTTGTTTTACTGATGATGACATTAAAACTGAACCATTGTGAGCGTGAAAAGTTATCCAAATTTTCCACACGACATGTACCAATATTTGCCCGGGTACCACTACCTGCTATGCATTTGCAAAATTTGCAGCTTTCAAGGGCATCTAGAGGAGAGAGATGGTAAAGCAATGTAAATAAAAAAATAATCAAGGTTGTATAATAAGGTTGGTTACTATGGCTTTACGGAAAATGTCGTCTCCTAATTATTATTATAGAGGCGAGCGTGACGTCATATGCGGATTCTATCTTCTATCTATGCTAAAGAGACGACATTTTCCGTGCATCAGAGAGCATCAAGAATAACTTATTTAAGATCCTTGGAAATATTGTCTCGTGCAAATATTCCTTGTTTGTTTTTATGCTGGTGGAGGGAATTGAATACAGCTTTACTTTTTACACTCATATGTAAAAGAATTATAATTATGAGGGGGGGGGGCAAAATCACCCCACCCCTGAATAATAATATTTTAAAAGCATTATTATAACATCTTCCTATTTACATACATACGTTTTATTTCCCCTCTTAGTATTTTGTCCCTATCCTATAGTGTTCTAGCTTGGGAACCCGGTGCTGCCCAGGTTACTCACAGTTAATCCCGCCGTTTACCCGCACATGGTCGATTTTACCGGGAAACTAAATTTTCGATGTAAAAGTCGACCCACTCAACTTAGAATCTCAAAACTAGGCTAAGATCATTCCCGTGGTTCTCCCGATTTCCTCAATAAAGGTTTTAGGGGTTCCTAAGTTATGATCGCACATACTAACAAATTTAAAAAGATTTGATATACCCCAGACAATAGAATGCAAATGTTTAATCCCTTAAAGTTTTGTCGACTATCTATATGTGGGTTCACTATTAAGAGATAAGAAGCCCATATATGCGCTTTACATTATCTTTGTGAAAAACTTTTAAACGTAGAACAAAAGTTTGTTGTCATTTATTTCCTGTTAATCATGTTCTGAAGTTTCTACCTTAAACAGCCATCATTAATCAAGCTTTATAAAATAAACAAAGAACTAAATTATTTTAAAGAGACTTAAAGAAAGATTAATTAAAGGGACTGAGTAAAAAATAAATTAAATGTGAATAGGATTTCTTATCTTCAAGGGACTGAGCACAAAAGTAAACAAATGAGACTTTGTTCAAGATTAGGTCTCTTTAAATAGACTGTGTTGTGTACAAGATTAGTTATCTTTAAAGAGACTGTGTACAAGATTAGTTATCTTTAAAGAGACTGTGTACAAGATTATTTATTCTTAAAAAGACAGTGTACAAGATTAGTTATCTTTAAAGAGACTGTGTACAAGATTAGTTATCTTTAAAGAGACTGTGTACAAGATTAGTTATCTTTAAAGAGACTCTGAACAAGATTAGTTATCTTTAAAAAGACTGTGTACAAGATTAGTTAATAGTTATCTTTAAAGAGACTCTGTACAAGATTATGTCTCTTTAAAGAGACTTTGTACAAGATTAGTTATCCTTAAAGAGATTGTGTAAAAGATTAATTATCTTAAAGAGACTGTTTACAAGAATTATTATCTTCAAGTGACTGTGTCAAATGTTTACTATCTTAAAGGAACTGTGTGAAAACGAATTAAAGAGACAACGTACAAGATTAATTGTTAGAGAGGAACTATGTACAAGAATTATTATCTTCAAGGGACTTAAAACAAGAATAAATATAATATCTTTAGTAAATGAGTAATGTGAAAAGCATGATAAAGGAACTATTAAAGTATCATGCTTTGTGGGTAACCTTGTATCCAATAAGAGTTTGTTTAATTGCCAAGTAGATTTGCTCTAAGGTGTGATTTAAACTTGGACAAATAATTTCAAGCCTCTTGTTGCCTTGAAAGTGTCTCCGCGTCTAAATACAGGGTAATCTCCATCAAACCGGAATGTTTATGGTGTTTTATGTTATTTGAGGCGTGCCAGACATTTTTTACGACTAGGTTGATTTTAATTTGATCAAAGACAAACGTTACTTTCTATAAAGAAAATTCATTGTTCTTTGAATATTGTGTTTTTCTCGCTAAAACTATGATTTTTTGAACATAGAAAGATATCTTAAAAAGACTATATACATATTATTCTAAGTGGCTTTACATTTAGAGAAGAGCACAGAGAGGAACCGAGTTTTTTGCCACTAACTCAAATTTTGAAAATCCGTATAACTTTAATACCTGATGGAGTAGACCTTTGTTGTTTCATATTTAAACTTTTTGAATTAATAGTTTGTAATATCAAAGGTCCACGACATTGAGTTGCAAAGATTTAGAGATTTAAAAATCAGAGTTTGTGGCAAAAAGTCAATTCCTTTCGCTAGAGGGGGAACACTTATTTGGTGTATTTGCCGTAATTGTACAGAGCCCGCGATTTAAAAGCTTCGGCTCGAGTCTTAATTCCTTAAACGCAGCTTTAAGACCAAATCTTAGACCCAACTCTGACGACAGCTTGTGTCACGTGATTGACAGCTACGAGATCTTAGGCTCGGCTTAAGGAGTTAGGCCCAATGAAAATAAAACCGACCTTGGTTAGTTTTAGTGAAGAATAAGGCTCAATGTTGGGTCTTATTCTCATCAAAACCCGGAATGCACCAATTCCAACTTTGAAAATCCGCCAAATACAACATTAAACCGGTTTTATGAACTAAATTCTGTTGAAAAATAGATGCAACTTAAATTCGAAAGCCCGAGCCGTAAATAAGCTCAACAACAGCTTAGACCCGAGTCGTATTTTCTTGAATTTTTTAAATCGCCGGCTCTGTACAGCTTGCTCTAGCTGATTAAAAAAGTCGGCCCGGGAATTCCATGATATAAACCCAAGTTTAACGTAGGAGTGAATTATCCGATTGAAAACTGATTATGTTTAATTGTGGGTGCTATGGATACATCAACTATAGCGCATTTCTACTGCAGAAGGAAGGGAAGGGAAACTATCAGAATAGAACACTTTAAAGCTAAAAATACGATGATATCTTCCACTGTTGATCAAATAAAGGTTTATATCCTGCATAGTGCATGCTCCTGTTTAAAATAAAGGGTCACATTGTAAATTTCACTTACAGTCCCTTAGAAGAAAGAATGAGAAAGATTAACCTTGAAGGGAGGCGGTGAGATAAATTAAGAGTTCTAAGCTAGATGGTGAACCAGACTTAACTGAAGAAAATAGGTTTTTCTTTCACCTCCCCCTCCCCCCCCCACCCCTCGCCCACTTGATAATTCTAGTTCAGTTATATCCATACTTAGAATATCAAGGATGTTGGTTGCATAGTGCATAGAGTGCTTACATAGGATTTACTGCTTGTAAAACAGGCAAGGAAAGAATATTATGTATACAGTACTCATACAATGGACAGTTGTAGAATTTAGAGACAACTAGAGGAATATAGAACTAGAGGAATATAGAGAGAACTAGAGGAATATAGAGACAATTAGAGAAATATAGAGACAATTAGAGGAATATAGAGACAATTAGAGGTATATAGACACCTAGAGGAATATAGGGACAACTAGAGGAATGTAGAGACAAGTAGAGAAATATAGGGACAACTAGAGGAATATAGGGACAACTAGAGGAATGTAGAGACAATTAGAGAAATATAGGGACAACTAGAGGAATATAGAGATACCTAGAGAAATATAGAGACAACTAGATGAATATAGAGACAACTAGATGAATATAGAGACAACGAGAGGAATATAGGGACAACTAGAGGAATATAGGGACAACTAGAGGAATATAGAGACAATTAGAGAAATATAGGGACAACTAGAGGAATATAGAGACAATTAGAGAAATATAGAGACAACTAGATGAATATAGAGACAACGAGAGGAATAAAGAGATTACAAGAGGGATATAGAGACAACTACAGGAGTATAGAGACAACTGGAAGAATATAGAGACATATAGAGGGATATAAAGACAGCTAGAGAAATATAGAGACAACTAGAGGAATATAGAGACAACTAGAGGAATATAAAGAAAACTAGAGGAATATAGAGTCAATTAGAGGAACATGGAGACAACTAGAGGAATATAGAGACAACAAGAGGAATATAGGGACAACTAGAGGAATATAGAGACAACTAGAGGAATATAGAGACAACTAGAGGAATATAGAGACAATTAGAGAAATTTAGTGACAACTAGAGAAATATAGAGACAATTAGAGGAATATAGGGAAAACTATAGAAATATAGGGACAACTATAGGAATAGAGAGACAACTAGAGGAATATAGAGACAACCAAAAGAAAAGACAACTAAATGTGTGTACAGACGACTAGGGAATTCCGGGCTACAGTTGCATGTATACATGTTTTACTGTTTTACTCTAAAATATAAATATTCCAATCATTAAGATGTTGAAGCAAGGACTAAAGAAAATTTACAACTAGTCTTTCCTCAATAAATATATTTGCATTTTTTTACTCCTCAACATTTAAACCACAAAGCTTCATGTTTTATCTTTAAGTATTAGTTTATAATAGGGTTTTTAAGTAATTGCTGCCATACTAGATTTTTCTTTCTTTAATGCATTCTTTAAAAATTGTATAGGATTGGCGCTTCATCTATGACTGTTCAACAATAATAAACAAAAATTCTTTTTTCCTGATTCACAACAAAAGCTTTAGATTTCAAATGGTTTCCATTTCTAAACCTGAACTCTGAAAAAAATGATTTTCGTGGATTTATTGATTTCACAAATTCCAGGATTTCTGATGACGTCACGTGATATTTAATCGCGGAGATGTTAACGCCAGTAGTCTCCACTCCCTACTGAGAATATTATGCACACAACACTTCAGGGTGATACAGAGAACAAGGGGTATTTAGAAACTGGTTCGGCTTCTCCTCAAATCCACCAATACGACTGGATTTAAACAAACTTTGAAAAAACTTTAAAATATATTTTTGAGGATTATTAACCCTGATCATCGGGTTGAGGGGGGGGGGGCTGAAGAAGATTCCTGTTCTTGGGTTAATGCAAAAGATGAGCATAAGCAGTTAAAAATGTACAGCTATGTTAAGATTGCAAATTGTATGTATGTATTTTGTTAATAAGAGATGGTTAAAGATATAACTTGTAGGACGCAGCTTTATCACATTTCGAAATTACGAAATGTTCTATATTTTATAACAACAGAACATGCAATTAAGTACTTGAAGCGAGTTTTTACGATACCCGTTATTTCTTCAATCAGTATTATCAAACGTTTATCTATCTTATTGAATTTAACAGGGCTTCATAACCCCCCCCCCCTACATCTCTAAAAACAAGCTAAAATTAGGAATGTCTTGTGAACAGAATACACTCTTTTAAATTATAACCTAACAAACAAAGAATTCATAATAACACAGGGATGCCAACAAAAGTTAGTTTTTATATTCGAATTAACAGAATTTATTTAATCGTTCTTCTACTTCCTGATTCTCTTCCAATTTTATTTTGTTTCTTAAACTTAAATTTCTTAAAACTCCTTTATTTTGTAAGTTCAAAGACAAAATCAAACACTCTTTAAGAGCTTTTTAATCATCACTATAAATTATTATCCTTTGCCCATATAGTCCATGATTGAAACTTTTTAGCCCAACCATATTCATAAGTTTATGTAAAATACTAGCTTAGGAGCCCATGATTGCTTGGTAATCAAATTTTCTCTAGCAAAAGTCAACTCACTCAACTTTGAATTTTTGAACTAAGACATAAGGTCACTCACGTGGTTCTATCGAATAATTTAAGACAAAACGGGCAAAGGTTATATGTAATTTCATTATAGGGCTGGGCATGTTCTACTTTTTGAAAACGTTCGTGCCGTTCGTTTAGTTCGTTCCCGTGAAAGAACAATCGTTCCTCAGGAACGATGCCCAGCCCTTGTGGTTTTGTTGTTATTATTTTGTTTTGTTCGTTCCCGTGAAAGAACGATCGTTCCCCAGGAACGACGCCCAGTCCATAGGTATAGATGGACATGCTAACGAACAGACAAACAAACAGATTTTTCTACTTTTTATTTATGAAAACAATAAATCTACGTATAATGGTGGGAATTGGGTTCGATAGAAATGGCTTTCTAACCATTATGGTCGTGTATCTGAATCAACCCTTCCTATATACTTCATGGTGGCTTACTAATGAGGTTTCTATTATAGAAAATGTTGAAATGGTCTCGACCTTTAAACCTCCAAATCCGAGAAATATATATGACTATACACAGTCCTTAGTTAGAATGATTTGCACCCAAAAAAGGGTAGTAGTGACGTTACTTTTACCCTGTCAGATTATGATTTCATTTGCATTGTCATCAGAGGCGCATACAGTGGGGGGGGGGCTATGGGAACTCATCCCCTCCCCTGTATCATTGAAATCTATGATATTTCAGACCCCCAATTGGTGCCCTGCCCCCCCCCCTCACACTTTAGAAAGAACCAATATTCAAGGCCCCATGTTTGCTGCTTTGTATCAAACACACGTAGAAATGGCTGAACTGACAAATCAAACATTTTTGTTGGTTCTCAAATAATCCTCCCAGAAAGGATCGCGGACGGGCCTAGTAGAAATATTGTTATTTTAAGCAGTTTGGTGGGGGTTGCTTTCACCTCCCCCTCCCCCCCCCACCCTCGCCCACTTGATAATTCTAGTTCAGTTATATCCATACTTAGAATATCAAGGATGTTGGTTGCATAGTGCATAGAGTGCTTACATAGGATTTACTGCTTGTAAAACAGGCAAGGAAAGAATATTATGTATACAGTACTCATACAATGGACAGTTGTAGAATTTAGAGACAACTAGAGGAATATAGAGACAATTAGAGGAACATAGGGACAACTAGAGGAATATAGAGAGAACTAGAGGAATATAGAGAGAACTAGAGGAATATAGAGACAATTAGAGAAATATAGAGACAATTAGAGGAATATAGAGACAATTAGAGGTATATAGACACCTAGAGGAATATAGGGACAACTAGAGGAATGTAGAGACAAGTAGAGAAATATAGGGACAACTAGAGGAATATAGGGACAACTAGAGGAATGTAGAGACAATTAGAGAAATATAGGGACAACTAGAGGAATATAGAGATACCTAGAGAAATATAGAGACAACTAGATGAATATAGAGACAACTAGATGAATATAGAGACAACGAGAGGAATATAGGGACAACTAGAGGAATATAGGGACAACTAGAGGAATATAGAGACAATTAGAGAAATATAGAAGGAGCAACTCCAAAACCCTAGGAGCAACTCCAAAACCCTTGGAGCAACTCCAAAACCCTAGGAGCAACTCCAAAACCCTATGAGCAACTCCAAAACCCTGGGAGCAACTCCAAAACCCTGGGAGCAACTCCAAAACCCTAGGAGAAACTCCAAAACCCTAGGAGCAACTCCAAAACTTTGGGAGCAACTCCAAAACCCTAGGAGCAACTCCAAAAACCTAGGAGCAACTCCAAAACCCTGGGAGCAACACCAAAACCCTAGGAGCAACTCCAAAACCCTGGGAGCAACTCTAAAATCCTGGGAGCACCCCAAAACTCTGGGAGCAGCCACCCCCGTCGATGAATTTATCAGTTTATTCGTTTATTTTTAACTCTTATTAATGACAAAAATAAACATGGGACTGACAATTGTTAAACATTTACAACTCCGCAGTTTTTAAAGTATTTTTGGTTCTTGATTTTAGATCAAACATGAAAAAAGAAAAAAACTTTAAGATCCAAAAAATTATTTTTAAATACATGATACGCGGATTTAAGATACATTCAAGATTTGAATTTGCATTGTAAGCAGTGAATTTCAGACAACACCTTGTTCTATTTAATCCTTGGTGTGTTATTACATTATATTTATGAATGTCCTCCTCTAAATACATAAATATAAAAAAATAGAACTTTTCATTAATTTTGGATTTATTTTCCACCCCAAGCAGAAAAGGTAGCTCTAGCTGGCCGAAAAACCTAAATTATAAAATTGCATCAAATTGTATCAAATAAAGAATAATGGAATTGAGTCTTTGTCACAAACTCATACTTAAATCTTTTCAACCTGATGGTGTAAACCTTTTATATTTCAAATTTAAATTTTATGATCTAAAAGAGTTCAAATCTTTGAAATATCAATGGATTAGAAAATCAGAGTTTGTGGCAAAAACTCACTTACTCACTTAACTATGGCCATTCATCTTTAAATCATTGCTTTACAAATCATTATAAATTAGACAGAAGAAGAATTTAAAATATTTGCGTTGTTGCGTTGCTCGTAAACTAGACAGAAGGAGAAGTTGCGTAGCTTGATAACTAGACAGAAGGAGAAGTTGCGTAGCTCGTAAACTAGACAGAAGGAGAAGTTGCGTAGCTCGATAACTAGACAGAAGGAGAAGTTGCGTAGCTCGTAAACTAGACAGAAGGAGAAGTTGCGTAGCTTGATAACTAGACAGAAGGAGAAGTTGCAACTAGACAGAAGGAGAAGTTGCGTAGCTCGTAAACTAGACAGAAGGAGAAGTTGCGTAGCTCGTAAACTCTTCTAGTTTTCATTTTACGCACAAGAAGGGGTGAGCAAATCTATCCGGGTTCAAAGAAGATATTGAAAACAGGTTTATTCTTCTCAATAACTCTTTAAAAAATTGAGTTATTATTGAAAACAAAAAAATGTCCTTATCCGAGGAGTGCTCTTTAATCTAGACTGATACGTGAATCACTGTCCGTATACTTTGAACTATACTTTAAAAATGCAATTCTTGGACTAATATTTTACTTTATCCAACTGACTTATACGTTTTGTAGCCCTAGGCATTTTTTAAATTTGCAACGCGCTTGTCTCTTTAAGCCTAAGTTTATTAGGAGTAATTGGTAAAATACTGCTTGATGTTTGTGAGCGAGTGCATATCTTGGTTTGAATCAGTAATTGAACAAACTTGTTTAACGCAGCTTGAGTGCAACGGAAAGTTAGCTAGTACAGCTAGCCAAACTGGGTTGAACTACTTCCAATCCATAAAAACCGACTTAATCTTAAACTAACTGATGAAAATATGTTTTATAACCTTTACAGAGAGACGTTTAAACATCTCAGGTTTTAGCTCCTTGGAAAGATAGATACAGGATTCTGGGGTACAGTCCCTGTAAATTTGATATTGATAATAATGATAGCATTAATAGCATTAATAATAATAATAATAATAATACCTGGGATGTTTATTGACTGAGGCGTGTTCACCAGAAAGTAAGTCCCCTAAAACAATATTTTCTAAAATATCTAAGTACAAGCTTCAGAACCCAGCGTTACAAAGGAACATGGAATATAAGAGAGATGGAATGGTCCCGGCCCACCCTGCCATATGATTTTACATGCTTTACAGACGGTGTACTCCATTTAAAAACAAGTTTTAAAGGTCGTCTTTTAATTTATGGAGGGTTGGTTTCAATTATATTTACAGTCCCTTAAATTAGAGATGGGCATGTTCGCTTTTTTATTTATTTTGCTCGTTCATCGTTTGTGAACGACCGATTTCATTAGTTTTTTTCAATCGTTCAAAAAAAATTAGATTTTATTTTTTTTCAAAATTAACGTTTATTTTCTCACTGAACGATAGTTCAGTATAATCGTTTGTTCAGTAAGATCATTCGTTCAGTAAGATCCTTTGTTCAGTAAGACCCTTCATTCAGTAAGATCCTTAGTTCAGTAAGATCCTTCGTTCCGTAAGATATTTTGTTCAGGAACATCGTTCATTCAGTAAAACTATTGTTCATTGTTTGTTTTTTCCTTGAACGACACCCTTTTGCAAGAAAAATTTCGTTCGTTTAAAAAATGATGCCCACCTCTACCTTTAACCTTTACTGAGTCAGCATGTTAAGGCCAATAACTAAATGTTTTTGTAGGAGAGGGGGGGGGGGGCACAAAGGCTGACAGGGCGATTACAGTGGGATATGGGGTCTCACCCCATCCCCTCTTGATAAATAAAATTCATGGATCCCAGGGGATTTTCAGGCCCCACAGGGTGGTGAGCTCCTTCTTGAAAGATTCCTGTATAAACGCACCTGTTCCTAATGTTTCAGGAAAATATTTGGGTCCAAAGACATAAATTCCTGTTGCCATATCATATACTATATGATCTTTATCATCTTTGTATAATTTATGACGATATTTTATAACTGTGAACAGCTTTTGTTAGGTATATTTTACATATTGTTATATCATTGCATTCTTTCCGAAATTTTGAACAAAATGTTCGTAACCTCGAAATACTTTCCAGTTAGTTCTATATTACGAACAAAATGTTAGTGTTCCTTCACACACGCGGCTTATTATATTATGAAATTAATGTATTTGATTAATTCCATTATTTTACTATATCTACTGAGCTTTTAGGGCGCTTCGCGCCCATCCTCTATTTAAAATTTTAATTGTGCAGCTCTATCTTTGAGCATCATCTCTTTTATTTGCAAACAGACAGACAGACATGCAAAGTATTGTTACCATTTAAAAGTTGTCAGAATAAAGGAAATAAAAAGTCTGAAACTGATATGAGTAATCTACAGAGTATTGTAAAAAATGTATTTACAATATATAAAAAGAGAACAAATAATGGTTGATACTAACGAATCGAAGAAAGCCGGATCTCTCTGGCAGACTCCCCGCCTTTGCTCCACCTCATATGACGGGTTAATCCTCTCCATTTCGATTCTTCATGAACACTAATTTCTATTTCAGTTTTAGTCCAAGCCAATCCTTTTTCCTCCTCCCTCGTGTCAAGCTGTGGTTCAAGCCTATTGGCTTGAATTTAAAATAGAATTCCGGGCCAACGGTGATTTTGGTTTTCCCCACGTTCAAATCTTCCACTCCTTCAAATCATGTGTTAAAAGCATGTTTTCTGGGCTGGCATCTTTTAACGGAAAAATCTCTCTACATGATATACATAAGGCGACGTATCATCTGCCCCACTGACTACAGTTTATTTACAAGTAAGCCTCTCTCCATGTTTGCAGTATATAAAGATATAAGTTTATCCCATTGTTAAGCGTATTCCTGAGCGTATGTGAAAGTAAACGAGCTTGATTAGACTTAAACCATAAAGAAATGAAGTCAGAGGTAGATATTATTTGAATTCTTCTCTCAATACATTGATTACAATCGTGTAGTATTTGTATGAAATCTTGATGAAGATTGTTACTATAAATCTTATATTTCAGTCAAGCTGTCAGTACCTTCTATTATAAATAAAGAATCAGAGAAGAAGTAATTAAATTATGATTTAGATAGTTTTTAAGATGTAAGGTACTTTACCAAAGGCATTTTCCGAACTGCTTCCCAATGGTATTTTCCCAAGTATAGCAACTTTTGTAAACAATAAACATAAACTCGATTCATTAAATCTGGCAATTGTTTAAAGATCGTCTTCCTATGCCATAGTTTTCTGGTTCTCACTGAATAAACGCTCATTTTATGTGAAGATTTTATAACAACTATGCAAGCGAAACCAATTATCTAGTACACACCTTGTTCTGCTTACGCTGCTGAACAAAACATTAGATGGAACCTCAAAATTTGGAAACATTTTGGCGCCTGAAAAGCCTTAGGGAAAATGTCAGACATATACATCAGTTTTAATCCTAAATAGGTTTTTTTTTTTAAATTTATCTATTGGTCAAATATTTGTAGGGATTGGTATATAATGTAAGTAGAATAAATTTTGGAATTGTACTCTATGACTTTTTTCCATGGTTTTTTACAGGAAAAATAATTCTTGCAAAAGATTCCTTAATGAAATAACATATAAAAATAAAATAATAAAATTTACGGAATAATTTTGTTCAATTCCATTTTTTAAAATTATGTTATTAACATTGTACAGCGTCAGTAAAACATCCAGCTTTTTCAAGTATAAAAACTGTATACAATTTACCAAATTGAGACATGTAGGTTGCAACAGAGAAATGGACCAATTATACACAACTTCACAAGTGTCAAATATAACGAAATGTTCTCACATAAGTTGACATGTTTTCCAAGATTAAATAAAAATGTGTGAAAACAGAAAATAAAGATCACATAATTGCACTTATTTTACCGTAAGATAAGCACTTAAATTCAAAATTATCACTATTATTAATAATTTTGTTGGACACAAAAACTGAGTTGACACTTATGAGGTCATAATACAGCTGTACTGAGTGTGTACAAATTTTACGTTGAAATCTATTATACTAGAATCTATTGGCAATACTGCTTGCATTGTAAAAATCAATGTAAAAAAATAACAAAAAAGATTTAGTTTGCCTTATGTAGTGTGATAATTGTCAGTAAATATTTACTTTCACTATGTTTACATTACACAAAACTGTGTTTTCTATTATTCCCCAAAATATAACCCCCCCCCCTCATCCCAACATTATTATTCTTAATAATAATAATTATTCTTAGTAAATCCTACATAATATATAAGAAAGGAGAGAAGAAAAAAAATAATATTTTCTCAATCCTCTTACCAAAATTTTGCCTTAAATTAAATAGTCAAAATCATAGTTTATCAGACAGGGTTACTCACAAAGGATGAGATTATAAAGACGACCTAAAACTCTGTCTTAAGTCTTAATGGCTTATACAGTGATAACCAGAAAACTGAAGAATAGGAAGACGACATTAAAGCAATAATAAATAGTATTTGATGCGATTTCAAAGAAAATAGTTTTTCGAGTAAATTGTAAAATCAGTTTTTAAGTTATTTGGGCCTTTTTACACCCCAAAATTGTGTTGTCTCATGTTCATTGCACTATTTAGAGTAAGTAATTGAGTCTGAAAGTCGTCTCCCTATCACTGTATACTGATTGGCAAAGAAAGAAACTGGGAATCGCAAACATAAGAAAACGAATTGGTACAAATTCCATAAATCGTCTCTGAAGACTCGTCCTTTGTGAAGAAAAAACAAATCATGATACATTTCTAAACGCTCTCGATGTCCTTGCAGTTTGAAAGTGAAGTCTAAAAGGGACATGCCTGATTCACAACGGGTTGTTTTCAATCTTCATGACAGAAACAAATCTCGAGGAATAATAATTACATGTCTTTAAACATTCTTTAAAACAAATGAATATTTGCGAATTATCTTTTTTACATTCAGTGGTTGGCTTTTATATCAATACAAAGAAGACGACTTATCTATTTAATCTATGAGTTTAAAAATTTAAGTTTAAAAATTTAAGCTATTACTTAAAAATATATATGCTATAAGTTTAAAAGTAAACAAAGAGAATCTTTTGTATCCATGGTTTATGTGTATCTGGTGCTGTTTGAAAGTTTGGAAAAGTCCTTTTCATTATATTGTATTGATTGACCACTGTATCATGATATCAAAGTTTTTGTTTTGTTTATTTTCTTGTGTATTTTTATTTTAATGGTTATTGCATCGTATAAACTGAGCTGAAAACTTTAGAATGAGATATCCTTAATCACGATCACTGATTATCTAACGTACACACAATTAAAGTCAGCTGTTCACAAGCTCTAAAGAGCATTTAAACAAATATAAATTTAATCATATTAATAGGAAATTATTGAAAACATATTTTAGGACTATTGTCATCTTGAACGTTAGTCTTAATAAACATTAATCCAAAAATTATGTTTGTTCAATCGATGTTTAGTTCAATTGATATGACACCATCAACACAAGAAAGCAAAACCGGGTTTGAAAAAGTTAAAGAGTCCATCATAACATGACACGTAAATTTTTAACATCTTTCTTTGATATCGAATTCGTTTTAAAATAATCTTGGGTTTAATTTAGTAAAACCAGGAGTTTCAGCATTAATCTTGATATTCACCATTCTAAAGTTTTCAGCTCAGTTGTATATATTTTCAGAAAAAAATGTGCAACTTACCTAGCTCCTTTATTTACTCATCATTAACACCAAATATTAAATGTACCTAGTAATGTTTGAATCCAAAGTTTTCTGTAGTTGTCAAGGAGAGATGATTGGAACGTAGGAGAGGAAGAGGAGTAAGGAGGAGAAGAAGAAGAATAATAATGTTCTTTTCCAAACTTATCTGCAGGATGGAGATTCCTGATGAGAAACAAATCCGTTTAATTAATCTTTACAATGTCACAAAGTCATACCAGTGATGTCGCATTAAGGAATTGAGTCTTTGTCACAAACTCTAGTCTAATCTCTATATCTTTGCAACATAACGTCGGAGATCTTAGATATTTCAAACCATGAATTCTGTTAGATCTGAATTCTAAGTTTTAAATACCAAAGGTATACACTATCAGGTTGCAAAAAAATTGGGATTAAAATATTTGAGTTTGTTATGCGAGCCATGCTGTGTAAGTAAAGTCTATGGTGCGCCCCTGTGAATTTCTGAGGTCACCCTGAATATCTGTACAGAAAAGTGTCGGAAAAACTAGTTTTAGATGCAGTATACGGCTCGTCTACGCATGCGCGGAATTCTCGCCTGCAAGCAGACAGATTTTATTCATATTATTCAGTTATAAACCGTTTAAGTGTATCGATAATGTAAACTGTGCTTATAATTCTAGGATCACTGCGGTAATATTCTTTTATATATATAAATACCTTAGATTTTGTGTTTTTCATGGATTTGATGATTTAAAATGTATAGTTGGTTCCGATCCACAGTTTTTTAATGCTTGAATTAATTTATTTGTGTTGTATGGTTTATGAATTCAAAGCTTTTTCTGTGGTATATCTAGTTTTATTTTTGCTAGATTGAAGTCTTGGTGAATAAAGAATCAGAACTCATCCTGTTTATCTTTTATTATGGAGAGCGATCGGAAGAGGAAGTCTTACAATCCAATCCTGAGAAATACCGCAGGGTACTTATATAGCTTTCATTAGGTCTTTAGGAAAAACGCCTAGTTGTGTAACATTCAATCGCAACCTTGTAGGGTACTGTTTAATTAATTAAGTCTGAAGATTGAGCAAAATTTCAAGCAAATTTCTCGTTGCCACTATATTGCCTGAATTGGAAAATATACGGACTGACGTAGGAATAAGCTTACAAGGAAGCTTTATTAACCTGAGATCCTTTAATAATCTTAACTCTTATCATTTATTAGATCTGTATCTAGTAAATTGAGACGGGGTGCTTAGTTGAGTCTATACGCTGGATTTTTTTTTCTCGTTGTCAGTATATTGGCCAAATTGGAAAAATATAGTGAAGGACCGAGTGAATTAAATCTACGTTATGATATTGGATTTTATAAAATCTTTTAATCCCTTTTTTTGTACCCACCTGATCCATATCGGGAAGGGTTATTATGAGATGCTAAGAGATTTATTTTCCCTTATACACTGAGAATGAAATGTTCATGTCTGGATGATTGAATGAAAGCAATTTATCTGAGATTTATGATCCACAATCAGTACCCTCTTGATCAATATCTTAAAGGGACGAACACTGGACTTAAGTTAAGAAGTATAATTTATTGAGCTATTCCCTCACCTTTAGTGTATTTGCCAGATAGGAAAAATATACTGAGTGAGTGGGGAGAATAACTCTGACTTGAGATCAATTGATAAATCCTGATTGTTTGTTGATCATACTAAGGATAATAATTGATTAAGTCTAATTTATTGAGCTATCTCTCATACTTGGTATGTTTGCAAGTTCGGAAAAATATGTCAAGTGACTGAGTGGGATAACTCCATTCTTTGAGATTAACTTGATAATCCCTATATATCTTCTTGATTTTCTCTGAGTAGGATATGATAGGGCGATAAATTGATGGATTTGGGCTTAATTTAACCTACTTAACCTTCTATAAATGCCAGATTGGAAATTTATGGGGAAACATTTTTAAGTGTGGTGAACTTATTTGAGCTCATTTCCTAATTTGCTATGCGGGGCGCAGGGAGGAGAAGGTCTACATCAGAGGGGGAGGGGGATAGACTGAGCAGTACCTTAAATTTGCCTGAAGCCGCACGATTTAACCAATTTGATAATACTGATTCCAATAGATATGCGTCTACACCTCAAATTAATGTTACGGGGTTTATTGATGACAACCTTGAGAGTAGCAGGGGGACGTGGTTTGAATCCAGGATCCGTACTAGGTCGCGGGCAACTTCAAACGCTATTGATGCAAAACTGAGAGATGATTTTTCCCAACTTAGAGATGAGATAATTAAGTGGGGGGAATTGGCATGCTCTATTCCACAGATGATGAATGTTATTGAGGCTAACCATAGAACATTTTTGGGGAATATTGAGCTGAAAATCTCAGAAGTTTTAGTAACAAAAGGGGATTTAGTGTTAGTGAGAGAATTGGGAAATCTTAAGGATAGATTGAATGGAATCCGGAAGAGAGCCCGGCAAATATCCAAGGATTACTCAGGGATACACCCCCAGCAGAATGAACGTGTACCAGTCCGGGAGTCTGGTGGTGAAAGAAGTCAGGAGATAATGATGAGAAGTTGTGATCTGAATTATGTGTTCCACAACGAGGAGCCTATAGAGAGATTGTCACCGTACAGTGTTGTATCTGCACCCATTTACAGGGGAGGAGAAGCTCTGAGTGAGTCCAGGAGTAACAGAGCAATGGTAGGATCGAGATCTGTGGCATCAGGACTCGGATCTACTAGGCTAAACCTGATACAGGACTTACAGTCTTGCAACACTACAAATCGGAGTGAGGGGATCTAGGAGGAATACTGATGAAGGAGTGGGAGCTACAAACCCTGTTCAACCAGAAACCGTTCCTCCCAACCTGAGAGTAGATGATGATTTGCAACCTGATGGTGTCCATTCTATAAGTGCAGGAGTGGGGGGGATAGAATTTGTCCAATCAGATTCCGTCCAACCCAGCCTAAACACCCCCAGAGTTTTGCAACCTGAGGGAGTAAGAACCCGGAGAGCGTTAGATTTGGACCTGAACGGATCTCTTGAACAAGTAATCTCAAGGCTGTCTGCAGATGGAATAAATGCTGATAATCAGAAAGATCCGTGGGCAAAACTGATGAAACAACGCCAGAGTATTGTTGAAGAGAAGGTTAACAATCTTATCAAAGGGATGAGGAAGTTATCTACAACAGTACATGGAGCAGAAGCTATGTATCTGGAATTACAAGATAAGATTGGGATCCTGGAAACTAGTAACTCCAAGATTTGGGAACGACTGGACCTGGAGGATCAGAGGTTTGATAGATTGGAGGCTAGTGTAAACAGATTGGATGCTAAGTTGGACGAGAAGGTGGAGATGATCCAGGAATGGTTTGTGCATATGTCCGCTCAAGTGCATACAGACGTTCCTGCGGAGCTTGTTAACTCTATTCAAGAGGTAATTGCTGATAGTTCTCCGGGTCTAGCTGTGAACAGGATGAGAGAGGAGCTTGATGAGATCAGAGATTCTTTGGACTCCAGCAGGCATGTAACAGAGGGATTGAGAGGATTAGTAGTGGATTTGTCTGATCAAATGGTGAATAATTCTATGCAACACACGCTGTATGAACCCCGAGTACAGGAGAAGGACTCCAGATCCTTTGAGTCCCATACCAGAGAGAGAGATCTTGTGAGGAAAAGTATTGAGCGGGCCAGGAAACAACTAAAACAGATTGTAGTTGCAGACCTAGGGATGAGCCCTGTGGATATATCTCTGGTGAAGAAGTACAAAACTGTTGATGTACCAGCTGTACATTCGGCAGTAGGGAACATACAGAAGTCCTTGCAGAAGTATGTGAAATTTCCCGGAGTGAGTTATGAGTATTGTGATGAAGTTAATGAATTTCTGGATTATGCAGAGAACTGGTGTTTGAAGGTGGAAGAGATGTATAATACAGCAGAAGTGCACAGTATCAACACTTCCAAGGGTGATACAGCGGATGTCGGGATCTTCTCAGATAATGCAACGATGACAATTTATGAGTTTCTGAAAGCTGCTGAAATAGCGTACTTGGGTTGGGGGAACTCAAGGCAGAAGGCCAACCGGATGTACAACAAACATTTGTCGGAGGAGATAAAGAACAAGTTGATAAATATGTCGGACTCCTACCCTGAGATGAAGAGATGGTTGATTGCAAACTACGGTGGTGTGTCGAGAATTATCAGCGATATTGTAAATGATCTTAGTAGGAGAGTGAAGCCTAATCCAAACAATAGTACTCAGAGATTTTCCTTCTATGCTGGTATATCTGGTACATTACAGAGGATGGAGAGATTGTCCAAGGTCGGAGAAATCAACAAACAAGAACTAGAGAACTGTGTATACTCATGAGCAACTCTGAGCAGTCTTTCCCTGGTTTTACCTAATGGTGCATATGCTGATTGGATTACAGAGATGACCAGGGCCGGCTTGGATTACAAGAATCCTGTAGGAGAGGCTGCGTATAGAGTTTTCAAGAATTTGTGCATCATAGAGAGGAATAAAAGCGAAGGTTCGAGAGAGTCAGAGCGTAGCAACGGAACCAGATCTCCTATAGGTACAAGATCACCAAGATCTCCCAAAACCAAGGCGAAGTCAGCTCATAAAGTGGAGGAAGTTGAAGCTGGTAGGTTGGAGGGAGAGATGAACAACGCAGTTTTTGCAACAAAATTCACTAATAATAAATGGTACCGGGCCGGCTTAAAGTTTCCATGTCCACTATCAAACCATCAGCATGAAATGAGTACCTGTGCAGAATTTTTTTCTTTGAGCCCCGGAGATAGATGGAATAAGATGGAGAAGGGAAGGATTTGCTACTCATGTCTAGCCCCCAAGGATGTGTGTGTGAACAGGCGAACCTGCTCCATCGATAGACTCAGAGACGGGAAGGATTAACACTGTATCTCCAGAGAGGATTATACATGAAGTATCAGAACATTCCTGCTATTTGATGCAGACTATCAAGATAGGAAGTTCGGAGGGGCTCGTGTTTTTTGACCGGGGAGCAAATATCCACATCATTGATGGGTCACTGGCAGAAAAAGAAGGTTTGCAGAAGGTTTCAAATGATCCTACCAATCTCACTGTGGTCGGAGGGAGTAAGGTTAGATCAAACCATGGAACCTTTAGGTTCAATTTAGGACCTGGAGAAAAGGGAGAATATCACGAAGTGGTCTGCGTAGGTATGGATGATGTTACGGGAGGATTTGGAACTTATGATCTAACAGAGATTTGTCAGGAATATCTGGACCAGGCTGAGGATGAAGAGAAGGTTCATGCACTCCCAGAAAAGGTAGGAGGTTCTAAAGTTCACCTGTTGCTGGGAATAAAGAATACTAAACTGGATCCTGTGTTGATCAAGGTCTTACCATCCTGGGTAGCTGTGTATCTAAGTCCTTTCAAGGATATTTATGGCTCAAGGTTGATTTTTGCCGGACCTCATAAATCCTTCACTAAAGGAAATGATGGAAAACATGCTAAAATGTCAAATGCAGTGTTTTTGATAAGAGAGAGAATGTTGGAGGAGATGGATGCGGAGATGGAACAACGATGCTATGCCATAGGAACAAAGGAGAAGTTGGGTCTGACAGTAAATCCTCATCCCATAAATGAGGATGATATCTTGGACTGTAATGGAGAGGTGGAAGACGATTTTGAATCATGCCTGGATAATCATCAGAGATTAAGTTCAATTCTAGAATCCCAAGGAAATGTATGTAAATTGCACATGGAGCTAGAGACATGGAGATCCTTTCAACAACTTATTAAAGAGCAGATGGAACCAGGGAGTGTAGATGGATTTGCAGGGGAGTGTAATTCTCCAGGTCACAAATCTATCACAGCCCTGGATGAGGGGAAGGCAAAACAAGGTATTTATTCAGAGAATGTGGTTGTAAACGCGGTGGAGTGTAATTCTCCAAACCGTGATCTCAGCACAGCCCTGCATAGAAACACGAGCAAGGATGACCATGGAGTCTTTAAAGCAAGAGTACCAATTGCAAAGTTTAGGAATGATGGAGGCCTTGATTGGACGAAGAGTACTGAAACTGATACATTTTCCGCTACTGTGGCTAAAACATGCAGGGGGGTAGCAGAGCTACTAATGGACCCTGCATCACGAAATTGGAGAGCTAAACCTAACCAGAAAGAGTTTTTAAACAAGATTGACGAGGTTGAAAATTTTAAGAAGAATGATGATGGTAAGAGGAATGAAGATTTCAGTAACGATGATGGCTTGGATAAGGCTGATAGTTTTAAGAAAGCTAATTATTTTAGACGGACTGAGGATTTAAAAAGGAGTAACAGTAATTTTAAGAAGAATGACGATCCTGAGAGAAATGGTAATCCTGAGCTGATAAGTAGTGCTGAGGTAATGAGTATTCGTGAGATGATGAGGAATCCTGAACCTGGGAAGTGTTCAGCTCCGATTATTGAACCTGAACTGGAGGGAGAATATCCTGGTAATGATAGTGGTGATATATCAGTATATTTTTTGGTTTCGGTGTTTCTTGCGGGCAGGGGTGTAGCTGGAGAGCTACTAATTGATCCTGGCCAGAGATCTCCTGGTCTGATGAGGTCTTTTGTTCTGAGATCTCCTGTTCTAAGATCTCCAGGTTTAAAGAGATTTCCTAGTCTGATGAGATCTCCTGGTCTGGTAAGGTCTCCTGGCCTGATGAGATCTCCTGTTCTGAGATCTTCTGGGCTGATGAGATATCCTGTTCTGAGAGCTCCTATTTTGAGACCTCCTGATCTGATGAGTTCTCCTGATCTGATGAGATCTCCTGATCTGATGAGATCTCCTGATCTGATGAGATCTTCTGGTTTAAATAGATCTCCTGGTCTGATGAGATCTCCAGGTCTGAGATCTCTTGGTCTGATTAGATCTCTTGTTCTGAAAGCTGATTCTACATGTACTTCTCCCCTGATGAGATCTCCTGTTCTGAGATCTCCTGTTCTGAGTTCTCCTGTTCTGAGATCTCCTGTGTTGTACTTGTACCTGGAGAAATTCTCTGATCTGAGTGGAGTTAAAGAACTAGTCTCTCGACCTATAATTGGTATGAAGTTTTCTAGATTGAGAAAATCTCCTGGTCTGATGAGATCTCCTGTGTTGTACTTGTACCTGGAGAAATTCCCTGATCTGAGTGGTGTTAAAGAACTAGTCTCTCGTCCTATAATTGGTATGAAGTTTTCTATATTGAGGAGATTTCCTGGTTTGAAGAAATTTTCTGGTCTGAAGAAATCTCTTGTTTTGTATTCCTACCTGATGAAACTTAGAGTTCAAACCTCAGTTTCTGCAACTTGTACACAGAGACGGATGATCTGAGGAAGTGTGTGAAGGAGAGATTGAGCCAGGAGAGGAGCAAGAAGTTTGATCCCAGGATGAGGATGTTGATCCCTGCCCAGTATCCTAAGGCCATCGGGGTTCAGGTGCTTGGAACACTGTTCAACAAGAATGTGTTGACTAGTGATGACTACTGGGGTGTTAGATGGCAGCAGATTCCGGAATCCCTCAGATGTTATGCGTTAGGAGACATTATGTTTGGATTTGTATCTTACAGTGTCCTGTCAGGTCTCTTGTTAAGGGATGTGTTTCCAGACCCTGATGTTCTATGCAGGTTTCTAAAATGCAACCAGAAGACTGCAGCTGATTTGTTCTTGGATTTCATCCGGATGTCCCTGGAAGGAGTAGAATTTCACCAGGCAGTGAAGGAGGGAGCTGAGACTCGGATGAGGAGGAAGAGGATGGTTTGGTTGAACAAGTTATCCTTTCGCGGGGAGTATGAAGAGAGAACCAGATGGAAGGATGAGATCCATGCTTTGGGTACTCCTAAGAAGAGGTCTGGAGTGAAGAGGGAAAAGAATCCGAGATCTGGTAAGCTGATGAGGATGAGGATGAGGAGTCTGAAGGAGAATGCAGCTGGTTCTACTGCTGAGGAGCCGGTAGGTGTCTCTCAGTCCCAGCCTTCTCCTGGTTCATCCGGAGCTAGGAATGGGTTCGGAGAGAGTGTCTCCAGGCCTCAGCAGAAGGATGGCTTTGAGGAGGTGGTGATGGTAGATGAGGAGGATGAAGTGTTTCTGGAGGATGAGGGAGAGAAGGAGGAGAAGGGTCCGTCACCCTGGAGGCAGAGTGCAGCCTTGAGGTTCTCAAGGAGAGTGGTGGAGCGACCTCTTACCTATGATGAATTGATCGAAGGAGTTCCTAGAGTTGCATTTCCTGATGACTTGGATCTGGATTTAGAGGTCCCTTGGGAGGATCGATTGTTCTAGACTGAGGGAGTTGATGGATTCGAACTATAATGATCTCAGTGAATTACAGTGAAGTTTTTTTTTCAGGTTATTTAAGAGATCAGGATTTCCAGTTGTGGGGTGCAGATAGAACTTTTTTCTTTTCTCGTTGGTTGGCCAGTGTTACGCGAGCCATGCTGCGTAAGTAAAGTCTATGGTGCGCCCCTGTGAATTTCTGAGGTCACCCTGAATATCTGTACAGAAAAGTGTCGGAAAAACTAGTTTTAGATGCAGTAAGTTTATCTTTTATTATGGAGAGCGATCGGAAGAGGAAGTCTTACAATCCAATCCTGAGAAATACCGCACGGTACTTATATAGCTTTCATTAGGTCTTTAGGAAAAACGCCTAGTCGCGTAACAGAGTTTATGGCAAAGACTCAATTCTTTTACCTTCTTCATTATTGTCTAGTTTGTGTAGGGGGTTTCTCATACAAAACTCGACCCGCTTAACTTGTAATTTTCAAACCAAGCTTAGAACATTCCGGTGATTCTATCGAGTTTTCCATTACAAATTTTAGGCAAATCATTTAAGGACTTTATGAGTCTTGACATCCAAACAAAAATAGATTTCTACTTTTTATATAATAAAGCATTTTTTTGTGGGTACCCTGGGGGTATCATCGGCTAAAAAAAAATTGTTTCTCAAAATTAAAACTTTTTTTTCAAAATTCGAATTTTTTCACGGGTATTTCAGCTAGTAAAACATATGTTTAAATAAGATGATGAATTCACCTTGTTTTTGCAGAATCTTCGTCCTCATTAGTTTCCCAATTCAATGAGTTTGATGAAGAGATGATAACCAGGAAGCAAAACAGTTTAAACATCTAAATATTCATAAACATCTTCATCAAGGTTGTATAATAAGGTTGCTTACTCTATCTGCGCTCCAATGTATGGAGCATAGATGGATAGAATCAGCATATGACATTCCTCTTGCCTCTATAATTAGTGACGTCATATACGATGTTGAGTGAGAATCACATCTGCAGGATGATGGATAGCATTTATTCTAAATTTAAGTTGCAACATCCCTTTTGTATTCTGTATTAAAATATTCCGGTTTGTGTTGTAAACAAGGAGCATACTCCTAGTCATCAAGTTAATCATGTTAAACGGATGACCATAGTAAAGTTAGTTGTATCGGAACTTTGTAGAATCTAGGAGCTTTTGACTCACCAGAGCGTATTTGGTATGAAAAATTTAATGTTTATTTTGTATTTCATTATAAAATGTATTTAGCATTTGATATTTCTAAAATATTGTATTTTTCGGTGTACAGAAGAATAAAGACTAGAAACTCTTCAACCATTGGTACCAGCGCATCTGTGAGATTTGACTCTGATTCCTACATCTGATTTTTTGGGTTTTCCGAAATACGGATTTTATCTACCCATGCTTAGGAGACGACATTTTCGTACATTGGACCGCAACGAGGGTAACAAACCAAATTATACAACTTTGATCATCATATACAGTGCAATAGTAATAGTTTTATAAAAAAGGAAAAGGGTTTTGACTTTTTTCCCCACACATTTTTTATTTTAAGTTTTAACAGTTTATCTTTGATTTTAGTGTTAGCATAGTTCTTAGTTACAGTTTTAACACTTTAATATAGAAATGAAATAAAACCATAGCAATCTGCATGAATGAAATTAATAGAATGATATTTTATGGTAAAAGGGCCTGTCAAATTTTGCAAGTCCTTCTTTTTTTGCAAAAATTGCCTTTTAAGCGCATAAATTAAAGGTCGATTATTTCATGAAAAATTACAAAGTAACAGTTTGAAATAAAAACACGTTTTGTGAAAAAATAATTATTTTATTTTTAATATTTTACTCTCTTATTTTTAACGGATCAGTCTTTTTAGATTCCCTTATATTAATTCAATTAAAATACATGACATGGTTTATTTTTAGTAAAAGTAGAATATAATCCCTTTATAATGAATATATTAGCAATACTATTGTTCTGGGTCCACTATAGTTAAAGTGGAATATAATCCCTTTATAATGAATATATTAGCAATACTATTGTTCTGGGTCCACTATAGTTAAAGTGGAATATAATCCCTTTATAATGAATATATTAACAATACTATTGTACTGGGTCCACTATAGTTAAAGTGGAATATAATCCCTTTTTCATGAATATATTAACAATACTATTGTAGTGGGTCCACTATAGTAAAAGTGGAATATAATCCCTTTATCATAAATATATTAACAATACTATTGTACTGGGTCCACTATAGTATAAGTGGAATATAATCCCTTTATCATGAATATATTAACAATACTATTGTTCTGGGTCCACTATAGTTAAAGTGGAATATAATCCCTTTATCATGAATAACAATACTATTGTTCTGGGTCCACTATAGTATAAGTGGAATATAATCCCTTTATAATGAATATATTAACAATACTATTGTACTGGGTCCACTATAGTAAAAGTGGAATATAATCCCTTTATCATGAATATATTAACAATACCATTGTACTGGGTCCACTATAGTAAAAGTGGAATATAATCCCTTTACCATGAATATATTAACAATACTATTGTTCTGGGTCCACTATAGCAACACAAGACAATTAAAAGAATGGGAGAAGGGAGAATAATATAATATCCAACCAACTAAATTTAACAGAGTGTGCCCAAATACTCAACAAAAAGTTTTTTTTTGGGAGTTGAAACTTGTGCCAGGTAAAATTATTTAGAATGTCACTTTAACAAGAAGTTCTAGAACTAAAACCAATTGGTGAAAAAAGTTAATGTTTTGCCGGAGATAGCCAATATTTAAAAAAAAAACAATAAATATTCTTACTTTAAAAGGATTTAAGTCTTTGCCACGAACTCTAATTTTTATAATCTATATATATCGTTGCAACTTTGCAAACCTTTGATATTTCAAACTAAGATTATTTGATCTAATAGAATTCATAGTAATAAAATATCTCAGGTCTAAGATAAGGTCTACGATAATGGTTTGCAATTATAAAGGGATTAGAAAAGCAGAGTTTGCGGCAAAGAATCAACTCCTTTGTCTTTGAAATCTGATCCTTTGTGTCTTCTCTACCTGTAGAATAGTAGAATGTGGAACCATTCTGCAGAGTGAATGATGAAAATCTAGATTTCATCTTCATTTATACAATCCCTTCGTCTATACAGGGGTGTAACAAGATCAATATTTGAAAGAAATCAGGGACTGTTTGCAAAATTTGTGTTTTTTAGAACATTTTCCAAATCTCCACAACAAAAAACATCTTTTACGGGCGGGATTACTAGGTATAATTTTGCGATCTCGTAACTCCCATTATATAGTCGTTTATCAGACAAAGGGCATTCTAAACTGATCAGTTCAGACCCCCCCACTGCAGTACGCAGATTTGACGCAGCAGATATGGCGGTTCCTGGTCTATATATTTCTTGGGTTCAGTAGTCTAAATGTTTATTGGATAAAAGCAAACACAAAAAGACACCATGAACAGACAGACAAGCAAAAATGATGTATATATATATAAAATTAATTTTCTGATTACACCAATCTTTTGATGTGAAAATTATTTCCTAATCCTGTTGAACACATGTTCGAACAGGGTTTTTAATTTCAGGGAACATTAATTAACAGATTAACACATTTGTTCAAAAATGTCATGATCCGAACCGGTAAAAAGATGTAGGTCTAGTCTTTACCGTCTAGTGTGTTCAGTACGTGGGTGACCCAACCCGTCTAGTGTGTTCGGTACGTGGGTGACCCAACCCATCTATAGTGTGTCCAGTATGTGGGTTACCTAACCTGTCTAGTGTGTCCGGTAAATGGTTGACACCCAATCGAACGTCTAGTGTGTCCAGTATGTGGGTGACCCAACCCGTCTAGTGTGTTCAGTATGTGGGTGACCCAACCCATCTAGTGTGTCCAGTAAGTGGGTGACCCAATCCGTTGAGAGTGTTCAGTATCTGGGTGACCCAACTTGTCTAGTGTGTTCAGTATGTGGGTGACCCAACACGACTAGTGTGTCCAGTATGCGGGTGACCCAATCCGTCTAATGCGTCCAGTATGTGGGTGACCCAACACGTCTAGTGTGTCCAGTATGTGGGTGACCCAACCCATCTAGTGTGTCCAGTATGTGGGTGACCCAATGCGTTTTAAGCAACCTAATTAGGCGGACTGAATTATAGTGTATATAGTTCAGCCCGCCTTTTTCTGTTGCATTAAACCACATAAAACTACACTATACGGGCTGGTACGGTATTCTTGTACTGGTTCGGATCATGCAACTTTTAAACTCAAATGAATTAAAAATTGGCAGAAAAGTTATTTATCAAACTAATTAATTAATTGATCGGGAAAATTGAATTGAAGTGCAACAATGTCTAACAGAACTTTCGGCCCAGTTTTCCTAGTTATTGAAAACCAGTTTACAGCAAGGTATAATGGCGCCAAAAAATATATTATGAAATATAATCTGATAGTTTCACTTTTTTGTAGCTAGCCATTGCAATTTTCTTCTATATATTTACTTTTCGTGTCTGTTTGTTTGTAACCGCTAAAAACGGCTGAACCGATTGAGCCCACATTTTTTGTGGGACCTCACATTTATGGATGTTTAGAATTGAAATAAAAATCGATAAATGAGCTGTAATAAAAAGTTAAAATCGAAGATGGGTGTCGCCATGGAATCCTATTATTTCTATATTTTATATATTTATATATTTTCTTTGACTAAAAATATGTTTTCGTTTTCTTGCCCCTTGAGGAGAACATTGTGCGGAAATTAACCGGATGTTCTTGTTACAGATTCAAATCTTTCAAATTAAATATATTCTCTCTCTCCTTCTTTAAAAATAGATTTTTCTAAAAATAGGAATCATTGTTATGTTTCCATGTTTTTTTTGTAACATTATACAATAAATCGGTAAAAGGGTTCATGAGTTATGATCTGACATTTAAAGAAAAAAAAATAGATTTTGATTTTGATGGTTTTCCAGGTTTTTTTATGACAGCACGTCCAAGATGCTATTACAGGTTTTTTTTATAGATTTTTTAAAACTTTAGCAACAGTAACCAAATCAAATCAAATCAAATATTATTTATTTACGCAGAAACATTAAAAAAGATTATCAATATTACAGGGGGTAGATCCATTGATTAATGTTCTGCGTCTGGAGAACTGCTATAGCTGTAGCTGTTTTCCTAAAAGCTCCCCAGTTGCTTAAAAAAAAGAGAAGAAGTAGAGGAGCTCTTGACAAAAAAAAATATTTAAAAATCAAACAACTTCATTTTTTTAGATAGAAATTAATCTAGGGAAGTGACTAGGTCACAAAGTCACAGGTAAACTCTTTCTCTATGAATAACAGAATTCTAATTGATTATAATTTCGAATTTGTCCAGTGTGAACCCAACCAAAGCCCGTTCTCTCCATAATAATGTTTAAACAGTGGCCGTGTAGTTCACGTACTTTGGGGGACGATAGTTTGGCCGCTAGATGTCTCTCGTAAGAACTATCTATCTATCAGATAAGAATTTTGCGTGAGACACCTAGCGGCCAAACTATCGTCCCCCAGAGTACGTGAACAACACGGACACTGTTTAAACATTATTATGGAGAGAACGGGCTCTGTAGTCACCTTGTACAATGTATAGGATGTCCCAATAAACAGCTAGATGTCTCTCGTAAGAACTATCTATCTATCAGATAAGAATTTTGCGTGAGACACCTAGCGGCCAAACTATCGTCCCCCAAAGTACGTGAACAACACGGCCACTGTTTAAACATTATTATGGAGAGAACGGGCTCAAGAGTTCTCCAATGTGTATACAGTATCGTACAGTTAGGGTTGTTATTCGTTTTTGAAAACGATCGTTAAAAATGTCCCACTCGTTTGAAATTTTAGAAAACGAATAAAAAAACGTTTATGATAACGATTGTTTTTATAAAAAAAAAATCAACGATAGTTTTTAAAGGATTGTTTTAGAAAACTATTGTTTTTGAATTTTTTTTCCATTGATAAATATTTTAACGATCGTAAACAAAGGGTCGTTGTTAGCGCCCGATAATGAAGGGTTGTTGTTAACGATCGTTAACAAAGGACGAACTTTATACAAACTGTCGTTTTTGAAAAATGATCATGTTTGAAAAAAAATTACATGCAACTTTATCCAATGTTGTCTTATATGAAGGTAAAAAGTTGTGGGGGAGCTAAAACTTCTTGATATTTTCTTTAAAACTGCTCAATGATAAGTACTGATGACCTTCAGGGCGGTTTCCTCTCTTCTTCTCTCTTTGTTAAGGATCGTTAACAAAGATGCATTGTTAAAGATCGTTAACAAAGATGCATTGTTAAAGATCGTTAACAAAGGGTCAGCACAAGGTATCTGATCAGAAGAGTCGAATGGAAATATGTTTGCCCCAGGCAAATATCAAGTGTATTTAGATTAGCTTTAGTTGGTCCAACACTAATCGTTTGTATCGTTATAATGTAATATTGTTTGTGTGGAACCATGCTTTGTTATTCCAATCAATCTTGGCTTTTTACTAGCTTTGCCTTTCCTCTTTAGAAGTTAACCCACTCAACAAAGAACTTTAAATTAAGCTAAGAACATTTTCAATGTTCTACTGAGTTTCCTGATTAAAATTTGAGGTAAATCGGACAAACGGTTTATGAATTATGATCGGTCATCTTAAGAAACAAACATAGATTACTACTTTATAAAAGATGCATCACATGTTGATAATTTTTCAGTGCATCAAAAATATAATATTTATTTTTCCCAAGACCATTTTTTAAATTTCCAGAGCAGATTTATCATATCTCGAAAATTTTCAATTTATTTATTGCTACTCAGTTTAGTGTTATTATGATTCTGTTTAGGGAAAAATGAAAAATTCATGAAAACATTACAATGAGAAATTATTCTGAACAACTTTCTCCATTTCTTGTTTCTCTAACTTTAAGTTGATAAATTGGCAAGATCTTAAACAAAACTTGAAACAACAAATTGTACAATTCTAACATTATTAAATTATCAAATAAAACCATTTACAATTGGATTTTGAGCCATAATATTTCGCCTTTTTAAACTTTTAGGCGTTACAGCCATAGAGAATAGAATATATATTAGAGAGGAATTTACTAGAAAAAAGTGTAAAACGGCCATTTTGTTGTACTGTTTCCATACTGCAGGAGTACTTCACATATGCTTTATAACCTTCTGGGCCCCGGAATATCATTTTATAAAAAATCTAAAATTAATCTTAAAAGAAAACCAAATTATGAAATAGGCTGGTTTCATAATTGACCAATGATCATTTCACATAGACTCTTTCACTTTACAAACGATGATTTTCCGTTATAACTATAAATCAAATGATGTTTTTTATTCACCTTATTCATTATAAAGTTTATTTAACAGCTTTAAAAAATACCAAAATTGAATGTCTAGGGAACATACTGTACTAATGTACTCTGCTGCATATAATTTGTGAACATTTACATGATTTGTACACTTTGAAACTCCCTTTCAGGCTGAAAGGGACTGAAAAAATTCCTACCAAGAGATTCTTTAAATTCCCCTCTAATATATATTCTATTCTCTTTGGTTACAGCTAATGTAAACTGGGAAGAGGAAGAAGGTCTCCAAATTACTGGTGCGACTTTGTGACTTCTTAGCTCCTCTAAATTCGATTTTACGCACAAGGAGGAGAAAAAAGACGTGATTAATCAGTTTGACGTGACAAGGACTGTTGTGTAATTAAAAGTGACCCCTGGGACTCGATTTGCGTACCGCATAGAAAAATTCTAATATTATAAAACAAAAAATTAAAAATCTCTATCCACAACAATTACAATGTTTTGATATTGATATGGGTTTTCAGCGAAATGCTGACATTTTCGTTTTTTTTGTTGTTGCAAAATTTGGCGTTAATTTGTTTTGAGAGAAATTTTTTTTTTGAAATAATCTAAAATTGCGAAAATTTTGCCTTTATTAGTGAAAGTTTTTGTTCGATGGAACTTCTAGATACTACTGATTAAGTATTGTTCATCATTACACGGTAAACACTGCAGTAGTCAGACAAATTTAAATGACAGTGTACAAAATAATAGTCAGCACATTCTTCATTGATCAAGGAAATATCAAGGGAATATTTCCTAAACAAAGTAGACAATAGACATATATA